AAGTGTACTATAGGGAGAGTGATCTGAAGAAGTGTTAAGGTGAACCCTGCTGCCTCGTGTCATTCCCACACGAGCCGAAATAATTCTAAGTTTCATATGCACCACCTGGAAGTCTTCTACAGTCCGATTATCTAGGCATTTGCTTTTAGGAACCAGCACCTGTGGAATCGTCTTCAAATGGAGGTTTTTCCTGGGAGATACGATATCCAAACCTAAAAAAGGGCATACACCTCTCTAAGTATTATGGTATCGACGTGACTCGTCTGACCCCATAAAAAAATTGAAGTAATGTATTTAAATCTGTCTTTAGTACTACTTTCGGACGTAAGCAAAGGCCAATTTATTGATAAGTTAGTAAAACATTTTTAGCAAATTATCTCGTTACATTGGAATTTCCAATTTGTGATAAGCATACTTTAACACACAAATACTGTGTTTATGAATTTGATAATGCAAGGCAAATATCTAAACACACAGTAGCAACTAGACGACGCTAGTAGCGAGTGCATTGACCCTTAAAATGTCTATGACGTTGTATGTCTTCTAGTTTAGGCTTTAAAATCAAACATTATTGCTAATTCAAGTTCATCAGCATTTTATTGAGTTTCTTTTAGGTTGGGACACCCACCAGAAACCTGGGAAGATTGGAAAATAGTAGCAAGATGAGAGACAGGTGGTTTTTGAAAGAGACCTTGACTCCTTCGGAGGTCGTGTACATACACGAGTCGTGTAATATACACTAATATCATTATAAAGATGTTTTCATTGAATAAGCTCCAAAATTACAGGCCTAATTTTTAAACATTATTTCACCATTAGAACCCTACGTTATACCTGATGAACATAGACAATAGAAAAATTAAAAAATGTTAGAGTCTGTAACTTACGATAGTGTAACCCAAACAGTGAGAAGGTCCAATAAAAATTCCTATACGGTGTATACTGCGGAATCTATTGAAAAAATAACAAAGCGTTGTACTACAGTTTTATAGAAGACATCAAGATTTACAAAAGTCGGTGTTACCAAATGTCTTACAAAAAAAAATGCATGTAAGTCTTAACCAAGTAAAGCTTTAGGCTATAGATTATAGAACATAGTGCTACCACCAATTTATGCCGGTGGAACCGCAGAGTACAGCTAGTACTTAATCTAATAACATAAACATACATTTATGTTACTTAAATTATACTCCTCCTATACGTGTGAAAATTCCTAAAGCGTCTCAGATCATACATTTATTAAACAATAAAGATTTAGCGTACTTATAACAATTTTTATTATACAAAAACTTCAAGGTAACTCCGGTGACCTTCAAAGATTTTCGATGTTTAGACGTTAATTAACATGGACGACAGGTTTGGAGGTACACAAAAAATAAAACAAAAAATGATTATAAACGATTTATTACGTCATACATAGGTAAACTAATAAGGCACTTATTGCATATTGCAACTTTAATGATTTTTAAATGGCAATAATTTGTACATGACAATTGGCACTTGGAGATTAGAATCTCGCTATAAAAAATATATTACTTAACACTAAGATTAATTCACGGACGGAAATTTGCTAACTTAATGATAAATTTAAAATCATTTAAATTTGATTTATCAAATTACATCAATTATAGTTATACACATGATTAAAACATCGTAAAAAAATGTATTTCACAATAATTACGTTTCGTATTATAAGCGGTGTAACAGATATATTCTTTAGATTCTTTATTTTATATAAGTATGTAGTAGTAATATTTTCTTTTTCAATACAAAATATTATAAAAGTAAATCTGTTATCGTGGAATATTGTAAAAGGATTTTTGCCTTTTAAATTTCAGGTTTCAAGAAGGATTATTTATATTTTTTATGGGACAGGTGGCAAAAGAATGCCGACTTTTTAAGGAATGGTACGCGGATTTGATGTTGCAAAGTAAAAAATTCTTACTTCCTATATGTAATGTTATAATAAATATTAATAACATTCCTGAAGTTTTAAATTAAATTCATAGATTGAGATTCAATGTTGTCTTAATTTAGGTTAAAAATCAATAATAAATTATGTTAAAATATCTCTTATTCATAAAAAATAAATCCGTCGTATTGCATCATTAAAATTATAGAACTCAAATCTCTTCTTCACAGCGTAAAAACAATGACAGAATGAGAAAGAATGCTTCATTTAAGCGTGCAATAAGTCTGAGTAGGCTTTTATGAATAAAGTTGCTATTTAAAAAAATGTTACTGCCAGCATTACATGAATTGTAACTAACCAAAATCGTATATCTTTCAATTACCGCTTTTACTAACTATTCCACAAAGAGGAAATTTGAATAATATACATTAAAATATGAACATGGAGTGTTGGTATCATTGTCAAAGATAATGTATGATCCAAACCAGTGACGCTGCCTTTCTGTATCTGTTACGCAATCATTTATATTAATAGACAACTGATCAGTTTTCTGTGCCCAACACACCGTCGACTTTATTGGTCTAAGCCATGGTTTGATCGGTCAGTTTATGTCCCATTTATATATAGTGATATAAAACTCCTTAAAACGTTGAAAAATTCTCGCTTTTGGTTGGTTTGCCGATATGATTTTACACTGTATTTACGGAAACGATAGCAACAAAACTATAAATAGATATTCGAGGTTTATAGTATGTTTACGAATCTCTTCCATATTCGCATCAGTTTAAGTTTTTACTAATAAAACTATATACGTTAATGTGGATCGCTTAGACTAAAAAAATGCTGTTTTAATTAAGAACACTATTCATTGTGGATTATAGGAAAGGGCTATTTGACAGAAAAATAATTATTTAAAGTATTCCATATACATTGGTTCATAGTTTAAAATAGTGATTTTATACGTCAGTCACGTGTCACAAAACAGCCACAGATTAGTCGACGGCATATAATGCCAGTAAATAATGTCTTCACTTGTCTAAAATTCCATTGGAGTTATAATTCGGAGACTGTTATATCGAAATGTAAGTGTATTCCTATAATATAAGAATGACAATTAACACGTAAAAAACTTGACGTTTGTTTATAGCTTGGTGCGACGCCATCTTGTATAGAGAAGCGTTTTCGCGGGTAAAATTATGAATATTTGACATTTTAAAGCAAACTTAACAGAATTATATATATATATATATATATATATAATGAAGGTTCCATAAACGATAATGAATAATTTGAATAAGTTTTTAAATCTTGTCAGATAGCCCCTTGTAACATGTAACATAAAATCGAAAAAAGGGTAAGTCCGGAGGGACGGGTAATGGAGATAAATGTCATGTGTATCAAATTTTGGGAGTCAAAGCGACAAATTAGACAAAAGTCCTATACAATTTTATCTATTCTATGCTTCGAAGTACTTATTACAAGTTAAATATTAATAATACAAGTTAAGAGTTTGTTCCGAATCTCTTGATTTTTACTTAAATCTATAAATTAACATAACTGGATTTGTGAATATTGAGTATAAAAAACGTAATTTAAAAAAATCCAATAGAAGTTGTTGTTGGAACCTAATTAGGATCTTATCCGAAGTTATAATCTCATCTTGAACATCAAAATTACAATTTAGAAAATATATTTTACACTAACACTTTCAATTTGATTTCCACTTCGGCCAGTGTTTTAAATCGTATCTCTAGTTACAATCTCGTTTTCAAGTACTGATAAATATGTCAAACTTTATATATAAAAGAGCGATTGACAGCTAATGAAACTGGTTAGAATTTTTAGAGACGGGCAATTAATTTTCAAATATGTCTTCGTACAGAAAAACTCAGAAAAAGCCTAATTGCAGAGGCACTCAGTACTCTTTTGTCTCTTCTATCAAACATATAAACTGTGATGAGAGAGAGAAACGGTACAAATTTGGGGGTTCCCCCCCAAGCGTTAATCACGACAGTCAACCACTGGTGAAATACACTTCTGTTTGAACCCACCTAGGCTTAAACTTGCTTTGTGAGGAACGGCGCACACTCAACGTGATAGATCAAACGTGTTTGATTTTCAGTCGTGATATACCGTTCGTGAAGCCAAGATGTCTCACAACAACGTGGAAGTTTAACGACATGAACTACCATTTTTTGGAGTTATATTCTATGGAAAAGGAAATTCTACTTTTGAGGAATCACCTTAGCTAATACCGTAAAGTCACCTCTAATTTTGTTTTTGCACTTATTGCTTGTCTCATGTTAGTGTCAGATTTTGAAATAATATTTGTAACACCAATAGAGGTATTCAACTAAATTCAGTCATTCGCAATAGGTTTCTAATCTTCTGAAAATTGCTTTTTAATACCATACTAACCAAGTTCGACGCTCCTAACATATTTCTTCGCTGTATCCATTCTCTAACCCAACGTCATTTTTTCGTTTTCTTGTGTCCTGTAAGCGCTCAATTTTTTTGCTATGATAGTAGCAAAAACGAACAAACAGCACAACTTTCAACAACCAGATCATTCATGATCGATGTTTCGATAATGACTAAGTCGAAACACGAGCGTGAACGGCCGAAATCCCCAACCATGTGAACGTTTCATCAATTCACACTTTCGTGAGTGTCACGAACGAAAGTTGACTAGCGTAGTTGACTGTCGTGATTAACGCTTCGTGGGAACGCCCAATTACACTATTTTCTAGGCATTTCAGATTCCAGTCTTAGCGCGAACAAATTTTTCTTATAACGATTATTTTTATAGAACGGGGTAAATGGGCAGGACACAGCCGCCCATGGGACACGTACATTGACAAAAGGCTCGCAGTGCGTTGCCGTTTAAGAATTCGTACGAATGTAATTCTTGAACGATGTAACTATTAAATCGCACAAAAACATTGCTCATTTTAAATTGTAATTAATAATCAAAAATATTATCAAGAAATTATGTTTTTTTTTGTCAAATATTCGTAAGTATATCTTGTGAATGGCATAGGCCACAGTAAAATTAAAGCTTTCTACTTATTAAAACTTAATTGATACTTCAAACAGATTGGGCGTCGACTTCCTCTCCATAGTCGAGATCGTCGTAACTGAGGTCGTCATCTACCGCAGTATCCGCAGTCTCTATACCACCTGGACATGCCAGACATCTGGAAAAAATTATATTAGAATTTTATTTTGCGCTGATAGATTCCTATTCATATTTTTTATACAGAACTGAACATACTCCAACCTAATGTTGAGAGAGATCCGGCTTATTGGAGGACAAGCCTGTCCAGGAGATGCCTATTTAACCGCCGCTTAAATGAACCTATGCTAAACGCTAAAGGGAAGATGAAAGAAGTCAAGGAGTTCCACTCCTTTGCTGTTTTTACAAGAAACGGTAACTCAAATCCTGCAGTGTCGGTCCTGGGGTTGTTAGCAACGAAGGTTTTAAACTCCAGCGTGCTTCTTTATAAGCGGTGCTTAAACATAGCGTATATCATTTAACTAGTAGAGTCGACTTAAGAAAATTCCCATACGTCAAAAATATATCGATTTTTTTTTACATTTGACATGCGAGAGTACTATGACTCTCTTCGGAGTGTTCAAAGACCAGTTATATCAAACGTGAAATAAATTCATCCTGAATTTGTTTTAAAACATTATCTATGGCGGTTTTGACAATTAACATTATGTCTTGTGTCATGTATCTTATAAATCAAAACTAGATCTTAGCATTGCTATTATTAATTAAATTCGACAGTGCTTAGAAAACGATGCCAAGGATTGCCAACTCGATTGGCCTATTTTTTTGGATTAACACTTGCCTATAAGGAAATATAATATACTATACTCTGAGGCTGAACACTAAAAATATGTTTAGAATTTTAATAAAACATTGATTACAGAGTAGATTCCTTTGAGATTATGTGATTTAAGCTCCGACTTATTTTTACAATTTACTTTCGTAGAACTTCTTTTTTAAATATCTTGCTAATCTATCACTCAGATATTCAATTGGTAGTAAAGTCTGTTAGTTAAGCAGTGGCCAATCCAATCCAGAATTTAATTTAGTGCTTTATGTAAATTAATAAACTATTAATTTACGTTAATTAATAGTAAACGTTTTTTACGAGAGTACAAATATTTCACATGAACATCTGCTAATCTTTAATTGTCCAAGTATCAATAACGATATAAAGTAAATATGTACGCATTATCCTTATATATAAATTACTTAAATAAATGAAATAGTTAATACAATGCGACAGGTCTAGTGGTTAGTACCCCTGACTGCGAATCCATGGGTCCCGGGTTCGATCCCCGGCCGAGACAAACATCGATGTGATGAGCAAAAGTTATGCGCCTATAAATATTGTTTATATTTAACGATTAATAATTAGTTTAGCGACACCTGCGCATGTAATATAATATGTTATGTACGTCAGCGTATGTTAATGCAGGAGTTAGTGGCCTTGTGGCGCAGGTGTCTGCTTTGTATTCCATATTACGGAGATAAACACGATATATTTTAATACCTAATTTATAAGATTTTAAAAGAAAATGCACTTCATATAACGCTTTTTAGTCGGATTATAAAAACTGTCTATTACCTTTCTTGACTGTCATAATTTGTAAATGTCACAAGTTCTTGTTCTTATTATTTTTTTGTTGAAATAAAGTAAAATGTTTTTTTATTAGCAGGCACCAGGCTTTATTGAATTCGGTCGAAGTTTTTAATGCTCACCGAAACAATGGTTTAATTTTTTTTTTGTTTTAGCAATTATTTATGAATTTTTTTTTTAATATGAGCACTACACTGTCGAACAAATATAATTATTATTTGTAGCAGGAGGAATCGTTTGATTATTTCAAGCTTTTGAGTGAACACAATAAGGTGTCCCATAGAAACCATATTACGCAACTAATTTAATGATCATTTTATTATATATTGACTTATCAAACTAGAATAATAATAATTATTTTAAGTAATCAAACCAAGCTGGGCCATAAATGTTCTATATTACGTTAATTAGAAAGTCTAACGTACATTTGTTTTATTATTTATACAGAATTTTTCTATAACCTAAACCATTTTATCAGCTAAGCTTCCAGTATAAAAAGCCTCTAGAATGTTCTACATGCCCTTCAAATATTCCGTATTGTTTCCATTATCCTCGGGTATTAATAGAGCGGCCTTACGATTTCGCGTAATCTATTAACATCGATTGTTTATAATACCGCGAATTGTGAAATCTTACCTGCTCTCCTTTATCCCGTAATTTATACATTTATCGCCCACGCACTCGCAGCATCCATCGTGGAACCATCTGGAATTCATAACAATAGCGTTAAAACGTATTCCACCTTGTTTTCTGTTGACTAAACACTAGTTTATTTAAGTATTTATACATGATATTATAAATACTAAATCAGTTTTAACTAAATCTCATCCCTCTCTTTTAATTGCACCGTATACACAATTTTATAGAAGGAGACGAAGGAGTGCATTATTTAATAGACTGTAATTAGACTGATTTAGTCTTTAGGGAGTAGAAGTCATTAAAATAGTTTAAAAAATATAACATTACAATAAAAATATTAAATTTATACACATAACTTTTATATTATTAAAAACAAGACATATTAATGAAGGATGTAATTGCATTTAACAAAAACTTATGGAGTTGAATTTGTAACATTTTTAATGAATTAAATGTGGAGAAATTAAATTCTTTAAACTGTTTAAGCCTGAATAATGTTTCAGTAAGTTTTTATCTACAAACAACATAGACCACAGAAGACAAAACATTAAATCGAGTTTTGTACATTTTTTCAATAGGTTTTTGACATTATTGATACTGGTTTTTATTTTTACCTATTTCATAGAATACATTACCTAAAGCTATTGGAGCCCATTGATCTACAAGACGCCTTACACTTGGAACAGGACATGCATTGAGACATGTATGCCACAGTACAGTTAAAAGTGAGAATATCACGACTAACTGGCTCCGAATCTTGTTCCACACTTTCTGTAATTTAAAAATAACATCCATTAAATTGAAATGTATACAAATAATAATTATACGCTTTAAAAATAATGTTGAACAGTATTGTTGTAATTCACCTGTGATTTTCTAATGAACATTTCACATTATAAGTTAATAATAGTACTTGAATAAGAAAATAAACATAAGAATAAGAAGATAAGATATGTAAAGAAGAATGTAAAAGAAACAAAAACTAATCCCTAAACAATATTGTAGAATGTTAAAATGGTTGGCTGTGCCACATATTATCTTTTTATAAATTCCTGGAAAAGTATTATTGTATTTCTTAGAAAGCTTTATCATAAATTGTCAACTGTAAATGTTTTAGATAACATTCAATATAACTGTATGGCATAACAAAAATAAGCTGTAAAAATTGGACCTTTAGCAGGTAGTTCAAGCATTCCTTAATGAAATGACTCATCAAAGGTAACTCAGCAGGGGATTTCTGAGAACTATTAAACATGGGAAAATGATAATCACTGTTTAGGCAAGATAAAACTATTAAAATTTGATACCTATTTTACATGTTTTTAAATAAAATTAACATAAATTAGTTTTTCAAGTGAATTTCTCAAGTAGCTTTTTTAAGCACAAGATTGTCACAAAATTTCTGAATAAGTTAATACATAAATTTTAAACGGTTTACATCTCTAAACTTAATGAAGTAAATGTTAATCAACGGATATCATAAAACACAATTTTGTAAGAAGCTGCCCTTCAAATATATCTAAATAAGTCCATTCCCCTTTAAATAAATGTCAAAGGTAAACAATACTACACACCATCACATTACTCTTTGCATTATCTAAATTTAATTTTAGAAATAGAACTATAAAAGAAGAGTTAATATGATTAGTACTTCCAGTAATACTAAATTACTTACGGAGATGATACACCAACTGCCTCTCTGCAGCTGGTTGGAATGCAGAAATATCAAGGTCTACAGGGTATGTTATGGACAACCATCTTTGCTGAGGGTCAGATTCTCCAGTTAGGGCTGCAAACAAGCCTGGTACATTGTCTGGTAACTCCTCAACATATGATGCTTTTGAAAGCTCAGTTTGAGTGTCATTTGGTTTAGGACACATATCTGTAACAAGAGAAATAAATGAGTCTCATAAACACATTGAACATGTACATGTGGAAAACTATTGGCATTACTATTGCAAGTGTTTCACGATTCAAGACATAATATTAAAACAGAAGTTATTTATATAACATATACATTATTTTATACACTAAATGTAACATAAACTTACCAACACAGCTGCAGCACTCATAGTACAATGTGCTGAGGCAATTGAAGCACTCCTTACAGCAAGTACAATCTTTGAGATCACATTTGCAAGATTGAGTAAGCATACACTTGGAAACAACACTTGCACATATTGCTTCGTTACAAGCGTATATTATGGGCACAATACATAAAAATGCAAAAATAACATAAAACTTTAATGCCATTTTTAGGAACACTTAATAACTTTGTATTATAAATATTAGTCAATTTTAACGTAACGATTTGCACTGTTATTAAACTTACACCCTTTGGTGTAGGAATAACTAAGTTACGTATTCTATAATAACAAAGTAGCTATTAACTAATATTTATAAATTCAACAACGTAAAAGTTTTGACGACCTTCCAGCTTCGCGTTGCTACAGAAATGTGAATTGTCAAGTAAACTATAAAACTTGACGCACGGCACGGCGCACCCCAGTCCCCACGCACAAGAACTCTCTATAATACACAGACTCCACAGTCCACAGTCCATACTCCACAGTTGGCTGCTACCGATTGTGAACAGACTGACTTATAGTACGGGAGGTAGCAACGTTTGAAAAGAAAGAATTTTAGGTCAGCTGATTTTGTGATATGTCTTCCTTCTTGCACTTTCGGTTAGAGTTTGGGCAATCTGGCTGGCGGTAGCGGTTGCGTTCATTAGTGCGCATCCTATCTGTCCAGGTAATAATCCTGGATTTTAAAAGCATTTTAAGAAGCGTAATTTTGAATTTTTCGTTTTTAAATAAGTCTACCTGACATACTTTTTTTATTGCCAGACATTTTTCACATTGCTAACTATGTGCCAGACGCGATTTTAAGTTTTTTTTTTATAAAAATTTCAAAGTATTTTAGAATGTCTGTAATTTTAATATTATGTTATTTAAATATAAGAAAAACTAAAAATGAATTTGCCAGACATTAATTCGATTGTTAAGCCTTGAATTAAAATGAAAAAGTCATGAATAGTACAGCCTGAGCTAAATGATAAACCACTTTTAATCCATATTATCTTTATTATTTACTTTATCAAAATATAATTATTTTGTGTTGCGTTGCGATATTCACATGTTTGCGTAACTTTCTACTATCATTAATACAATTGTTTGGAAGCAAGATGGTAAGACAAAGTTAAATTTACAAATGTATATTATTTTTTATTATATTATACAAATTTTTAATTATTTTTTTTTAGGAAAAGTTATTTACCTTAATAACTTTTGCTACATGTTTGATAGTAACTTGTGCTTACAAAAATCCGTACTTTGCGGAAAGAAGGTCGGTGATAGTTCACCTCTTTGAATGGAAATGGGATGATATAGCTTTAGAGTGCGAACGCTTTTTAGGTCCTCGTGGGTTCGGAGGCATTCAGGTATGTAGATAAAGATATAATATAGAAGCATAACTACTATTAAAATAATATTGATAACTCAAAATTATTATTTCAAGAGATGTATTTTGGAACGAGAAACATATTTACATCAATAACCATGCTTTCACCGTCATATAGGTATTCCGGATACTCCAAAATCCAGTGCCTCTAGTATACGGCATCTACGTAAAATACTTAAGAGTCCATAGAAACTTTATTTACTATAAAGTTATACTTCCTCGACACTTTATCGGCGTCGACTTTACGAAATTTTCAACAAACTTGCCTGTGATTTGTGAAGTCTCCATTATACGCATTGCGCTAGCGTGGGGACTACAGACCATTCTCTTTCGCCTAAGAGAGGAGGCCTATGGCCATTAGTGGGACATATACAACGTGATATTGAGTACGCTGAAAATGTCGAAGTTTATTAAAATAAAACTAAGTAGGGACGATTTTGACTAATAGGGCCCCATCAAAAGAATTGCCATGAAAGAAGATTTGCCACGGGCCCCAGATGGTATAGTTACGCCCCTGCGGCAACATTATAAATCATGTACAGTACTCTGAAGGATAGTACTCTAAGACATAGATAGGTCTCCTATTTATGTCTTAGACTTTGTTTTAATTTTAGATATCACCCCCAAATGAAAATGTAATAATTGGGGCAAGTAACCGTCCATGGTGGGAAAGATACCAGCCGCTTTCTTATGTACTAGTCACTAGATCTGGAGACGAGCGTCAGTTCGCTGAAATGGTCCGTCGATGTAATAATGTTGGAGTCAGGTAAGCCAGATATAAACAAAATACACGGCAATTTTTTGCTCTTTTATGTTTCGAGTTTCTTATGAAAAAAAATTTTATTTTACTAAATATTATTTTAAAATATTATTTTAATAAATCGCCAAGTTTTTTGTTTTACACAACGTTTGTAAGGAGCTGCAACTATTTCACCATGTTCCACATGACATCTTAAGTATTAAATAAATAATAAAACAAAGAGCAAGAATCTCGCCTAATTTTAATGTATTATTAATATATAATGACGTTCCGTTTTACTGTGATCCAGAATCTACGTGGATGCCGTAATCAACCACATGACTGGTGAGCCTCGCGATAATGTTGGCACAGCTGGGAACACAGCTGAATTTAGGGAGTGGCATTATCCAGCTGTGCCTTTCACTAGAGAACACTTCAACTGGCCACCGTGCGGCATTGAAGGTTCCGATTATAATAACAATGCTTGGAGAGTAAGTAATTTCGTATGATACCTATGAACTTTTCTTATGGTAAGCCTGCACTTTGCATTGAGAAGTACATTTATTTAATATCTTGTAAATAATACTGTAGGATACTCAGGGATGGAGCATTGGAACGGTAGAATATTTTTTGAAATCCGTCAACCAATTTTTGTTTTAATTCATTTCAATCTTTATAATAATATTAGTATAACTACTAGCTGACCCGGCAAACGTTTTGCCATGTATTTAATTTCTAGAAACCATTTTTTTAGTTCAATAAAAATAATTATCTACTATAATAAAAAATAGGGGTTGATCGTAGAGGGGTAAAAATTAAGGGTTGTAAGTATTTTTGTATGTTGTATCATAAAAAAATAAAAACAAAAATTAGGGGTGTAACCTTAACATTTAGGGGGATGAAAAATAGATGTCCGATTCGCAGACCTAACCGATATGTACAAAAAAATTCACGAAAATCGGTCGAGCCATTTCGAAGGAGTTTAATTACAGACACCGTGATACTAGGATTTTATATATTAGATTAGGGTTTTGAAAATTCATATTTGTCAAGTGAGCAAGTCAAGTTCCGCGAATCCAAACAATACATATATAAAAAAAATACATTTTTAATTTTCAGTTATAATAAAACAATTTTGATTAGGTAATTATAATGTTTGTTACCTAATCGAAACCTTATCGTAATTAATAATGTTATCAAGAAATCAGTGTCTTATCTGTTGTTTTTCCACTGCAGGTCCGGAACTGTGAATTAGTTGGATTAAAAGATTTAGACCAATCCAAGGAACATGTACGGCGAATGATTGTCGAATTTATGAATAAACTTATTCACTTAGGAGTGGCAGGGTTTAGGTATAACATATGATTTCCTACTTGTTTTTATAGAACAGAGGACACATGGGCAGTAGTCTTACCTAAAATTCACGCACACTGCCGCTCATGGACTCTCAATGCCAGAGAATTGGTGCGTTCTTTTCTTAACCCTTAGTCGACTTGGTTCGGAAGTACTTCAGCGGGTAGGTTCCACATAGTGGAGGTGCGTGACAATTACTGCCTTGGTAGCATAATCCCTGTAGAATGCCCAGAGAATCCATAAATGTTTTGGCTTGGAATGTTGAAAGATTGAACAATGAATTGGATGCACTTTTATCAGCGCTATACGCCTATATTTACTTTGTCATTGCTACACTAAAAAGTTTTTTTAAATAGCACGTTTCACGCTTTTTTTCGAAAAATTAACCCTAGCTTAAGACACTACAGATGCCAGTACTAGAAAGTTCTATGTAATGATGATGTAATCTTACCAATACTCACTTTGTCGCCTTACAAAATGTTATAGCAATTAATGTTTTTAGAGCGTTGGAATGTCAAAAATATATTCAAATCAGTCATTAATATTACTTACAAAATATATCTTAATTAATTTTTTATTACTGTAATAGTATTAAAAACTTCGAGAAAATATTTGTATTAGTTAAAAAGTCTTTATTCTAGAGACTGTACGGAAAGAATCATCGTGGCGGTTTTGTGAACCACGATAATTCTTATTCATTCCTCCACAAAAATACTTTTTATTGTTCCATATTATAAGATTGGTAGGTTTTCGGATTAGTTTGCAGCTGAGTTTCATCATCGGACGTCAAGGCAGAATACAAAATACCACCCGCATCACCTCGACGTCCGCCGTTCCATAATTAAGCATTTTTAAGACAGTTTTTGTCGCGCAACACCACTATATGCAACCAGTTGCCACTCTGAAGTATTTTCGAAGCAATTTGAGTTAGGGTCCTTCAAGAAAAGAGCGTACTAATACTTAAAAGGCTGGCAACGCACTTGCGAGCCTTCTGGCAATGTAACCGTCTAAGGGCGATATGACTTAACATCACGTGAGCCCGCTGCCTGTATTAAAAAATGATGATAACTGTCAAACTATAATGACGTAACAGTGTTGTCAACGTAACAAAAAAGGTAATTTTTCTTTACGTCAGTCCTCTTTCGGACTCTCTCGGACTGTAATGTTATGCTTTATTGCCGTTTCATAGAATCGACGCAGCAAAACACATGTGGCCTGAAGACCTCCGCATTATATACGACAGACTTGACAACTTGAATACAGCCCATGGCTTCCCACCAAACGCGCGCCCATATATCTACCAAGAAGTCATAGACTATGGTGGCGAAGCTGTCAGTAGGGACGAATATACACCTCTCGGAGCTGTCACAGAGTTTAAAGCCGGCATGGATTTGAGCAATGCGTTCAGGGGGAATAACCAGCTCAGATGGCTTAGTTCTTGGGGTCCTACCTGGGGTTTGTTAGCTCATGGGGATGCCTTGACCTTCATTGATAATCATGATAACGAAAGAGGTCACGGTGGTGGAGGGGGCGTGTTGACATACAAGCAATCTAGACTTTATAAGGCCGCTGTAGCATTTCTTTTGGCCCACCCATATGGCGAGCCGCAAATTATGAGTAGCTTCGACTTTGTTGACTCCGAAATTGGACCACCGATGGATAGATTCGAAAATATCATTTCGCCTTCTATTAATTCCGTGAGTATACTTTTTATTCAAAAAAAACTCATCCTTTAAAGTTTGCATAATTAGAATAATAATTTAAAACATATCTTTCAAATTGAATAATTTTGCTTTATTTATTCCGATATTAATTTTTTACCTATTATAAGGCCAGCAACACACTGACAAGTCTTATTTTCGTTGCATTGGCGGCCATCCATGACCCAAGACCGGGTGAGGCCCCGGCCCAGTTGTCCACCGTTCTTCAAATATCATATAAACAACGTCTTGTAATAATTATAGGCGTATTATGGCTACCTTTCGTTCTTGAAGCTATTAGAGGTCCAATGGGAACCTAAGAACTATATTTTCTAGGATGGTTCATGCGGGAATGGGTGGATATGCCAACATCGCTGGCGTCAGATCTATGGCATGGTGGCATTTAGAAATGCTGCTGGTCAAACAGCCTTGAACAATTGGTGGGATAATGGCAGCAATCAAATCGCATTTAGCAGAGGAGACAGAGCATTCATTGCGTTTAACAACGATGGGTGGAGCTTAAATCAAAATTTGCAGGTTGATATAAAATACGTTGAATAAAACGTAGAAAGCATTACGTAATTCTTCTCAAATATCTTAAGTCACAGTTCTCGAACTGTTTTTTTTTATGAATTGCTTAGTGTTATAATATAATTACTAAAATTATAAATATTAGGTCCTTACATATGAAATTGGCGTTTTGTATGGGAGGAACAAAAAGTCGAATATTTTTAAATATCATATATTAAATTAATCAAAGTATGAACCATTGTTTTCTATGCACTTTTGCCATCTCATAGGAAGTTCATTGATCCCTTTACTAAAAAAACAGTCGGACGGGAACAATAAAATCTGTGAAGGCGATTTGGACTGCCCCATCAGAGTTAAATTTTTTCCCTTGCAAGAAGTTGTCCAAATTTCGAAAAAAAATGGTAATCTGTTGGAGCAAGGTCCGGAGAGTACGGAGGATGTCTTAGACATTCCAATTGAAGCTCTTCTAATTTGGTAGCCGTCTGTTGTACTGTGTGTGGTCTAGCGTTGTCGTGAAGTAGCAGTGGCGTGGAGCGATTGACCAGCCTAGGTTGTTTAGCCGCTACTTTTCCATCATGGTTTGCAATTGCTGACAATAGACATCAGCCGTAATAGTCTGCCAGTTGAGACTCAATGCAATACCGGCACTAGTCCACCAAACGCTTACAAGTAACTTTTTTGGGGTTACTTTTTGCTTGGGAAATCGGCAGGATTTGGCTGGCTGGCCAGGATCCAACCATTGCGCTGAGCGCTTCCGATTATCGTAAAGAATCCATTTTTCATCACAGGTAATGATTCGGTTTAAAATACCTTCATTATTGTGCCGGTTCAGTAATGTAACGCAGCAGTCGACCGCGTTTGCCGGTTTGCTTTCAGTCAATTCGTGAGGTACCCATCTTTCAAGCTTTTTAATCTTCCCAATTTGCTTCAAGTGAATTAAAACAGTTTTATCACTAACACCGCAGCCTCAGCTAGCTCGGAAGTGGTTTGCGACGGATCCGCTTCCACAATAGCCTTCAATACTTCATTATCAACTTGGGTCTCAGGCCGTCCACGGGGCTTGTTCTGCAGGTCGAAATGTCCAGAACGAAAACGTTGGAACCAAAAACGAACTGTGTTTTCTTTTGCAACATGACCGCCATACCCATCATTCACCCTTCGCAGTCGTTTCCGCAGCACTAGTGCCACGGCGGAACTCGTACTCGTAAATAATGCGATACTTTAAGTTTTCCATTTTGTAAAATGAGTGACGCAAACAAAAAAAAGAGAAAAACAAATGAATGAGGTTCGAAGCACAAATACATGAGTAAATAGCTGTACAAATTTGAATTTGGAATTCCTTACCAAAAGAGGAAAACATCGTGATTAAAGTGGCCAGTACGAAATACGCCAATTTCATATGTAAGGACCTAATAGTACTAAGGTAACGGTCCTCCCTCCGTACTGGTTTAAAAGAAAAAAAGTGCGTGCGTACAAAGTACACATGTCAGAAGTGAAACTTCTTTGGCAGACTAACTTTTAAGTCTTGTTCATATCTATACGAGGGAAAAAGGAAGATATGTTAGGAATTTAATGAATTTAATTGTCATTAAAATATTAAAAGTGTCGAAATTAATACCAATTATAATTTTTTCTTAATTTATTTCGATAATAAAAACATGTGGCATTTTAATTTACAATTTGTCATTTGAGATTTCAATAAATTATTTTGCATAAAATATAAAATACTAATATTTCTTTATAATATCTATAAAATTTTAATTTTTAAAATAGAATTTCTATAAGGTAATTCGACCATCTCACTCTCTCTCACTCGGTGTCAATCGCTCTCTACCTTGCTCGACAAAAACGCTGCACATTTTCGTGACGCTAATATCACTATTATTGCGTTTCATCCGTAAAAAATTTACCCTCGTGCGCCTAAAAAACAAGTTTCACTTCAAAAACGGTTTTACGGTAAAAAGGCCTGTAGGTATGTATTAAGACATCGTAATGTAATAAAACCAGGTACAGGTAATTGGCAAGTAGCCGTCTGTCCCACACGCTCTTGATTTTTGGACCTTGGATCTTTTTTAAAGCATTTCGGTGTCGCGAAATTTCCACTCACATGAGCAAGTTATATTTATGCAGATAAAGAAAACCCCATTTGTACACAGCCGTAATAATATAATTCAAATGCCATACGTCTGGAATAACATTGCTCTTGTTATATTATATAATTTCGGCTGCAGACAGGTCTTCCAGCTGGTACCTACTGTGACGTCATATCCGGGGATAAAGTGAATAACTCCTGTAGAGGAAAGACCGTCATAGTTAGCGGAGATGGACGGGCACACATCTCTATTGGACCCCAAGATTACGACCTTATGTTGGCCATACACGTTGGCCCTGAGGTAATAAAGATATTTATATAATAAACTATTAATGTTTCCTATAGCATGCTAGAGAGCATGCCTCAGAAGAACGTGCAAATAATCTCATCCTAGTTTCATAATTGTATGTCATAAATAGATATAGTTTTTTAACCTCTTAATTATGTACTAACTTAATAATTTTTATAATTCATTAATTTTATTTGTCATTCCATGAAAAAGCGCGCCACGCTTACTAACTTGACAGATATCGGAATCGTCTAACTGACAGATATCGCAATTGTTTATTTCCAAAGCCATAGACAATGGGCGATATTAAATTTTGCCAATTATTAACTTATTTGTTTTTCCTTATTGGTTAGAGTAAGCAACTATAAATAGCAATACTTCGCTATGATTTTATCTAGATTTTTTCCTTAAATATAAAAGTATCAAGGATTTCTGCTTATCAGTAGCGCTTTCCCACTATAACAATTTGATATATTTTTTTTAATACCAACATTCTTGTTTAATTAATTGCTATTATCTTTCAAAAATATTTTGTTATGTTTGAGTGACACTCCTATCCATCATAATTATGGTAATAGACAATTTGATGGTGAAAATAATTAAATAAAATAATAATATAGATTAATCTTCTTTTTCAGAGTCGTCTGTAATCGATAAATAATGAACGCGCTATTTCAATCAAAATATTAAATATTAAGCCAAATGTTTATTGTATTTTATTCTACCGTATCACACTTTTAAACTACTCAATTATAAGTTAACCCGACAACCAATGATGTTTTAAATAACATTTTTAATGTGTAAAAGTTATTTCAATAAAAGACAACATTTTTAAGTCTCTTCACTATGATTTACATACAACTAACTGATAAAACTAATTTCTTGTGACTATTCAATTCAAGCTGTTTAAAATATAGCTTTGACAATACGTATTTGATCCCCCGGCAGACCTTTTACCTCATACCTAATGCAAAAATTCTGCATCGATAATTTCCTAGAAAGGAAGGCAAAAAGGGTACAAATAAGTGTATCTTTAACCTGGACCAACACTCAGCAGCGTCATAAAAGGTACTATAATTATTTCATTAATACTTCGACTGAGATTAAGATCGTTATACCACACCACGAAGATCGGTGAAAAAAAAGGTGTAAGGAACCCGGACAAATTCTTTCGATTAATTTATATGTTAATTATATCATAACAGTATGATAGTTATCTCACACCAATCTTAGACGAAAAAAAAAGCAATCAGGTGTTCCCAGGCGTACCCATCCAATACTGACCTCCCCACGTTGCTAACTTCGTATCGGACGAGAACCGGTGTATTACAATAGCAAATAGCAAAAAAGTGTCGTACAACTTTTCGTAAGAATTTTTTCCGTTTAGCCCCCTTTCACAACCCATAAGGAACTTCGTTCCAATATGACATACGTTATTGTCTTTTTTGTTTCGTTTATTTAGACGAGAATGAACAGGACAAAACATTTTATAGCTTGCTTGTACGATTATGAATAAGGACTGGTACAAGCTTTGAAATCGTTTAAAATAATCTTTTTCAGTTTTCGCTAAAAGCCTTACATGATTTAGTAAGGGGAAAAAGTATAAGCGTCACAACTCGAACGCTAACAATCTGTAGAGTGTAAGCGATCTCATCATACATCTCTGACTAACAAAAGACATATTATTATTATTAAATAACAAAATAAACATAATATGTTCGCTTGTGACCTCGCGTCCGTGGAAAACCATACTGATAGGTATATAAACCTGCGTGACTACTAAACAAAACAGCACAGTTGAAACATCGCTTTCAGTTGTGAAACACAAGATTTCATTGCGAAGAATAGTTTTTACTAAATCTGTTATTTCTATTCCATTTACATGAATTACTTTAATACGCAATTATGTTATTGAAGGGTAATCACGTATTATTTAACTACGGTATATGCGGTGGTCTTGGTCAAAACAACCACAGATTTCGGATAATTATTGTTAATATCAAAGTCGTTTGTCTGCCTTATGAACTTGTGGCATGTTGTCATCTTTAGGTCTAAGATATGCCACTTTCTTGACAACCAATTAAATAATTTAGGGTTAAATTAAAGATTGTCCTTCACATTTTTGAAGTCGGTTTAAAATAGTAGTATTAATGGGGTACACAGCCGCAGATCAAAAGCCTCCAAGTGACGAAAGTTTAATTATTAACCTAAGCGTTGGTTTGCAGAATAGATTTGTCGGGATTTGTTCGGGTTGTGGTATTATTTTTGTAGGCTCATTTGGTCACGGCTTTAAAAACTGGCTATTTAGTTATTGGTATTTTAGTAGTGTTAATGCATTCTCTATTCCAAAATAATTATAATCCAATGAGAGGAGTTTAAACACAGTTTTGAGCGTCATTTTTCTCTTGTATCGCCAATATCTCTACTAAATTGTTATATACTGTAACGCCACACCCACGCGCGGAAAGTGTTTCTGTCGGCATTTGACGCGATGGCTTTACGCTCACAACTCCTGCGCATCGGTATGTAATTTCACTTTTAATTGTAAACGATTAGGTGTTCTAGTAATTAGTGTATAAATGTGCAATACAGTGTTCAGTTTAATTGCTAAATGAAAATGTCTTAGTTTATCCGGGCAACCGATCTACCTTAATATGTAATTGATTCTACCTTAGTATTGCCTCATTTCAAAAATAAAAACAATATATTGAATACGTCAAGGGCAAAAGTGACACGAAGAGTTTTTCATAAGGATTTTGCAGTGTCCTTTTTGCGTGTACAAGACATTGACATTTCGATGTTAAAACCACAAAGTCACATTTAAGATAAACCGGTCCAGGTAAAATTTTAATAACGCTTTGAACGAAAGGATTCAAACAGAAGGACTATTATCTAATCTACGAAACATCTACCATCTTACACGACACTCATTATACCAATAATTATCAAAACAAGAGTTTCGAGTTATTTAATTGAATTCTATATAATATATAACCGCACATTACGTGAGTAAATAGCGTTGTGTAAGACTTGCTTAGCCGTTGTTATGTGTTATTACCGTTTGATAGCTGATAATGGGTCGTCTCAGAGAAATGGTACACTTTTGTGTTTACACATATAAAAGATATAACGATATCTTTTATCATTTATTCTACCACCAGTGATGCCATCTCTTATAACGTTGCACCTTGAAACAACCTTAAATATTCCTAAATATCGATTTAAAACCCCAAAAGTTTTTGTTGTTGTACTCGGTTGTGTTTGTTTTTTTGATAAATGCTTGGAGTTGTATTTGGTTTAGTGTGTTGGTTGGGTTAGAGGCTTAATATTGATTGTATCGTAACGTGCGTTTTTCACAGAATTTGTTTTCTTAAATAATGTACCCTCTAAAATACCCCTGGACATCTTGATTCCCCCTAAATTTGTGGGAAAACCCCCAGTTTGCATTACTGCCCAACACTATCGCCGATCGGCCGAAGAAGGGGGAGTATCCCTCCATAACCAATTAACGGATTGTTTGCTGTTTTAACAAAGATTGTGCTTCGATGCATTCAGGCCTTTTCACTGAAATCGTAATGGTAAAGTTGTATTTTATATATATGACTTTTAAAGTATTATTTTTCACATGGAAAATTGTTTATTACCTCTTGGCGGGAGCTCCCTAGCTCCTTCTACTTGACCGTATTCAACGAAAAGCGATTCGAATCGTCGACGACCAGTCACTTTCCGAGCGGCTTGATCCCTAGGAGTTGCGTAGAGATGTGGGGTCTCTCTGTATCTTCTACCGCATTTACCATGGAGAGTGCTCAGAGGCGTTGTTCAGATTAGGCCTGCTGCTGAGTTTTATCATCAGCAGAATACGAAGTTTCACCCGTATCTACTCGACGCGGATGTCCGTCTTTGACAACTGAGCGTTTTTGTCACGCAACACCACTATGTGGATCCAGATGTCCACAGGTATTTTTGGACCAATTCGACTTAGGGACACGAAAAGAACGTACACATTCTTAAGGCTGGCAACACTCTCTCGAGCAATGTCAGTGTCCATAGGCGGCGGTATCACTTAACTTCAGAGCCACCTTTGCCCCCAGTTATATAAAAAAATATATATGCATTTGATAAGGTTTTTTTTATTCCTGCCTTTAGACCTATGACTAATAAGTATCGCATGGATGCTATTCGTGTCAAAATATTTTGTTTCGGAGTGAGAGGGATCGGTATATTAGTGAAACCAATTCAGAAATAGCAGGTTAGATCCATAAAACCTACATACAAAGATTGCCACAAAAATTTGGCAATCTGTACCAAAAATATGACGTCAACCAAAACATTTCGATATATGTACTTATATCTCTATCAATTTCCATAAAGTCACACTTTGAATGAAGAGTACGAAAACTTAAAAATTATAGAAGTTACACAGTTCACATTGTGTAAGCTTTTTTAATTAATACGTTGTTTTTAATAATTTATTTATTAATAGTTTTTTTAATAATTAAATGAATCTCCTTATTTTTATTACATAAGTCGAAATTTCGGGTGCTTGTAGCTTTCGTGGTCAGTAATATTTTTTACCTTATATTTTTTATAGATATATAATTCAGCATGATATGCTTACTGATCAAACTGAATTCAACTTAACATTCAAGATAAATTGTGTTCCAAATTGTCTCGACGACCTTGGCTTCGTTCATTTGCACAAGGTTCAGTCTCGCTGTTTAGTATTTGATATTTACACAACTTATCTACTGTTTTTGTATTATTTCCTATAATAATTGATAACAGAATGGGTTCATGAGTTTTCAGTTTGACAGATGTTTGTACGACTAATGTAAAATAATTAGGTATTATTGGAACTTCATGATTAATCGATTTACTCATTAAAATCTTTTGTAGATTACCAAACGTCCTTTTTAACATTAAATAAATCATTAGTAATACAAAGAAATCACGTTTCCACCGGATTCACTAGCAAAATATAATTGATACGTTTAAAAAGGTTTTCTTAGAAAGGTTTCCAATTATCTACACTTGCATGACACTTCTACGAGGCTCGATTGCAGTATTTCCAGTTAGATATCCTAAGACTTAGATGTTTATGTTTATTTGTATGAACCCTTCTTCTTCAGGTGCTACTTTATACTAAAGCTGTGCTGTTAACAACTTGAACTAGTAAACTGGAATTCGTGAATGCGGTGATGTTAGTTATTTCGACATGTATTAGCGTGTTGTTGAGAATGTAAGTGCGTGCTCCTATTGCACCATGCATCATGCTGAAATATTAAATATTTGTTTTTAATTTTTTTATTATAACTTAACTATCGACTATCAATTACTTCAGATGTTATGCGGAACATGGTATAATGGTTGCAGCTCCTTACATTTTGTAAAAAAAAACTTGGCGATTAAAAAGAGTACCGGAAAGTTTCTTGCCACTTCTCGTCCGTTCTACGCCATTGATTTGAGAACTGGCAGTAAATGTGAAATTAGAAGCATATTGGATTAAATATGTATTTCTTTATTGACATTCAAAGTGTACATTGTGTTACCTAAATGACTTTTGACTTTGACTATTGAATTGCCGGGAATTTTGCGCTAGTCTAGTCTGCACCTCGGCGGATGTGATGCGGTCCACTTCCATTCGCTCCGCAACCACGACTTCTTCCTTCTAACAGCCCGCTCTTGCCTTGAATTTTGCCCAACATTATAAGCTGCGACAAGTCGTATCGATGATGACGCAAACATGTCCGAGATAGGTATATGACTTTCCATTTTTAACAGTCTGGACAAACTTTCGTGTTGTCCCGAATCGTTGAAGGACTCTTTCATTCGTCACTCTTTGGATCCAGGTGAAGCGATCCGCGGCAACGCCAGATCTCAAAAGCTTCGAGGCACCTTCTTGTGTCTTCTTTATTAGTCCAATCCTCCAGCCTATAGTGCTACTGGCCAGATGTAACAGAGTTAAATTCGAACCCTCAATTTGATACTAATGTTGCGACAACATAGTACTTTTTCAGTTTATAGGCCCGGGTCATTTTGATTCGAGATTTCATTTTTTTACTCGTATCCCATGCTGCATGTGCACCTGCTTGTATAAAATATTTAACTTTAATACCCATACTGATCTTCTTGCTAAATTTATTTATTTGGAATACTAGAGCTATTAAAAATAGTTACACGCACCTACGGCTCCCTTATATGCTATTTAAATGATCCTATGTATTGTAGGAGTATGTCTCTCTTACAATTGAATTACTAACATTTATGATAATTAATATTTTTCACAATAATCTTGCTACTTACCGTAATTATCTTTATTACGTTCTTAATGAGGTTTAAGTTTTTACGATATTACCTGTATTTTTTTCTTGCTAATTTGTTATTTCTATGTTCTAATAAATGTGTTTAAAATTTTGACGTCATATTTTTAGTAGGTATTTCTTAAGCATGTTATATTAGAAATTATTTAAACAAAAATAAATTGAACCCCCCATAGAAACTTACCTGTTCTTCTCAGACCAGTGAGGGTTGTAGACTGTCTTAATGGTATTATGTTAATTACTTTGACAAGGCACATAAAATACCTTTTTATTTCCAGTAAACAATGGACAACAAATACGACACCTTCACGAGTTGAATTCAAAGGAGCGCGCAGGAGTGGAAAAACTTCGTGATGTGTTAGGAGATAGACTGAAAGAGATCAAACGAGCAAAGACTTGGAAGCATGAACGGATCATTACCTCTCCCCAAGACAGAACGGTAAATTAATATGGATGTTAACTAATATTTCTTTTATTATTTAAGTGTCGATATATCATTAGTTCAGCGAGTAATTTAAACCATCTAATGAAACCCCTAACGCAGTGTTTTTAGGCCCCACCTTGGCCTACCTAAGCCTTTTGCCTTTTTATACAGGGCAGTTTAACTTACATCTTAATATATATAAATTACGTGTCACGTTGTTTGTCCGATAGGGACTCCTAAACTACCGAACCGATATCAATCAAATTTGCACACCGTGTGTAGTTTGATCCAACTCAAAAGATAGGATAGCTTACATCTCAATTTATACCCGCAGTATTATTTTATTGCAAAATATTTGTTTATTATTTGATAGTCACAATTCTAACAGATGGCGCTGTGTTGAAAGTACCAACGTTTCACATAAGCTACAATTTAATGGAATAACCACCAAAAAAGCATGGTGGTGTTCTCCTACCGTTTCCCTTAAATAGTTTTCTACTATGTAATATAACAAAAACCTTAGCCACAGCAACGCTTGGCCGGTCTGCTAGTAATGTATATATTAAAAAATTAAATATTTAAATGTTAGGTTTCAGGAAAAATTCACTAGGAAATTGTAACGAACCAATAAATAAATTTTCAAAACAAAATGAAAAACTTAAATTCTAATAATTTTAATAAACATTTTTCTATATTAATTTAGTGACCTCCTTGCGCTTGATGCTTGCTGCACAGTGATTTTATATTAGGTTCCAATTTGGTTATCTTATTCTTCTTCTAACACAAAAAGACGGAAGTAAAAAAAAAAGAACTATATCAAAGAAATTCTTATTATAGTCCAATTTTATCAGAGAAACATTAGATTCCTTGCAAATGTAAAGTGGAAGCATGTTTTATGTGTACAAAATAAATAGAAACGTTTATTCGTTAAAAGATACCTTTGTCAGAAATCCCATTTCTTCCACAACGGGTATGTTTATTGCAATGTGTTTATTCCAGGTGACAGTTAAAGGTGCTGAAGGAGAATTCCTGAACTTCTGCGCAAATAATTATTTAGGTTTATCGGTAAGTTTTGGTTATTATTTGTTTAAATATATTTATTATTATGCATTTGACGAAGAGCAAATCCAAGTGCCTTAAATGTGTGAAAAGGACTTTTCTGTAAATGTGCGCATTTAATTCTCGTACGGTAAAGAAAAATGTTGTGATTAAACTATCATCAGATGCAAAAGTCGACAGCGCGAGTCAGGCACCAAGGGTTGATCACCTACGTTTCTATTAAGAAAAATATCAAGAAACAGTCACAGAAATCTGAGATCAAGACCAAGGGCTGTAGCGCCACTGTCTCTTTATGATGAGTTTCACGTTTTTTAGTATGTATAGTAGTCCTTCTCATAGTTAATCTTTTAAGCATTCGCAATTATAACTACAATTAGCGAAACAAGCCCGTTATTCCAATTCATAGTAAACTATAAATCATACGATTTGCGATATATTTGTTTTTTGTGTTGTTTGATTTTAAAAGAGTACAGAGAGTTTTTTACGCCGGCTTTTTCTCTCGGCCTACACCCTCTGTCTTCTTTGCCGATGAGTAGGGATGTCTACCGTTTAAAATTTAATGGCGTGGAATAAGTGATACTTGTATCTTATGTTCCATACTAAACATATTTTATATTTTTATTTTATATTCCATATAATGCGATGTATGTAGTGTGGACTCAATTTCCGCAGTTAGACGCCCGTTTGGTCATAATGCTATCAAAAACACGTTACACTGTAGTAGTAAAAATAATGCTCCTCTTTCAGAATCACCCTGAAGTGGTAACAGCTGCTCAAGAAAGTTTAAGCAAGTATGGAGCTGGCCTTAGTTCGGTGCGTTTTATTTGTGGAACGCAAAGTTTACATAAGGTACGGAAAATAATACCTACAAGAGGGTTTGGTTATTGATTCAAATATTGAGATACATGGTATGAATGTTTGCAATTTTATGAATGTGTTTAGCGCATAACATAGTTTTTACTGGATGTATCAGTTTTCTGCAGCAGTGTCGGCCTAGTGGCTTCGGCGTGCGACTCTCATACCTCAGGTTCGATCCCCGGCTGTGCACCAATGGACTTTCTTTAACATTTACTCGAACGGTGAAGGAAAACATCGTGAGGAAACCGACATGTAGGTAGATCCAAAAGTCGACGGCGTGTGTCAGGCACCTACTTGCCTATTAGATTTACAAATGATCATGAAACAGATTCAGAAGTCTGAGGCAAAGACCTAAAGAGGTTGTAGCGCCACTGATTTATTTTATTTTTTTATCAGTTTACTGCGAAGCAAATATTCAATAGGCACAGAACGTCACCTAATTGCCTAGATAATTATCACTTAGGGGTTTGAAAGATAGATAGCCGATTCTCAGACTTACTGAATATACATACAAAATTTGATAAGAATCGGTCGAGCCGTTTCGGAGGAGTATGGGAACAAACATGAGTGATCTTAAGACAATATGAAATAGAGCACTAAACGTCCAGAACGTTCCTACATCTTTACAAGATTACTATTATTCCAGGAACTAGAAAACCGGTTGACTAAATTCCATCAACGCGAAGACACGATCTTGTATGGGTCCTGTTTTGATGCAAATGCTGGGCTATTTGAGGCGATGTTAACGCCCGAAGATGCTGTATTTTCAGATGCCTTGAACCATGCCTCTATCATCGACGGCATTCGACTTTGTAAGGCCCAGAAGTTCCGGTACCCACATCGGGATCTGAGTGGTAAGTTATTGAGCTATAACTTGCTTTTATATAGAAAACTAGCTAATCCGGCAAACGTCGTTTTGCCATGTTTATCATTTATAATAAAAAATAGGGGTTGATCGTAGAGGGGTGAAAATTAGGGGTTGTATGTATTTTTTAATGCTGTATCATAAAAAAATAAAAATATTTATATAAAAATTAGGGGTGGACTACCCTTAACATTTAGGGGGAGGAAAAATAGATGTTGTCCGATTCTCAGTTATACCCAATATGCACACAAAATTTCATGAGAATCGGTCAAGCCGTTTCGGAGGAGTTTAACCACAAACACCGCGACACGAGAATTTTATATATTAGATTAATATTTGTATTTTCAACTAGCCAACCTGGATATTTAATACGTTAAACATATTTAACAATTAGGTACTTTAAAACTAATTTACTTTGGAATTAAGTGGAGTGCAACAGCCAAAATTTATTGAACCAATATGATTTGTTACCAACTACGATATCTCAGAGACAGATGTTGAACTTAAAAGAGTTTAAATAGAACTGGTTATTAATAAAAATGGCAGGTGCACTACCAGCCTATATTATTTTAAAGTACTGGCTGAATGCTGTATAGGAATTAACTTACCATTTAACGATATCAACAATAAGAGTTTAAACACTGAATGGTCAAAATTACGGAATAATATAAATCCTATCTTATAAATCCATAGACATAATGAAGCTTTGACACCATGTTTTTAGAATTGGAACATTTGCTCGCGCACTCCGAAGCTCGTATAAAGCTGATTGTTACTGATGGAGTCTTTTCGATGGATGGTAACGTGGCACCGGTGAAGGGTCTGAGGGATTTGGCAGACCGATACAGAGCCCTCTTAGCAATTGATGATAGTCATGCTACGGGATTCTTTGGAGCTACTGGCAGGTACTAGGCGTTAGATCAATCTTTGTAGAGATGTTGATAAAGTATGATGTGTAGACACATTTGTTGTTGTGAACTTTAAAGACATTTAAACAATTAATACTATATATATCATATATACATATATATATATATATATATAATATATATATATAAATGGTATCGATCGCTTATACGGGGTCTGGGGGATAAAAAAGCCCCCCCCCCTTTTCCCCTCTGTAATACAAAATTTTTACTAAAGAAATATCTATTAATTTACATTTAATAAAAATATATATTTACAAATTATTCACTCACCTTAATACAAAAAACAACATTTAAAGCCTCTATTTTAGGTTTTATAAAATAAAATAATGTAATGAAAAAAATTAAAACATCTTACATCTATTATGTCAAGTGACAAATTAAACATCGTCGATCAGACGGCAAAGAAGAAAAATAAATTATAAAAAAGTTTGTATAGGAAAATATTAAATATTATGTTTTCATTTATGTGTAAATTGTGTAATGCAGGGCTGAAACCCCGCCCGGAATTGAAAACCTGTCCACCCGTTGTCACCTGTCCTCTAGCGATCGTGTCTATGCAAATATTAATCAATAAATAATTATTTTTTTTATTTCTCAATCTTTTCCATATTTCGGCATAAAATATGTGCAGAAAATGTTGTTTTATAATGGTATCGATCGCTTATACGAGTACTGGGGATAAATAAGGCGCAACTGCGCTTCTCCCTGTGAATACAAAAAGATTTATTTCTAAAGAAATATCTATTAATTTTAATTTTATAAAAAAAATATTTTTTTAAATTTTTCCCCCCCCCCCCCCCCTATACAAAACACATTTAAAGCCTCTATTTTAGGTTTATAAAATAAAATAATGTAATGAAAAAATTAAAACATCTTACATCTATTATGTCAAGGACAATTAAACATGCGGGAGAAAATAAATTATAAAAAATTTTTTTAAAAAAAATATTTTTTGTTTTCTTACATATATATATATATTATACATACATAAATATATTATATACTACATGTTTCATTATTCGACATCGAGGTAGAATATGAAATTCCACCCATATCACCTCGACATCCGCCGTTCCACAAATGAGCGTTTTTTAAGGCAGTTTCTGCCGGGCATCAACACTATGTGGAACCAGTTGCCCACTTCATGAAAAGAGCGTAAAATTCTTAAAAGGTCGGCAACGCACTCACGAGCCCTCTGGCATCTCTCTGTCTTCTGGCGAGCCCGTTGCCCCCTAATCTATAAAAAATAATTCAAAAAATCTATCTACATAAAGTTAAAAGTACAGTCAATCACCTTGCACCTATATCTTACCAGGGGTACAGAAGAGTTCTGTGGTCTTATGGGTGCTGCTGACATCATCTGTTCAACCCTGGGTAAAGCCGTGAGTGGAGCTGCGGGGGGCTACACCACCGGTCCCAAAGAACTCATCACTTTACTCAGAAATGTTTCGAGACCATATCTGTTCTCCAATGCACCGCCGCCACCTGTCGTTGGAGCTTCTTTGAAGGTAATATGATATTTGATGAGTGGTAAACCCCACATCCAAGGCTTTTAGACTCGAATGACAGCTTTTTAATCAAAAGATTTAGATACTAAGTAATACTTGGCAATATTGTGACCGACAAAATAGTCAACTCTATCACATTTATGATCGGTTCACAAAATCATTTTTGCAATGATCGGCTCACGTAGCAACTCACTATTCCCTTTTTTTTTTTGGTTTTTTTTTTTTTTTTTTTTTTTTTTTTTTTTTTTTTTTTTTTTTTCCCCCCTTTATACCTCAACTAATTTAGTACGTTATTTTTCTTCAATACAACTTTGCGAGTGAGCGTGAAATAATTATGTGATTAGTTTTTAACGGTACTGTCTTAATAATAAAATTAAAAAAATAAATTTTGTGATCGGTGAGGCGATTAGAAGTCGCAGAAAATGACTAATAGTACGCTAAAACAATTAGCGGAAAAACCTGAAGATTTTGTTATTACAACCGTATTTTATGCATGGTGTTTAACAATTTTACTGTTGATATTGAGCTGTTCGCCTCAATTGTCATGTCAAGGAGAGCTCTGACATCTGAGTTCATTAGTGAAATAAATAGCTGCATTATGCTGCCCATAACTTACCTAACTAAACTAAGTCTTGCCTCCAACTTCCCCCCACAAGCCTCATCCAAATTTAGTTTGTTTATTGTTTTCATTGTTCAATAGTTACCAGTTAGCCTGGATTTTGCGCGAAAATGATTTTAATTGTTAGAGCGACTGGTCGGGTGATCTAAGCCCAATGCTTCCATCTAATTATTTAGTTCTTAAATATAATTATGTAAAGATTCGTTTATTAGTAAGAAGTTTCAATTTAGTTATAAGCATAGTATAACTGTCTTCAACAAATAAATAAAAAATTCAATACTCAAAACATTAAAAAATACTTATTATGTGTTATCGGTCGGCGATTATATAAGTCGAATTTAGTAAAATGAAACATTAATTGTTATATATTTTTTTAGTTTGAAATATCTTAGAAATCTTAAAAAATTAGGACAACCCTATTCATTACAAACGATCTAATTTTTTTTAGGCTCTTGACGTAGTAGAACGCAGCAACGAACTCCGTGAGCGGCTGCATCAGAACACCAAGGCCTTCCGCGAGGGTATGCAGGCTGCGGGTCTGACGGTAGCTGGTGACGGCCATCCCATCTGCCCCGTTATGGTTGGAGAAGCTCCGTTGGCTGTAGAACTTGCTTCTGGGATGTTAGGTAAGTGTCCATATTAAGTCAGAATTAAAATTTATGGAAATTAACCCAGGATTTGATTATGAATAGTTTTCCGGTTTAAACGATTAATTACTAAACTGTCTCGGCATTTAACGTGCTAAGCATCTTTGCTTTGCGTTATCTGTTTTTAATAATTGTAAAATTGGTGGCGTTATTTTTCCAATTATGTAGTTAATTTTGGGTTTCATTATTCGAATGAATATCGATATAACATAGCACCGGTACGGGATTGGAATCGCTGTTGCAGTATTAGTATTTTCGTACGAACAATAATAAATACTAACAATAACAAAACAGATAACATACTTATATTGTCGTGGATAAATAAAAAACCGATTTTACCCACCCCGCACGATTATTCAATGAATCAATTTTTACAGTTAAAGGCGTCTACGTGGTAGCATTCAGTTACCCAGTAGTACCGAAAGGGCAGGCGCGAGTGCGGGTGCAAATAAGCGCTGCCCACACCGAAGAAGACATTAAAATGGCAGTTGACGCATTCGCGGAGGTCGGAACTAAGATCGGGCTTATCAAGAAATAATTACGTTCAAGACTGGATCCATTGCCTTTTAAGGGTCAATTTATGTTAACTAAACGAAAGACGAAAATACAATAAATAGTTGAAAGTATAAACTTAGAAAAAGTTCAAACTTAGTCCTTGTGTCAAACACAAACAAAAGATTCTATGTTAGAGCAGGATTTCAAGATTGCACGAGAATTTATAATATCCTGGTAAATTTGGTGGGTATTTTGTTTGTATTTTTCATTCCGTTAGTTAATGTAAATTGAGCCCTATGTATAAAATGCTAATTCTAATATTCTACTGGAGTAAATATATTGCGTCGAAAATACAATTGATAAAATTGTTATTTGATCTAATACTATAATCAAATATAATATATAACCGCCATAATATATTGTACGTCAAAATCAATATAGTACATGCAAATAAATTATATCTTCACGTCGGGGTCTTAAGGTGTCAGAAAGAAACTTAGCGCGAACTATGAGTCCTGTATGTCAACACTCAGGTTGACGTGACCGTCAAAAATGACTGCCGTATGTTAACTATTATTAGGTTTGATATACGGTAGTTGTAATTGGGTTACTTAGCGCTAAGTTGAGATGGCTCTTGGGACTTGGAATTATATGCCTTTTAAGTAACCAAGTACGTGCGAATATTATTTCGACGCTTATAAAATGTCGCCATTTAGGCAAGACAGATGAGAAAATATTTTCAAAATTAGTACGTAACATATAAATATGGAGATAAATACTTAACTGCTATGTAAATAAACGTTATTTTTACTGTTTAATTTGGGTAATAAATTCCTCTTCTTACACATTTTTTCCTTCCATACCGTAAGTATTAAATGCGTGAGCAAGCAGATAGCCGTGCGCTAAGCCACTGTTCAAGACTGGCTGTGCGTTAACGGATTCGTTTTATAACGTGACGATACTTACTCACGACTCATTGGTCTAGTGGTTAGTACCCCTGACTGCGAATCCATGGGTCCCGGGTTCGATCCCCGGCTGAGACGAACATCGATGTGATGAGCATTTGGTGTTGTGCTTAGGTCTTGGGTGTTTAAATATGTATTAATATGCCTATCTATCTATAATATGTATGTATATCCGTTGCCTAGTACCCATAACACAAGCTTCACCAGCTTAGCATGGGACTAGGTCAATTGGTGTGAATTGTCTTTAAAAAAAAAAAAAAAAAACTTACTCGTCAGGACAAATTTGTGAGATCGGCATGTCTTGTACGAAAATCATCGCATGTGATGTCATCCTGTGCAAAGGAGCAGCCAATCAACGGGAAAAAATCCTCGGCCAACTATGTCTCTCCAAATAGTCTGTGGTCACTCCAGAAGGAGAATGTAATACGAAAGACGACGGCACTCTTCGTTTGATTGTGATTGGTCAACAGTATCTTTCATCCAACACGCGTTCTCTAACGACATTATACGTCTTAAGGTGGGAACTGACCAAAGTTACGAGGTGTAATGTAGCATTCGCATCGAGCGTGTTATGCATCGAGCATGTTACGCTGTGTTTTAAAATCGGCGTAACATGCTTGTCAAAGCTCTGTGCTCCGCTTTCGCCGCCAGTGTTCACGCGATGGCCGACCGCGAGGACGCGTTGGTATCTTTGATTCTACTTAATTATTGTTTCATCCAAATTAAGAAGAAATAAAACGTTACTGGACATCAAACTTATTTAAAAACAGAGGCGTATGTGGTGGTTTGTCATTGATAGCAATTTTAAAAAACCAAATGATTACTGCACAGTATAAAAACTTTGTACGCATGTCTCGAGCAACGAGCCGCTCGTTGCTCGCTGGTTTCCCCGTAACACGACGTACTCACTGCACGAATGCTCGCTGTGTAACGTGTTACATTACACCTCATAACGTTGGTCAGTTCCCACCTTTATTTGATTATTTTGACTAATCACAAACGAACGCAAGGTTTCGTCTTGTCTTTTCTTTTAAATTTCTTACCTTTAGCCGGCTTCCGGTAGTTCTAGAATAACCGATAACTATCTATTGAAGATAGATGGATTGCTTATTAAGAAAAACAATTAATATAACAGACGCAGCAATGAGTCAGTCCCATACACCATTCTGGGATATATGCAACATCTTACATCATGTTTTAAAAATTAAAGTTGCCAGTTAACATACAAATGGCAACCATTTCTGCAATTACTTTATCTCGAATCTCTCTCTGCCTCCCTCTACCCGGACAATTTGTTAAGAATTGAATAATAGAAAAATATAAATAAAACAAAGTTTATAATAATTATTGATCTATTAACAATAATTTAATACAATAAAATTCACGCTCGCATGACACGCAGTGCGTCACTCCTCACTACAAACACAACTAATTCCGATTCCGATTTTAACTAACGAATCTTTGTAAGTCTATCTGTTAGTTAAAATAGGAATTGATACATTTATATTTACATCATTCGACCTCTCACTCAGTGTTATTGCAAGTTTCGCACTTATATTATAAGCCGTCTCACTCTTAGGTATGTACTATGAGTGCGATGGCGATATAAATCTTATTGGTGTGATTATGACAGTGTCCATACAACATTTGTCCGGGTTTTATATTCAAAAGTAGTAATTATTACGTCAAAGATTTTGAATACTACGACACACAATAATTACAACTGTTTAACGGATATTTGCAGCGCCACATGCCGTACAAGACACATACACAATAAAATACTCAAACAGAACAAATATGTGTGTGGCATACATATTAAAATAAATACAAAAATACAATAAGCTTACAACTAAATTCATGTCAATTGACTAATAATGGCTTCTAGATAGTGTCTGGCTAAAAAAAGATAATTGAATTATTTGAAAACTTTCGGATGGCAACACAGAATGTCATTGAATTTCTTAGGTTAGTATGATTTATTGTATTGATACTTCATGCAATTACTCATTTTAATTTCTATTATATATTTTTTCCGAATAGTTAACAGGTATAAACTTTGTTTTATTTGATAGAATTTTTCGTTTCTTTCGCAGGATTTGATTATTCCGAATAAAGTTGTGTTTTATAATAAATATAGTTTTAGTTTTCCATGCAATGCTAGTCATTTTATGTATCAATAGTAAACGTATAGTATTTAATTTCATAGAAATACAGTTGCTATCAATGTAAAAAATTATAAAATAAAATCAAGTATCAAGTAAGTTTAATTCACAAAATATATCAAACTTTTAGGGATACCATACTAAAATTTTTTGAATTTGCCGCGCTTTTTCGTTATCTTCTTTCATTAGCCAGACTCTAGTAACCCATAATTGCGAGTTGTTTTCCATGTTTCAAAGTTTGGAACTTAGTAAGCGCTAAGTGTGACTTTCGTTTGTCAAAAACTTATTGCCTAAGTCTCGTGTCTGAATCTCACCCTTAGCGCCTCGACTTTGAATCTTCTGTCATAAATTGATTAAAACAGACATGAATATCCTATCGTCTGTGTTCAAATCGAAATATTTTCATTATTTTGAAATGCACCTTAAATCAAAGAAATAAAGACAATATTTCAATTCAAGTAATGTATCTTAGAAGAATCGCTGTTTCTTTAATATAACGTGTTGAGATCTACTTCGTTGGCTGGATAATGAATATTTTTCGTCCTTTAATACATTTTTATTCAATTAAAAACCATCAATTTATTTAATGAATTTGCCAAATCATTATAATTTCCAACACATTGACCATATGACAGCAATCATATAATTACAAATAATATCACGTACGTTCGTTTGTGTGCGTTCCTTACGTACATAAACGAATAAGTAAGGGCCTCACAGCATAAAAGGAAAAATACTTTAGAAATTTTGATAGATTCAATATTATATATGTTTCCTTTATTAAGGGAATATAATATATCCTCAATAAGTCAAGTCCATTTTGTCACATTTGCAACGTGACATGTCGAGTCTATAGAACGAATAACAGGCGGTATTTTTATTAGGAAACGTCCAAAATGTAGAAAAGGTTTTTATTTATTATATAGTAAGGCAAGTAAATAACTTAAAAAATAATAATCAATGGGGTTAACTTAAATATTTTCAGACTAGAAGTAGTACGCGACAGTTTTTGATATGTTATACGTGAAACAGGCGCCTACGCTATATTCTGGATCATATATCCAGAATATATGACGGGATATCAAATTATCAAGTAGTGTGCAGTAGTTAAAGAGTTATTCTTCTCATCAACAGAATTCTGTGGTTGGGGTTGAACCTTTTTTTCTGATTATGTTTGAGGAAAATTGTTCATGATGATGTTATCAACACAATTCTAACGCATTTTTAACAATATCTAGATTTCAGGTTTCCTTTCTCAACTTTTCGATGGATATTAAAAATTAAATGGCATACAAATTTCCCTGGAGCATTAGGAACTAAGAAATTTAAGGTTACATCTCACTGGATTTCCGGTTCCTATAAACAAAACCCATTCGTAACTACGTTTTCTATACTGTATAATTTTTCAAATTCGCTGTGAATTAACTTGTTTTTGGACGGGTCTGATGAAGATCCCAGTTCCAAGTTCATCGCTGGTACTCTATAACTTGTATGCAATTTCGTTCTGATATAATTCTATCAAAATAGCGAGGAGTTACAGAATACCGGTCCTGTTTTTACCCATTCAAATGTATATTGAATGTATTTCATGTATCATCAATCATCATTTAATGTATCAAATTTATAAGCGTATATAGCATCAAATAGATTTTAAATGTTCCGTCCTTATCACTCTTAACGTAAATAAACGGGACAACAAACCATTTGTGGCAATACGTTTACAAATACCCTTTATAAAAAAATAACTTCTAACTAAAGCACTGGTCTCTCATTACAATTTGACATAGAGACAAACCCAATTAAAATTTAATTTTAAATTTTAACAATATTTTTGACCTTTGAGCCCAAACATTTCCGTTTCACCAATATACAAAAATATCTCGTATGTAGCGTGGACGCAACTGTACTTGTGACAACTGAGCAATTACTTAACTCGACGCCGGCTCCTTCATTTCCAAAACCCTGGGTTTCCCTGGGCCTGAAATAAACATGTTATGATAATAAAACAAACAAATTTGCATCTAAAATTTTAGATACCTGTCTAAAAAAATATAAGTTAAAAATATAAAAAACGAAAAGCGCAACGATTGTACTCTCCGTTTAATTCTGATTGGTCAACGGCATATCTAGTACAGAACTGAATAACTATATACATGTATGTATTACTAAGTTAACACACTTATGCAAGCTCATATTTCACCGTGCCTTGCGGGGGTAAGCACCACGTATCTCCACATGCTACGGTCCTATCATACCTCTCGCTTCATCCACTTTCAAGACATTCTATGCATGCTCGTCGGTTATTGGTACTTTTAAAATCTCTACTACATTGGATTTGGTTCAGGTATATATGACAAGGGCTACCCAACCCGACTTCACCATCCACGGTTGCCTTGTATATAAAAATTCAAAAATCATTTATTCATATAGGTGACACAAAGTACACTTATGAACGTCAAAAAAAAAATGAAATGCTACATATACTGCCAGTTCTCAAATCAAAGGGTGTAGAACGGAAGAGAAGAACTGGCAATAAACTCTCCGCCACTATTTTAATCGCCAAGTTTTTTGTTTTACACAACGTTTGTAAGGAGCTGCAACCATTACACCATGTTCCACATGACATCTTAAGTAATTCTACTTGTTAAACCGCTTCTCATTCATCCATACTACATAGCCAAACCACTATGCCTTGCTGATAGAGGTAAAACGTTTTCTTATTTATTTATTTAATTACAATAATTTTATTAACATGTGATAAGGAGCAGGATCTAATGGTTGCAGGTGCTTACAAATATTTATTAAAACTCTTGGCGATATAAAAGAGTTTATTGCCAGTTCACGTACGTTCTACGCCCTGACCAGTTATCAAACTGGCAGTAAATGTAAATCTAAAATTATTTATTATTTTCCGACGTTCATTAACTTACCTATATAAATAAATGATATTTTTCCCTATATTATTATAATTACAATCGAACGGAACGTATGCGTGAAAGACGCACGCGCGTTTTACGTACTCACATCGAAGGTCTACGTATATGTATTGATCAATAGTGTGGGTGTTACTTATACTCTTTTGCAAAAGTACCATGGTACATAACCAACAACGAAGTTCACGAACACCTTAAAATAAGAACTATCAAAGAGGAAATCCGGAGACTGGCAGCTAAATACAAAGAGCGGTTAAGCTGTCACCCGAATGAACTTGCTCGCCAACTCACCATTAGACAGTATGTGAGTCGACTAAAACGTCACCATATTCTAGAGCTAGAAGACCGGCAGTAGCTCTAGACAGAAGATGAGTAGATGCTTCCAATGGGAAGTCACTCCACATGACAGCACCGCAGAAAAAATTCGCTCATAGCCTTGGGGCTGATTGCAAATAACCGCAGAAAAAAAAAAACTTATACTCTGAAGTATTTCTACTGCTGTTTATGTCAATATAGAGTCCATAAATATTTTGTTAAAGCGTAAAAATTGTGTAGTTCGAAACAATCCTTTAAAAGAATACCTATTCCTAATGAAAAAATGGATTTCGTCAATGTGAGGGTAAGGATATTAATGAACTATAATACAATTTTTTTTTATATTTATAAAACAAGAAAAGCATAGACAAACAGAAACTTCAATAATATAAATATAGACTGACGACGTACTTATCAAGATTCATGTCAATACAAAGTCCATTAATTTTATGTCTAAGCAAATATTCTTAACAAGGTTAGCAATGTTTATCTAATAAAAAATAAAACTCTACGAGTTTGCATGAAATAATCATGTGAAATACTATCACACAGTCATGTGCAACATTTGTATGCAGAATCTTTAATATTATTTCAAAGAGAATATATAGAAAGGAGATTCTACGTAGTCGGTCCCAAAGTTCTGTCATAAATGGAAATAATGATAAAAACAAAAGTACTGATCAGTTTGTAATGAGTGATATATCAATTCTTAGTACATTAATTAAGGAATAAAAAAGCATAAAAATATTCGAAATAACCTCCCTCATTTTTAATACAGGCCCTTAAGCGTCGCGGCCAGTCGTCTATCGCAGCACGCACCATATTCGTGTCGATTTCAGTCACTGGTTTTTTAAAGATGACTTCAGATTCTCCAAATTTTCATGAGGTTTATCACAGACCCTTCCTCTCTAAGCCCTGTCATAATTTCTGGTCCAAAGGATTAAGGTCCGGACTGGAGGAAGGCCAATCCTCATGTCTAATTAAGACGATGTTTTGACGCTCAAACCAGGCTTTAGTGGTCTTGGCTTTGTATGCAGACGCAGAGTCCTGCTGGAACACGAAGTGATGTCCCGCAAAAATAGGGTGCTGAACATGTCTTTGACAAGGCGATACAAAACCGTCTCTTGGTACACTGTAGCACTGGTTTTGACCCCCTTTTCGAAAAAAATTAACCTCAGTTAGCCCGTAATAGGACACTCCCAACCAAACCATTACTGATGATGGATGATGTCCATGTTGCACCCTTGGAACTTTATTTTCAGCTTCTTCAGAACTCCTAGCGTACACTGTATAATTCTGTTTATTGTACTTCTCTTCAATATCGAAAAATTTTTCGTCCGTAAAGAGGATATCACGGTGTCGGTTTTTCGCGTACCGCTTAAACAACACCCGCGATCTCTTAAGCCTTATTGCTTTTAGACGAGCATTAAGTAAGTGCCCACTTTTTTTGTATGCTCGTAGACCAAGATCTTCATTTAAAACCTTTTTTACTGTTTTCCTACTGACACCCATCTGCAAATCCATCAACTTCTGTTTTCGGACAGGATTTCTTACTATGCGCCTTGATAGCTTTGATTACTGCTGGTGTTCTTGCGGAGCGTGGCCAGCCAGTTCTTTCTTGTCCTCAACACTGGAGACTTCAAAGGTACCTATCAATAGTACCGTACACAAACCTAAGCGTTATATTCAAATTTTTGAGCAACTTGAAAATGGTACTCGGCGAGTGTCCACAGTGCAGCGGTGCAACGCAATAACAACTATTCGGTTTAGGTTCAATGTCCACTCCATCGTGAAAAATTACGGAAAGTTATTGTTTTTTGTTTTAAAACAATAATCAAACATTCCAAAATAGAATGCAATAATTTTTTATAAAATCCTGCTCGAAATGTAGAAATAATGTGCTAGTGACAGAACTTTGGGACCAACTACGTATAAGCGATAACTGTTTAGTTACAGAATGAATCAGACCGGTCATGTCAGGCTTATAATAAATGACTCTCTCGCATTAATTCGTGATTTTTGTAATTCATGTATTTTCTTATTCTTTTGTATTGCATTGCAATTCATGAAACATGATTAGTTTTTAGTTTATTTTTTATTTTAGATTAAGTTTGGAATAATTTTTCAGAGTTACTTGTAATTTTAGTTTTGTTGATTTGGTTATGCACTTCTTCTGCTTTAGCCTCAGTATTTCTTTTCTTTTCCTTACTAGGGTTGCCTGGAAGTGATCGCTTGTTAGCGATAAGGTCGCACGTTGCATCGCTAATAATTTATGTTATTTGTTTTTTATTTTAATGTAACGAAGTTTAAATAAATATAAAAATAAAACATAATTCAAATTAACCCGTTATTGTATTAAGAGTTTTTTAACCTCGACTTCTATATTATTTTTTTAATATGGTAATTACACTTCCGATACACATCAAAATAAATATAATAAAGAATAACATACTTCGTAGTTTCAGAAGGTCAATTATAGACTTGAATAATCAAGTTGACGACCTTATGCGAGCCCTACCGGAAGAGCTGTTGTTCTTCCTTATTTTTAAATAATGAAGGGCCTAATTATAGGTAATTTGTAATTTAAATTTTTAATTTGTAATTTTAATTATTCAATTTAAATGTATATTTCTTCCCTATTTAGTTTCTTTTTTAGGGTCTATAAGTTAACTTATATTGGACGTATTAACAGTCAAAACCATGACGTTATAACAGATTTTGACTGTACAGTCAAAACCGTTTACGACGACGTTTAGAACAACATACCGGTTATTTTGACCGAAATGAAAGGTCCCGGCTGAATTCTATAGTAGTATTAGGTACTTAATAACAACGTCAAAGGCTGATGACATTATAACAGATTTTGACTGTACATATTTATTTATAAAAGCTTGCCAACGCTCGGCACACTGGTACAAGAAAACTAAAAAACAATATTTTTATTAGACAAGCACTTATAGGCAAACATAACAAAAATGAATAGATAAAAAAATTTGTTAAACTACAGCAAAATCGATTTCAAAGTGCCTAGCTCGTTTATCAGAATGCTCAAACAATATATGAAATTAATGGGTGAACATTATTTTTTGAGTATAAAGAAATGTTTGCTTACCCGCTATCGTTGTGGTAGATGTAAAACCGGGTACAGCACTCGGTGGGGCTGTTGGAATAACTGAAACCTCTTTTGGCCTCTGAAAAATTAATTTACGAATTATAAAATTTAGCATATTTCTTTGAATTGACTACGTTTTGACTACTACGTCGGACTATCGAGTTTTGCTTTAAGATCAACGGTCCTCTCATACATGTACCTTAAGGAGAAGGTATACGGTCTTAATTTTGAAAACGATAAAGCTATGTACATGGAATAAACATCGTTACCATGGTAACAATATTAGTACCGATTTTGATAGGAATTCCATGTTGTATAACCGTCACTGACCAAAAAATGTATAGTAGGTACTGGAAACATGTGCAACTGTTGTGCATCAATGGACCGGACCTTCTAGACCTTCTGTGCAACACTCGCTCATACGGTGAAGGTAAACATCGTGTCAGGCACAGGCAGGACGCTTGTCTATTAAAACAAAAGAAATCTGAGGCCTTGACATAAAACTATTAACGGTTGTAGACATAGCGATTGCATCCAACGCCTTCCCTCCACCCTCACCAGGTCACCAGTGGGAGGCCGTCCAACGCTTCTCCGACTGGCCTCCATTCCAGGACTTTTTTTAAATTTATTTATTTGAAAAAACACTCCTTCCCTAACAGGCGACCCTAAATTGACAAGAGTGCACAATAAGTGAATAAAACTTACAGATAATAGAACTTTTGACAGTTCACTCAACGGACAATAAAAAAGGTCCGTTAACCTATGTAATTCGTTAACTAAATTAATACTTACTAGTTATAATAATATTTGTTTAAACTCACATTAATTTCTTCAATTACGCTTTGCAATCCATCCAATCGACTCATAAGCGTTGTATTCAAGACAGCGATCTGTTCTTTGAGGCTTTCGTCCAATTTGACGTTTTCCGACACGTTAGCTATCGTGTCGTTGGTCCTCTCGTCCAGGTGTACTAAGTAGCCCTTCAGCTCCTCAACACCTGAGGTTGCTGTAAGAGCCTGCTTATGAGCTGATGATATTGAGCTGTCGAAGCCTTTGATCTGTTAAAGAATAATAAGACGTGTAATGAGAAAACTACTGGAGTGATTTCAAAAATTCCTCCTTTAGAAAGTAATATATGCTATATTAATTTCCCAAAAAAGGTCAAACGTGCGAGGCAGGGACAGGCCGTTATGTACACATCGTAAAACTGTAAACACCGTTAGATTGTAATCTATCTCGCGAGATTGTGAACTGTCGAAAAATTGTGAACCTCAACGTACTGTTTACAATTTAACGTATTATTATTCGGTAGATTGTAATCTATCGAAGTGAAACCGACAAATTAGAATCTTAAAATTGTCAAATTGTTAACTGTCCGAAGGCTGTCCCTGATTGGTCCCTGAGTAGACCGTTCTATGTCCATAGAGTTTGGAATGAATGACCGGTATCTCAAACTCAATCTCAAAAGATCTTTATTCATGTAGGTAAACAATAATTTTTAACATCACATGGTAAAAAAAATGTATCAAAATACACATTTCGACAGTCCACAATCTCGCGAGATAGATTACAATCTACACCTAACGGTGTTTACAATTTTACAGTGACAGTTTATATTAGCTTAACTCAACAAGTTTATATTTCAACCGTCTTCGTGACAGGAAAGCCATACAATCGCTAATCCTCGTCTTGTCACTCAAATGTCCTTGTTGTGAATATAATAGCTAACATATATCAGTGATGAATTTACTAGTGGGATTGTATATGGAGTGTGCCTTCAAATTGACGCAATACAATGCGAATTGCGTCACTTAGGCGGCACCTATAAAATAATAAACAACGACACCAATGCAAATATAAATTACGGTCGTCAATGTCTGTAAGTATTGACGAACTTGATTGAAAATTCCTCTATATTATATGTGTATAGGCTATTTTTTATGCCACTTAAATAGCAGTCGCTAAGTCTGAAGAACGTCATAAATGTATTGGATTTTGACTAAGCCTCGTTTCTGAACCTCACCCTAAGCCCCTACTTTATGATAACTTTCTTAAAGTATTTGATAATTCCATACATTTGGTATACTAGACAATATTATTGAACATTCTATGTTTTAAATTTCCCATAAAAAATAACTATTATATTATTACAAATATTCAATTGTGTTGCTAAAATTTATTTTAGCTACGACTCCTGGCCCTATCTCGTGAAAGCTTAAACAGAAACAAAACACAAACAAAAACTCCTACAAATGCACAACTAACTATAAGTATTTGGAAAACGAATGATCATATCCTGGATGGTGATTGGTTTACGCTGTTGACAAATGACAGTCGTTTTATTTCAAATCCCCAATTTAATATTCACCTGCGAACCAAAGTCAGCGACAGTTCTCTGCAACTCTGCTATCCTCCGCGGAGTATCGACCAGCTTCGGCGCCGCCGACAGCTGTTCCGACACAGACATGAGTTCACTGGATGTCTTATTCATTTGTATTATCAGCGCCTGATGCGCCGTCTCCAGCTTTTCGAGTCTCTCTTGCAAGGCACTCGCGTTTTTCTTCAGCTCCTTGAAGCTTGTGTGACAGAGTTGTAAGTCATCGTTCACATTACCGCCTATCGTTGATACTGAGGACAAATGTGATTGTTAAAGATTGGTAGTTACGACGTAAGAATTTGGTAAGAATACCTGTCAAATGCACTTTCAAATTTGGCAATTTGAATACAAAAGTGACGCACAAAATCACATTTCACAGAGTTTTGGGTCCTCTGATTAATAAATTTTTGTGAAAAACTGAATTTTTTTTAAGTATCAAGATTTTATTTAAATAACACGAAAGGAAAAAGCTCAAAAGCTTTACCTGTTGACCGTTAACGTATTAACATTATTTTCAATTATATATTATGACATCTACTATTATTTTTCATAGTACTAGTTTTCTTGAAAGACAATTCAAGTTTAATTTAGAATCGTGAGCTGTCGAACTGTTTTTTAGTATGAAGTAATATTTGACTTGATTAAGCTTTGAGATCAGATACAGGCATCAATATTAATCATAGGAGTGGTAAGTAAAATAAAGATTTCTTGTTAAATTGTCTTCGTTTTAGCCTAATCTTATCTGACAGACAGATATGTTTTTTTGTTGTTAGAATATTTTTCTTTTCTTACACAAGTATGGCACATAACAAACGCCACAGCATACATAGTTTTATAATCATTAAACATTTTATTTTCCAGTGAACTAGAATAATGAAACAATAGTTTAATATATGTTGCAATGTATTTTGCTTTTAATAAATTTCTTTTACTACTATGTTTAATAAGAAACCTTACAAAAATGTTTTTTAGTCTTTTTTACCTCATTCAAATTTGACATGGGGGAAAATACCAGTAATCATTATTCGTAATACGCGATCATTGTAAATGCCACTATTCTAACGTTTACCATCAGTACAAAGCTTACTGAAAAAGTTAATTTATTAAACATGGGTGTGTTAACCCTTCAGTAGTTTTATGGTGTCTGTGGCAATTTTTAGACATAGATAAAAAAATAATTTTACGTGGTAAAAGGTGCGAGCACATCTTATAAATCTATAGCGCACACTTATATATAAGTAAACTACTCAATATAATTTATATAAAGTAGATAATGTTATTTATAAATTAAGTTTAGAAAAATTAGATAGTTTCGTGAATTATCTTGAATATTAAAAGAATTATGCCAAAATTAATCTCGTTTATAAAAAACATATTTGGCCCTTAGCTATTTAGTTTCTCACCCCTAGTATATATCTACGTGTGTGTAAGTAGTCCACTCTGTTTAAGTCTTAAGGTAAAAAACCTTTATGTATACTGTCTGACAATGCCAAAATATTCCAGTGATTTTTTCTTTACCCCTTTATACGTTACACTGAATATTTTTATTAACAAGTTATCTTATATGTTAGTATATGTAACTATTAAAGGATCCTTGAAGAATAACAAAGGTTAATCTTACCCTTACATTAAGTACATAGAACACTCTTCATAATCTTATCTAAGGTAAATATCCTCTTAGTTACATCACACGAAAGTAAAGTCCTCAAGTGATACCCACCTCTGTCCATTTCCACTCTCAGGGACACAATCTGCTTCCGAACATCTACAAACAGCCATAGGACTGTAGCAGCTGATACGACACACACGCACAGGGCTAATGCAGCTGCTAAGCGAACAAAAGGTCGCGATCTTCGTGTACGGGATGTCCTCCTACCCCAGGGTTCTCCTTCATCGCTGGACGCTGATAACAACCGCCCACCCCTTGACCCCACACCGCCCACTAACGCATCCAGTTCTCGCCTTTTCCTCATTTTCTTCCCGCCACGCAACGGCACCGTCGCGTGCACACCACTCTCCATATTATCGCTACCGTAAACACATTCACACCGACTTGGTTATCAAGGCGAGCGCACAACACGACGACCGTTTATCGAATGAAGTCGTAAATAAAGTTCAGGAAAGGATTATTGATGTCAATGGCTAGCTTAATTGCGGATCGGTCTGGGTCTGATATTTGCATATAACCTTTTCGAATTTCGGAAATTATTTTTTATTAGCGGCCAGATATAAACCATATAAAGTAATGAGGTTAATTAATTGCGAAGTAGCGCGCCATATGCGATATCGCCATTTTAATAGTGTAGTAAAATAAGTAAACCAATGCAAATATAAACAAACTACCATTATATTGTTAATTGAACCTGAAGTGAACAAGTAGCATTAGAAAGGCGTCATTAAATATAGCCTTGATCTTGAACGCGAAATTATTATTAAGAGCCATGATTAGCGCAGTAATTTCAAACTTGCTGTTATATTTCTAGTTTATACTATGACTCTCTCGTTTATTATTTAGCAAAGTATGACAAATGGACATAATAATCAAAGAAAGAAAGAGAAGGTTTAAAATAGTTAATGAATAATAACTGAATAATGTCATTATATATTTTACTTTTAAACATAGTAAAACACTAGATTTTGTTATTGAACATTCTTGTATACTCATTGACATCTACGATACAAATTTAAATTCAAAAATCATTTAATCATATGGGTAACACATTGTACACTTATGACTTGTCAGTAAAGAAATACATATTAATGCTTCTAATTTTACATTTAGTGCAAGTTCTCAAATGCCGTTGCCCAATAACTTATTTAGCCTTTTTTTTAGATATATGTTAAAGTCAACGAAGTGTAAATAAATAAATGTAAAAGGCATAAAATATTCACCATACACTGAGTATTGATTTTTAAAATCATATCGATTAATAGCTATAACAGATTATTCATATGTTTCTGCATAACAATGCATTTCCTTATCATACCCAATGACGTTCCGCGTTCCACTTTCCTCATTATAGGAAAACCTTCTCGGACCGCATCCGTACATTTTGTCCTCATATACAATTAGTTATAACTATCCTCGTATATTTATATTTAGTTTATCACGTCACTCGCGCGCGGCATATATTTCCAAAAATGTTCTATTTATAAGAGCGGTGGTCGTAATGTGGTTATCATATAAGGGAGAGATTTCCGAGTTGTAGATAGAGGACAACTCTTTGTTTTTAATTTATGTTATTATTATTAATTACTTAAGATGTCATGTGGAACATGGTTTAATGGTTGCAGCTCCATACAAACGTTGTGTAAAAAAAAAAACATGGCGATTAAAAAGAGTGGCGGAGAGTTTATTGCCAGTTCGTCTTGCCCGCTCTACGCCCTTGACTAGCGAACTGGTAGTAAATGTAATTTAGAATCAATTTAACATCTTTTCTGTTAACGTTCAAAAGTGTACTTGGTTACCTATACGAATAAAGTTATTTTGAGTTTGAGTAGGGTTAATGAAACGTTCAAAACTAGGCTCGCATACTAAAGGTACCATACATCAATAGTACGTAAATACTATTCTCTAAGTATTTAACTTATAATATAAGCAATCATAAAGATTCAATCTTTTAAACAAAATCCGGAACAACACAATGACAATCTCAAAGACTAGACGACGAATGATTTAAATATGCGTACTAAACGTACACGAATACGTACTAAAAAGAAATGGTTCGCAAAATTCAGACCTACATCAGAAATGGTTGACCTCTATACAAGCACCTATTACGTTTTTAACCCGGATTCAGGCGTACTTTGAAAGCTTTGTTTCTGCAACTAGAACGATGTTGAACACGGCAACGCTCTGTAGAGCCACCTTCTTACATACACTGAATGGTATGTATGAATATACAAAATATATAGAATACCGCCCATGGACACTCAATGCTAGAGGGCTCGCGTGTCGACACCTTTTAAGAATTGGTACGCTCTTTTCTTGAACGACCCTAAGTCGAATTGGTTAGGGGTATTCAGGGCAGCTGGTTCTTACACATACTGGCCACATAGAAGTAGTAAGGGGTCTTAAGGTTTTCCTCACACAGTTAAAAATGCCCAAATACAACTAAGCTGTTTGAATAGGAATCGTGTTATTCCAACTCAAGGCAAGGGTCACATTCAAAGGTCATAGAAACGTAACCGCACTAAATATTTTTACCAAAATTAGTACAAAATTCAGTGGCATGTAAACATCAACCTTCAAGGTGACCACAAACAAACTAACCCTATTTATATTTTCAGTTCCACGTCGGTATACTTAAACGCATTTTAATTGTGAATTATGAATGAAAATAATTTCCACGAAAATATTTCAATCTTGACCGTTTATAAACTTCATTAATAATTTTGACTAAGGCAGGACATTTTGAAACCATGTCAAGGTCGTCAAGGCTAACCAACCTATGTATTGAGCGTGTTTCAGGAGCGTATAACATCTTTATTACTTTATTGGTGTTACACAAAATTAGTACAAATTATAATTACAACACCTGGCTGATATTTTTCCAGTCTGATTTACTGGACTTTTCCTATTGCGAACTGTCAGATTGGCTTCCAGTGGAGATGTTCCAAAGGAGTTAAGGATACTAAAAGAAGAGTTTACTCTTCCCAAAAAGCCCGAATAATAAAATGTATGTGCATGGTTGATGGCCTGTAGAGCCTTAACAGCTGAGCTGGGGCTGTTTTGGCGAGAGTAGTTCAGGCGGATAATCATTTCATGAGTTGCGGTAGCTGGCCATAGCCACAGGCTTTTTTGTCTCTCTCTAAATATATATTTGCAATACCTTTTGATATTATTTCCATACCTTTATTACACATTGGAATACATTTATACGCAGTTATGCAGTAGTATAATGAATGACCTTAAACACTTGCTAGCGAAATCGCAATCGCACCTTTCATAAAAATAATTATTTGAACAAAATAACCAACTACTCAGTAACAGTCTATGTAAATCGATATAATAGATTATACATAATAAATTGTTTATTGAATCAATAAGCTCAATTACTTTGATGGCGACCACTCACATTAAAACGTGGAGAAAAGTTTTAATTCCAATTGTTTCAAGTATCACTGACTCCAACAGTGGTATAATAATTCCAGTACAATAACTGAACAATGTTGTTTTGTTTATAAAAACTCTTGATATGTGTACAATTAAAACGGTATTAAAGAAAACAAAGTAGATTAAATAATATCGTTGTTTTATTCTTCAGGATTATTGTTTGTTTATTTATCTATGTATCAAAAAACTATTGTGATTTGTGTTCGGTTTTAAAGACGTTCGTAACGATCAATTTAATAATTATCAAAACAATTATATAATGAGCAAATTAAACATAACATTTTCCTTATTTACGTTGAAATATTTACAAAAATCAGAATTTAAATCTATGTATTTATATTTTTATAAATACATAGATTTAAATTACATTATAATACAGCACAGAAGCATATAAAACGATACCAAGATAAGATAAAGACACGTTATATCGACCTATGTTTCCTAGACGCAGTGAATGGACGTAACGCATGCGCGTGTCTCCTTACGCCACACTAAGGGTGAGATCTATATCCATTAGACTTTGCTCTGACTTAACTTCGAGCTAAGACACAGTCGGTATTTATAAGCAAACTACAATCTCTCCCTAGTGTGGCTTAGCTTAATCTCAAGTCACGAAATCGACGACTTACCAAAAACTTTGACTATAAGCCTAACAAAAATAATGGCCCAAAATTTGCTTTACCATCATATCTTACTGGACTTTTTATTTTTGTCGGTTTTTAATGAACAGTGTTGCCATTTTATCGGAGTTCCATAGACTGGGAAAAATAGAATTTGAATTCAAAGAAATTATAAATGATCTTGATAAATACCTATGAAATGCATGAAATAAAAAATTACATTATTATGGTATTTATTGTTGTTTATTTATATTATTTATGTAATTGTTCAAACCCCATTTTTGAGAAATCTTAAAAATAACTGGTGTGATTTTGTATGTCACCTGGCAGCCCTGGCAATTGGCATTTATAGTGACAACGAAATTCAAACTATAACCTAACCAAAACATTGCGATCCGTTCTACGTAATAAAATTATTGTCATCTTTAAATAATTAATACATTTTCTAAAGGTTACTCGTGAATTTCTAGTTATTGCAATAATAAATAAATGAAACATAAATAACATAAATTGAAGATATATGTGTACCGTTTTAGATTTTTAAATATTTGTTATTTTAACTTTTAAAGGATAATAAACAAAGTATTGCATGAAATAAAACAATTTGTATTTTGACATTTTCTGTCTACTTGGGCTTAGCTTAATCTCACGTTAAAATGTCTATAAATACGAATTAGTTTAACCTATTACACTAAGCAAAGTTTTTCGTAAGGTAAGTCTGAGCAAAGTCCAAGTGCGCACTATAGATCTCACCCTAAGGGTGAGATCTATAGTCACTTTAGACTTTGCTCTGACTTAACTATCGAGCTAAGACACAGTCGGTATTTATAGAGCAAACTACGAATCTCTCCCTAGTGTTGGCTTAGCTTAATCTCAAGTCCACGAAATCGCGACTTACCAAAAACTTTGACTATAAGCCTAACAAAAATAATGGCCCAAAATTTGCTTTACCATCATATCTTTTACTGGACTTTTTATTTTTGTCGGTTTTAATGAACAGTGTTGCCATTTGTATCAGAGTTCCATAGACTTTGGGAAAAATAATTGAATTCAAAGAAATTATAAATGATCTTGATAAATACCTATGAAATGCATGAAATAAAATAATTAACATTATATGGTATTTATTGTTGTTTATTTATATTATTTATGTAATTTTCAAACCCCATTTTGAAAATCTTAAAAATAACTGGTGTGATTTTGTATGTCCCCTGCAGCCCTGGCAATTGGCATATTATAGTGACAACGAAATTCAAACTATAACCTAACCAAAACATTGCGATCCGTTCTACGTAATAAAATTATTGTCATCTTTAAATAATTAATACATTTTCTAAAGGTTACTCGTGAATTTCAGTTATTGCAATAATAAAATAAATGATACATAAATAACAAAAATTGAAGAATATGTACCGTTAGATTTTTAAATATTTGTTATTGTAATTTTTTAAAGGATAATAAACAAAGTATTGCATGAAATGAAACATCAATTTGTATTTTGACATTTTCTGTCTTAGCTTGGGCTTAGCTTAATCTCACCGTTAAAATGTCTATAATACAAACATAGTTTAACCTTAGTGTACACTAAGCAAAGTTTTTCGTAAGGTAAGTCTGAGCAAAGTCCAAGTGCGCACTATAGATCTCACACTAATAATTCCATACTTAATAAATAAACACTTTAATTGATTTTATTTAACACCACTTTAAAAATCTGAGATATGAAGACAGACCGAACCGCAATCAAAGACGCACCTTTAATTTCAACTTGAAATAGCTATAGCTTATCACTTGCACTAACAGATAAAAACGTCGAGGTATGGTAAAACACAACGCTTTTAGAAGACTGACTTCTGGGACTCCGGGTAGCGTATTGTATGACGTCACAATACGACGCATGCGTGCGAGAAATTCGCGTCTAGTATAGGACATGGGGTTACCTAATTGAATAGTGGACGATGCTTTTATTTTTTTGGACATTTAAAATATAATTTTATCTTGATGACGTTAGACTTTACCACGAGGATACAATAAAACAAGTGATATAAATTGATCTGTTATACTCATGCCAGTCTTAGGTAAAGCAGTGCCTAAAATGTTTAAAATTAAGTCAAACATTCGACAGTTGCAAATGAATTTAAGTTTAACATCCTTCAGAGTGTTAATCCACTCTACTCGCATAGATTAGGATTTGCAAGTAGAAGATAGTTTTTATGTTGTATTTAAACTGTCTTTATTTTTATGCCAATGAATCTGTAATTTAAGTTTTATATAATCTGTATTTTTTTGTTAAGGGTGATTTGTTCAATACTGAACTTAGCTATGACAAATTGGTTGAGCAGACTCATCCCTTTTTTCTGAGGGCACTGCTATAAACATTTCACATCAAAGCAATTCATCTGAACAGCTCATTGTTTTTCAATAACTTAACAAGGGCTTTTTACATTAACAGATTTGGCATGACATGTATTCATGTCTTCATTTTTGTGATAACTAAACATATTAAATTTTGATTAGATAGCACTGGAATATAGACATGTCAAAATAATATGCTTATCATGAACAAATCATATAGAAATGTGTATAGATTCTGTTGGTAAAAATACATATTTATATTAAAATACTTTAGATATTTCTTGAAATACTGAACAAAAGTTAGCTTTATATTTATATATATTATTATTGTTGGCTTAATTTTACAGAATACACTATCAAAATTTAATGAATTACCTTAGTAACCTAGTGAAACTTACCTTTAGCTATGTCAACTTTCATAGTAGTGACTTGGTCATACAGCGATGCACAAATCCATGTTAGCATAAGTAGCCATAAAACCAATGTTCCTCTTGTTGCCCAGCACAAAACGCAATGAACCTCATTACCTAAGCTTGGTTCAACAACTCTAGGTTGACCAACCCGGTTTCGCTCCTTTCTAAAAAATTATTCATAATTTAAACTTAATTCTCCACTCTAATATAGATTACAAATGGACAAGCATACCTTGACATTTTCTTTTTCCTATTAGGTATTATTTCTAACTGTAAATCCTCAGAATCTTCGTCACTAGATAAGTCCAAGAGACGAAAGTTTTCTTTGTTAACTTTTGACATTGTTCGTCAAACATAAACATTCCTTGAACATTGAGATGCGAATTTTCTAGTATTTTGTTATAAGTTTATAACCTATCATTACCTACCATTTATAGAATAGGTATAAATTTATAAAGTAGGTATAAATTTCTGGTACATATTTTAGCTTTATAAATACACGCAATAATGAAATGTATGATAACCAATTATAAGCATCTCAAGTTGAATAAAAACTATCTAAATCTAAATCCTAACTCAAAACTCAAAGGGGATAAGTTAAAAACTGAAGTTGAAATCCAAATTGAAATTCGCGTTTTCATATTTTCAGGCTGTCATAATGCAAGTATTAACTATAAACAGATAACAGCTGACATAATGCCGACGCTGATACATTGCTTCTAGATACATACATATTATTCAACGAAATACTCTGTGGTTTCATCCAAGCTTATGTGCAAAAGTACCACATTAAGGGTATGTTCCGATATACACTGCGACCACTGTACAGAGTACCGACTTAGTATACTATTACCAATATATGGGGCGTTCCCACGAAGCGTTAATCACGACAGTCAACTACGCTAGTCAACTTTCGTTCGTGACACTCACGAAAGTGTGAATTGATGAAACGTTCACATGGTTGGGGGATTTCGTGCCGTTCACGCTTCGTGTTTCGACTTAGTCATTATCGAAACATCGATCATGAATGATCTGGTTGTTGAAAGTTGTGCTGTTTTAAGTTCGTTTTTTGCTACTATCATAGCAAAAAAAATTGAGCGCTTACAGGACACAAGAAAACGAAAAAAATGACGTTTTTGGGTTAGAGAATGGATACAGCGAAGAAATATGTTAGGAGCGTCGAACTTGGTTAGTATGGTATTAAAAAGCAATTTTCCAGAAGATTTTAGAAACCTATTGCGAATGACTGAATTTCAGTTTGAATACCTCTTATTGCGTGTTACAAATATTATTTCAAAATCTGACACTAAATGAGACAAGCAATAAGTGCAAAAACAAAATTAGAGGTGACTTTACGGTATTTAGCTACAGGTGATTCCTTCAAAAGCTTAGAATTTTCCTTTTCCATAGAATATAACTCCAAAAAATGCGTAGTTTCACTGTCGTTAAACTTAATTCCACGTTGTTGTGACGACATCTTGGCTTCACGAACGGTATATCACGACTGAAAATCAAACACGTTTGATCTATCCACGCTTGAGTCGTGCGCCGTTCCTCACGAAAGCAAGTTTAACGCCTATGCGTTCACACAGAAGTGTATTTCACGAAAGCGTGGTTGACTGTCGTGATTAACGCTTCGTGGGAACGCCCCTTTAGTATACTGTGAAACCGTTTCTCTATAGCCAGCTATACTGGTTACAATTTAAAACGGAACGCAGTCCAGTATACTAGTCAGCTTCGTTTTTCGACACAGTTTTCAAATGAGTGCATCAAAGTTTTTCAATTCAACAAGAAAAACTATTATTGGAGTATTATCGCATTAAAAAAATCTATATTAATATTAACTGTCAATTGAATTAATACTACAAAGAAAGTAAGTATTTTTTAATTAGAAAAAGTCTGTTTATCATAACTCAACTTATATTAACTTTCTGTATTACTTATAATGCAAAGGTAATGTAGGGTAAAAGTAAGGAGTTTTCTTTATACAAATTAGTTATTAATTACTACAAATAAAAAACAATTCACAGCTAATGGAATACACAATAATTGGAATTGTGCTTGTTGGTGCCGTTGTTCGAGTATTACTTACACAGTCTAATAAACTCAATTTTCGTAAGTTTTCCATTGTTTCATTAATTAGTCCAAGCCAATTCTTTAATTAGAATTTTAAATGTTTGTTATTAAACTGTAAGTTATATCAGCCGTTAGGCATTCAAGTGGTTTTGATTGATCACGTGATCAAAGCACTGCGAGTACCTTACCTCGAAAACGCCAGTGCTCGCAGTAGAAGTATAGCGGGGATTTGTGACGTCATATATTTCCCTAGGACGCTGCGGCTGTATACTGGCAGTCCATAGCGGAACGAATGTTTGAACAGTGGGAGCACTATACAGTACTCGCAGTGTATATCGGAACATACCCTAAATTAGATTTGCTTCAACTCCCATGAAATACCAAATCATACCTTAGAATGAGAAATAGCATAGAAACCACTAACTTTTTATGTGATTTCTGCGTTTATTCCAAGACAAATACAGACTTGAGTCAAAAAAGTTAATAAATTTAATCTGTCAGCCCAATGTCGAAATGTCGAATGCTAATTTTGACAGTTTATTCATTATAAATTAAATTTATTAAAATCGTAAAGGCTGCGGTTTAGAATAATGAAATAACTGTTAATTATCATTTAATCTATTAAAAATATATTTTTTTTTTAATATAGTATGAATATCCATCTTTATTGTTAATTTACTTTATTGTTTTAATACCAATTTTTCATCGATCAATGGTTTATTTTCTAAATTACAAAAGATGAAAGAAAAATGGAACTTTATTTTATATCTTATTTGGTTTTCCTATTTGATAATGTCAGCGACATTAATGTTTGGACACGGTTTCTTACTATCTCGTAAAACCCTAAGTGATGTATCTGAATGTGTCGGACAAGATTTAATTCAATGTGACAAAAAGTCTGGTGCTTCGACAGTTTGCAGTGAATCTGAAAGAATTGAGCGTATATTGAATAATCCTGGGTCACCTTTAATTTGTCCACTGGTGTCAAGGAGGGTTGTACTTATATTGGTTGATGCACTTCGTTATGATTTCACCGAGTACAATCCTAATTTAGAAAACCCTTTACACTATCAAAACCGACTGCCCGTGATTTACAAAACATTAAAAAAATGGCCAGAAAAGACACGTATATTCCGCTTTATGGCAGATCCACCAACTACAACTTTTCAGAGAGTAAAGGCCTTAGTGACAGGATCTCTGCCCACTTTTGTAGATGCTAGCTCAAATTTTGCAGCAATGGAGTTACACGAAGATAACATAATTGATCAGGTAAACAAATCCTGAGGTAGTATTTATTATACTTAAAATAAAACCAGTTCTTTTGTATATGTATATATTATGTACATTGCCAACTTAACAAATATTAATTATATGAAATCTTTGAATAAATTAGGTAACCAAAAGTGGTGGTCATGCTGTATTATTAGGAGATGACACCTGGGCACGCTTGTTGCCTCAGAGATGGCTAAGATCTCATGCCCTTTACTCGTTTCATACTTGGGACTTGGATACTGTTGATACTGGTAACGTATTTGACCTATTCTGCTTATTAAAACGTAGTAATTGATGCTTATTATATTACCAAAAAAGCTTATCAAAATATATTAGCTCCATGACAGTTAATTTTCTATAGAAAAACCTACAACGCTAAATACACAAACATTAATAATTTTACATGAAACAAATTTATTGTAGAAGTGGATTCCAAAATTTATGATGAACTGAAAAAGAATGATTGGAACATATTGTTAGCTCACTACTTGGGTGTAGATCATGCAGGTCATAGATATGGGCCTAACCACGCAGAAATGGCTCGGAAACTTAATGAAACAAATTCAAGACTTGAGAAAATTATAGATGTTTTGCCTTCTGATGCAATAATGTATGTTATTGGTGATCATGGAATGACTGAGACAGGTATATAGGATAATATATTCACTACTTAAGTATACAGTCCCCGCATTAATTACTTATAACCCTATTTAAGTTCTGTAGATTATGTTAAAGTATTTATAAAAATTATAAAATCTTTTTAAAATTTCAAATTATACTTGTTGCATGCAGACACAGGGACAGGTAAAGACTTATCATTTTATTAAACAACTATTTTTACATCCCTGGCTCAAAATAATTTTGTTCAGGTGACCATGGTGGGGAGACTAAGGCAGAAAGAACGGCTGCAATGTTTGCCTACTATAAGGGTGGGTTAGCTGGCGATGGAGAGGAAACTGCTCCAGGGAGGGAAATACAACAAACTGATTTGGCACCTACTGTGTGTGCTGCTTTAGCACTGCCACCTCCAGCACCATCTTTAGGGAATGTGTTGTTGCCATTACTACCTCATATGAAGCCATCAAACACCTTGTTGCATCTAACTAACAATTTAAAACAGGTAGGATTTACTCATTATATGTCACCGTAAAATTGTAAATACCGTTAGATTGTAATCTATCTCGCGAGATTGTGAATTGTCGAAAGATTGTGAACCTCAACAAACTGTTAACAATTTAACGTATTATTATTAGGTAGATTGTAATCTATCGAAGTGAAACCGTCAAATTGTGAAACGGAATGCACCTCGCGCGCTGATTGGTTGAACGGAATATGCCCCGCCGCCCGCGCCACCATATTTGTTTGTTGTCGAATGTAAACAGTGTTTTGGTGAATGTAAATTGATGTCGTGTTGAAAGTAACTCACAGCTTCAGAATTAGTTATATGAAATTGTTGTAGAAGTAAAATTAATCTTTGATTGATCAAAGAAGTGCAGCTTGAATGATAACTAAGTTAGTGTTGGAAATTAAATGAAAGAAATATTTCATTACTTTCTTACAATCTTTCGACAGTTCGCAATCTCGCGAGATAGATTACAATCTAACGGTATTTACAATTTTACGGTGACATATTATACCACATTTTACTGATTAGAGAAGTTTCTAATAGTTTCGTCAAGTAGTAATATACATCGATATGATTATTTCAGTGTTTGACAGCTCAATGTGAGATATTATTTATTTTTACTACATGTATTCTATTGAAACGATGCATGTTTCAGCTTCTTTATAGTACCAAATACATACTTTGTTTAGTTTTTGATACTATAATGTATTTTTACTTGTCTATATCTAATTGATATTACATATTGTTTATTCTAAGGCCTCTGTTAGCTTTGATATGTAAGCAATATTAAATTTTAGGTGACTCAATACTTGGTGAGATATGGGGAAGAGTCTCAACAAGTATCTCTTGATAGATTGGCTGAGTTAATTAATTCTACAAGAGATCAAATTGAAAAGGCATCGAATATAGTTTCGGAAGAGGATCTCAAAACATATGTTGCAGATGTTAGGTAAATCAGATTTAAAAATAAATTTTTGGTCTAAGTAAATAAATCTTAATAAATGGGTAAGCTAAGCTTTAATTTGCTTTTAACTGTGACTTTGACAAGACCATATACTTGCTTACTAGCGTCAAAACTTATTTCGATAATTGGATTTTTGAAAAAAAAAATGATTTTTTTTATGTATTTTAAAACTTTATTGTTAATAATATTGATGTTTAATGCAAAAAATTAAAAAAATTTTTTTTTCAATTAATTATAAACAATTAAAAATTGATGAAATTTAAATAAAAATCACGTGACTATAAACGCGCCATGAATGATCGATGATCAATCACCATGTTGTGACGTCATAATGTTAAAGCAATTTAACAGTACAGCGTTTACGGCTATTAATATATATATATATATTGATAGTATAATTAACTATATATATATACACTGTATTTATTATTTTTCTATCAACTGCAATGAGTGAAAACTAACATTATGACGTCACACGCGCTTGGGTTTGTTCGGCGTGTTTTCGGTACTGGATTCAAAAATTATTTATTACATATTTTGAAATAACTTTTGAATTATTGCGAAAAAAAATAAAAAAAATAGTTTTGTTATAAAACTTATATATGATCTTTCCCTTTATCACAATTTTTTTTTTTTTTCAAAAAATTGTCTTTTGTTTCAGAACACTCATGGATAATATTCGCGCCATCTTTCGTGAAGTCTGGGTCGAGTTTGATTCGTTGGCCATGTTGAGGGCTCTACTCTTACTGTTACTAGCCATATTTTTCAATTGGATTATTGCTGACGGCATTTCTATAGATCGCATTCCTCATGTATTCTCAAGTTCATTTGTGCCTACCGGGTTAATATCCATGGCGATATGTATATCTTTATGCTACATGGGCCATTATTGGCAGCTATTCACAGACTTAGAGAGTGCAATAATTTTAACGACTGGATTAATATCTGGTGCGGTCACTGGTGCTCTTGTTATATTGCACTGGGATGGAATTTCGCAGAAATGGTATGAGAACCGCACGCCGTTCTATGAGCGCTTCGCTCGTACGGTTTTATTCGGTTCCTCTGCGGTTTTGGCATCAAATAGTTATATCATAGAGGAGGGTGCCGTTTTATCGTATTTATCGTTGAGCGTTATTGGACTTATAGCGTGGAATATTGGTAGTTTAAAAGCTTTAGCGTTGTGGGCTGGTTGTGGGTTAGTTTTCGCGTTAACGAGGCCGTATAGGGGTTGCAGAGAGGAGCAAGGGGACTGTTGGACAGCGGGAGATAATTTGAACAGTGGACAAGCGTCGAGGGCGGCGTTGGTAATTGCGTTGGGTTCGGTGGCAGCTGTAGTTGCGGTTGCTAGGCGACAGGTTTCTTGGAGAGGGTACGGGATAGTGATTGCGGGTATCTTCACGTGTGCGCATTGGGCGGTTGGCTGGGGTTCTTTAGGATCGCCTAATAGATCTAGGCTGCTTGCACGCGTTGCATGGCTCTTCATCGCTGCTATGTTCGGTCTGTTATTGAAAAAAGACCGCAATGGACCGGTGACTCCACTCATAGTCTGTGGCTTGTTGTTTTATTTAGCCAATTGTTTGGTCCTGGGAGCGTCTTACGCGCCTACGGCTGCGCTGGCGTTGATATCCGGCTTTTTGATACTTAACATGGTGTCATTGATGAAGAACGATGGATCGTCGAAATCCTGTAAGTATATAAACGACAAATTATTTTGTATTACATTTGCATTATATTGTTACATTGTTCACATTTATATTTCACAACTAGTTCCGTTTGGCCTGAGAGGTTTTTCTGCATCATTTTAGATAAACATAGTGTTCCCTATTTCTCGTTTTTTTACTCAAAAGAATTCTCAAGGAACTGTTCTGCGCTATGTAGCTTTTGTGTCTGCATTATATATTATTAAGATATCATACTCTTTAATCTTATAACAAATATGTATTGGTGATTTTTTGTCACCAGATAGAAAACACATGAAAACGTAAGAAATATAGTAAAATTATGCTGGTACAATTTTATTTCGGCTCTATGGAACCTACCGATAGCGTAATATATAACCGCTAATGTTTTAGTCGGAATATACTCGCATACACACACACACAGTAAAAAGAGCATTAAACTTAGTTTTATTTATCTTTTTTTTTCGGTTTTGTGTTAAGCAAACATTCACCATGTAGTCACGTAATGTGTGCCTAGTGTCATTAGGGACACTACTATACAGTATGTTGAAGATTGTTATTTCAAGAAATGCCCTTATTTTCAGCTTTATCGTCCCGAAGTAGTTCTACTTTGGCGTGTTTATGGGCGCTGGTAGCTTCATACAATTTCTATGGTTCGGGACACCACCCTACATTAAGCCATATCAGCTGGACGCCGGTGTTCCACGCTGGTGACCCCAACTACAGCGCATTTGGCCCAGTCGTCTCCTTCATACTACTGATATTGAATTTGTTTGGTAAGTTACGAACATGCGCCGAATGCGCGAACAACGGCCGGGTTCTGAATTGCAATACCATTCGTAGCAACGATTGTACCACTTCTATGGAACGGATTAGATTAATAAAATTAATTATTTATGCGCAAGTTTGAGATCCTAGAACATTTTCTGGTGTTTTTGTGGGTTCAAGTATTACGTCACGCAATTTTTGGAGATTATTGACGCCCCCCCATGTAACGCGCCGTCACATTTTTCTCTATACAATAGTAAAACGTTTCGTGACCACCTCGTGACTCTTTATACCTAAAAGTTGCCATTATGTAGTGTAAAGTACTGGAAAGTCGAAAATAATATTAACAATAACGCGTAATTCATGCCCGCCTCGCATCGTAACGTTTTACAAAAGGAAACACAATAATACTTGAACGCCCCAAAGCTGTAACACTACTTTTTGATCCCAATAAGTCCCTTAAACAAGACAATTTTTACAGGAATGCCGATGATGTTTGGTGCAACAGTTCCACTTTTAGCGTTGTGGGGAAAGAATGGAGCGATGGGACCGAGATCACAATTAGCTTCCGTCTTCTCGCTGTGCCTCAAATATTCATTGTGTTTTGCTATACGAGTAAGTTTATCCATCATAATCCTGATGCATGCGTGAACTTTTATTTTAATAATCATTTAGGTTTCTTATAGCTGATAGATCAAACGTTTTACTGTCCGCTCCTTGAAGTCAGTTAAACTGATGTCTCCAAGGATTTTGAGTTTTGTTTGGCTTCATAATACATACTAGGGATGGTCTATAAAAAATATATAAGTATAACGCAATTATCTTAATGTTATTTTTTTTTGACGTAGTCTTTGTTTCGGGGTAAACTTAGTATCTTCAGACTAAAGCTAAAATTCCCTTTTAAAAAATCTTCCTGATCTAAAAAAATCGTGTACCGCGGCGACTATTAATTTCTATTCTTAATTTTGTCTATTTTCTTTACAATAGGAAGGAAACACTACAAAAAACAAAAGATAATTGATTGCTTTTAATATTATAATACATATTTTATTACTGCAAGTATTATATTTTTCAAGGAAAATGTATCGTCTTTATTAATATTTATTGAACACCCATCGTACATAATATTTTTTATCTTGAAGAAAAATAACGAAAAACTTTAAATAACACGATCTTGTGAATGATGCTTAAAAGTACCGAAACCGAATAAATACCGCCGTCGCCTTATCTATAAAAATAAGAAAATTGTGCAAATAGCAGCACGTAATAATGTTAGGTAAATAAAAGATAATGAAATAGTGACACGCCAAGGCTGACGTCACAATGACTTACAATTTGTTTTACGAATCTTATGCGCGTTATTAATATCATTAAATATCATACTCATACTGATAAACAGTATTTTAAATATTTAATCTGATAAATCGAATTCACCGTTATGACGGGTTCAAACAAATCTCAAAATTTACCTATTGACAGATGACAGCGGATGTTTGTGATCTGCTGTGTAATTTTATTTATTAAAATAGGATTACTTTGATGATTTGAAAAAATATTATTTAAATAAATTGACGTGATATTAAATATGTTGGAGTTCTATATGTGTACCATATAATCTATCATGTGATAACATTGTAAAACTGTCAATGCTTTGTCGTAACATAGATAAAAAAAATGCTTAAATTATTTCGACCATTTACAGTATCGCGAGACAGATTATACAATATACAGACACACAACATACGTTCGTGGTCCATTTCGTAGCTGAGCCATTTGACGCCTTATGGTTTGGACAAACAGCGGGCGGGGCGGGTCGGTGACGCGACGTGGATGTCACACTGCGGACGTGATGATCCTGCAAGCGTCGCGTCGGCCAACCCGCCGCACTCGGCGTGATTTTTCGAGCATTTTGTGTGACATGTCCTATATTAACTAGTACATTACAACTGCTAACGTCGCGCCAGCGTCGCCGTCCCGCCCCGGCCGCTGTCTGACCAAACCTTAAATCTTATAATAATCCTAAATACATTTTGGATTTTTTTAAGTCTTAAAATTATCATTGTTAGGTCTGACATGTTTTTAACATTACATTTCCAGGTATTAGCGTGTGCTTTATCAGCAACGATACACTGCCGACATCTCATGATATGGGGCGTATTTACACCCAAGCTTATTTTTGAATATGGGGCCTGTGGTGCTGCCCTTTTTGGCTCACTTATCGGCGCCGCGCTCACGGCCTGGCATCTATCACCAAATAAATCTAGTTGACACAAATCATAGACTGATTTTAGTTATTATTTTGTTACGAATTTATCTGGTTCAAAATTTTTATCAAATGCAGACTTTTTGTTGGGTTTTAAGTAGAAATTAAATTCTGGAATGGTTATTTGTGGCGCATGAGCAAAACTCATATCTAACTACGCCTGATTCTTCATGTCTTAATCATGAATCTAACTCCAATCTTAATTCAACATCACTAATTATGAAAGTACTGAGAGACTAACTATAGATGTGTTTCTGAATAAGGGTCCATTTAAATTATGGATATCGCTTCAAGATTGATTAATATTCATATTAATATAAATTTTTAGAAAAAGCACAATAATAGATATATCTAAACTTGGATATTGCTTTCAAGTAAGTTCGCATTTATTACATGACTTCTTTATCTAATACTTATAACTTTTTCTGGCCTGAAAATTCAGTAAATTTCAGTTTGTGTTTTAAAGAATGGGCCGTTAGAATAAATAGAAGTCAATCGCCAAACTATTAGTGTGTAGATGAACAAGTTGTGAGATTATGTTTGGAATTTGTTAGAGATTATCAGAATGTTTATTAAAGTCTAGTAGGTACTAGGGTTATGAAAGGGTAGTATTTGCAATAGAATTTTTTATGTATTATCAAGAGTTATTGAAACTGATACCAGTTTTTGTAAATAATTTATAGTTCATAATTTTCACTTTATATAAAAGCTATGTACCGCCCTATTAACACTGCCATACAAAGATAAAGACAGTATTGCTATTTTACATTTAAATAATAATTGTTAATTTATTGGTGTTTAATAAATATTTAGATGAAAGCTTTATTTCATTTGATGACCCTTGTAAACGGGTGCTGCTTGTGGTGACTGGTCGTATTTGAATTCGTGTATGCGGTGATGTTAGTTATTTCGACTATGTATTTGCGTGTTATTCCCACGAGAATGTAAGTGCGTGTTCCTATTTCACCATGCCTCCTGCTGATAGAGGACATATCTTTGTTTTTTTATTTATTTTATTACTATTAATTACTTAAGATGTCATGTGGAACATGGTCTAATGGTTGCAGCCTTACAAACATTATGTAAAACAAAAAACTTGGCGATTAAAAACAGCGGCGGTGAGTTTATTGCCAGTTCTTCTCTTCCGTTCTACGCCCTTGATTTGAGAACTGGCAGTAAATGTAAAATTAGAAGTATTTATAATTTAATATATATTTTTTTTGACGTTCATACTATATCTCGAATAACAAACGTCATGCAGACGTTTGACATAATTGACAGCGCTCAAAATGATATTGTGACTTGAGAGAATATATTACTGGCAGAACTTATTTTTATTTTCATACAGTACACTACACATATAAAAATGATGAAACAATTTTTCCCCGGCCAAAAAAAAAAAAAAAATCCCGGGGGGGTTTTCCCCCCCCCCCCCCCCCCCCCCCCCCAAAACCCCCCCCCCCCCTCCCCCCCCAACCCCCCCCCAAAAAAAAATTTGGGGGGGGTTTTTGGGGGGGGGTTTTTTTTCCCCCCCCCCCCCCCCCCCCCCCCCCCCCCCCCCCCCCCCCCCCCCCCCCCCCCCCCCCCCCCCCCCCCCCCCCCCCCCCCCCCCCCCCCCCCCCCCCCCCCCCCCCCCCCCCCCCCCCCCCTCCCCCCCCAAAAAAAATTACCTTTTTTTTTTTTTTTTTTTTTCCCTTTTCCGGGGGGGGGGGGGGTTTTTCCCCCCCCCCCCCCTTTTTTTTTTTTTTTTTTTTTTTTTTTGGGGGGGGGGATCCATGCAGACTGCAACTTAATCAAATTAATAAATTTTATGTATTCCGGGGATTTCAAAACAAAAATTTTTCCCTTTCTTTCCGGGGGGACCCCCCTCCCCCCCCCAAAAAGGGGGGGGGGGGGGAACCCAATGGGGGTGTTTCCCCCCCCCCCGGGGGGGCCCCAAAAATTTTTTTTTTTTTTTTTTTTTTTTTTTATTTTTTTTTTTTTTTTTTTTTTTCTTTTGGGGGGGTGGGGGGGGGGGGGGGGGGGGGGGGGGGCCCCCCCCCCCCCCCTTTTTTTTTTTTAAAATAGACAGCCAACTTTTGCTCAAAATTGATATTGAGAGAATATGGACCTAATATAATTTGGGGCTGCAGACGAAGTATCAAGCAACATACCCAATGTTTTATCAGTAACTTTCACTAATTTCTCTATACCTACCAATATTTTACCAGGCGGTCACCTCACACCCTTTAGCCAGTATCTGGCTACGAGCAATAATCAACGGGTTTTTTGTTTTTTTTTTCCTTTTTTCTAATAAGAATATTTTAGCCATGTCGGAGTTAATTTTAACATCATTTTATAAATAACTGCGACTTTTATTTAAATGATGTAAAAAAAATAAAATTTCAAAAGACAGGAATCCCTTCCTTTTCCAGGTTCTCCAGATTATATTCATTCAATTACTAAATCAAATTACATGCTGACCGTCTCTTGTAATTAGTCCAGGATTATTTTTTCTTAATATAAGACTTCTAGTATCCAACGGATCTTAGCCCCAAGCTTCCCACCCCCCCGTTTTGGGGGTTTGGGGGTCCCAAAATTCCCCCCTTCCCTTTCCCCCCCCTCCCCCCTTCTCCCCCCTGCCCAGCAAACCCCAAAACAAAAATTTTTGGGCCCCCCCCCCCCCCTCTTTGTGTGCGGGCGTGGGAAAGCCAAAACCCCCCCCCCCCCCCCCCGCCCAGGCCCCCCCCCCCCCCCCCCCCCCCCCCCAAGGGGGGGGGGGGGCGGCCCCCACCCCCCGCTCGCCCGTGTTCTTCGTGGGGGGGGGGGGGCGGGGGGGGGGGGGGGCCGGGGGCGGGGGGGGGGGGGGGGGCGGGGGGGCGCCGCCCCCCCCCCCCCCCCCCCCCCCCGCAAAACCCCGAACCCCGCCCCGGCCCGCCCCCCACCCCGACCCGGCCCCGGGGGGGGGGGGGGGGGCGCCCCCCGCCCCCCCCCAAGGGGGGGGGGGGGGGGGAGGGAGAGAAAAGGGGGCCGCGCGGCGAAAAAAAGAAGGGGGGGGGGGGGGGGGGGGGGGAGGCGAGGGAACCAACGCCGGGCCCCGGCCCCCGCCGGCGGGGCGGGGGGGGGGGGGGGGGGGGGGGGGGAGGGGGAGGGGGGGGGGGGGGGGGGGGGGGGGGGGGGGGGGGGGGGGGGGGGGGGGGGGGGGGGGGGGGGGGGGGGGGGGGGGGGGAGGCGGGGGGGCGGCCCCCGGCCCCGGGAGGGGGGCGGGAGGGGGGGGGGGGGGGGGGGGGGGGGGAAAAAAAAAAAAAAAAAGAGGGGGGGGGGGGGGGGGGGGGGGGGGGGGGGGGGGGGGGGGGGGGGGGGGGGGGGGGGGGGGGGGGGGGGGGGGGGGGGGGGGGAGGGGGGGGGGGGAAGGGGGGGGGGGGGGGGGGGGGGGGGGGGGGGGGGAGGGAGGGAGGAAAAGAAAGAAAGAAAAAAAAAAAAAAATACCACGTTATGGTGCTTTAAAAATAAAAAAAAAACCCCAACCCCCCTCCCCCCCCCCCCCCGCCTATATTATACTGACTCATAGGTCTCTTTTAATGCTGCATAGGTATTTATGTTAATTATTCCAGTTGTTATTTCTAGCGTGTCACTCGAATGACACCTAATCACCCGATTACCCGTCACTATTTATATCCCAAAAAATATATTGTTCCGTTATAAATGTTCTCTTAATATAAGGCAATGTTACCTCTCTAGATGGCGCTATGCCATGTTGACCCACCTACGCAAGCATAATCACCGTAAATAAAATTTGCTTAGGCATTTTCAAGAGTATTTCCAACTAATTTGCATACAGAAGAGAATTGGAGTTTCATGCTATGGGAGGTGTAAGGTATTAAAAAATAAGTATATTCAACAATATTTTAATTATACAAATATAAATTACGTTTTCATAATAAATACAGCAAAAAAACGCCAGAAATAATATGGGGTTGTATTAAGAAGTCAGTATTCCTATTTCCTAGTATCGACATATGAACCTTCTAATTCTAGCGTTCATCTAAGTTCAATTAATATTTAAAACTAATAAAAAATTATGAATGTGTGTATTTAATATAGCTGTGTCAGGCACTGGAATTTAATTTCTTGACATGCGATTTAACCTACAATATACATATTATGTAGAAAAAAAAATACTGCCTATTTCTTTTGAAAACTATTAATGTTTAAAAAAAAATATAGAATTGAAATTTATCTATCTCCCATGATGTCAATCATTATAAAATGCAGTTCAATAGCCTGCAGTCTTTTGTTTAAATTATTACAATATATTGTTTTTGTTACATACTATTCAATATAGAGTATTTAAAACATTTTGCAATAAAGGATTTTATTATGGAGATGACGGCTTATAAGGGTTAAGCAAATATTCAGAGAAAGAATTAACAGCATCAGCACCCCTGACCTCTTTATCTAAAAGTGGTAATTTTGTGACATGAAAGTCTTCATACAAATCTGCTATTTGTTCAAGATATTTCTCTTGAACTTTATGCCTCGCTGCACATAGTTCACATGGCGCAGAAGCCTTCAATAAAAGTTGATTAACAATAATATTGTGTGTATCAATGCCACACCTAGTAAGTTCCTGAACAAGTCTCTCTGTTTCATACAAAGACAGAAATTCAGCTATACAAACACACACAAAAGTTGTCTGATTGGGATCTTTGAACTGAGTGTTCACTTGTCGTATGATAGATAGCATTTCATCCATTTTATTGCTAAACATGTCTGAATTAAAGTCTGCCATGCCAAATAGAGATGCAACTTGGTTGATGAATGGTGCTACCTGGAAATTAAAGAAATAATAATAGATTTAGGGTATAAATGACAAGATTAGATTGTATTAGTGATAAAATTATCTTAGAAGAAAGTAACATTACTAACCCATAATGATAAGAAAAATAGGCACAGAATTATGCTTCATATTGTATCAACTATATCCTCATATAATGTGTTTGGTCATTAAGATCCCAGTCAATAAAATAATTATAATGGTATAGTATTTTAATGATTGACCGTATATACAGTCAAATCTGTTTATGACGACATAATTGAGAACAACATACCGGTTATATTGACCAAAATCAAAGGTCCTGGCTGAATACTATGTATTAGGTACTTAATACCAACATCATTGGCTGTTATGACTATCGGGTTTTACAACCAAATATGAGTGGTGCCTTTGATGTCGTTGTAACAGACTTTGACTGTATATACATACAAAATTAGGTCACTTCTACAAATTGATGAGTTAACATTTATATAATTTACCTTGGATTTCAAGAGCATTAGTTTACCAAGCCCTTTCTCTACAACTTGAGGGAATGACAGTAAACGTAAAGTGTGTCCTGTTGGTGCAGTGTCAAACACCACAGCACTGAAGTTCATGCCTTTTACTAATTTCATAACCTGGAAATGTTACATTGTTACTGATATGAAAAATTTACTAATTTTACATTTGTTCATAGATATTAATAATTTTATTTTAGTAACCTATTTTAAATTGTTCAATTTTATGTCTTAACTTCAAATTAAGTATAATTAATAATACCAAAAGATTTAGGGTAAAGTGGGCCATAGACGGCGATCTGCAGTTTCCATACTAAATTCATATTTGCAATACACGGACCGCTCAAGCAGTTCCTGAGCAAACTGTCCACCTATGGCCCGCTTAAGATTAAACATTGGAGTCATACTTAGCGCTGTCTCAACCAAATGTTACTATTAAGGCAATTATGACTTTCATAATATGACAAAAACATTTTGGATTTAACATATTTCCAACATCAATCATACTTAGGGCTAATAAGTCTCAAATTTGAATCTAATTCTTACACATACTGCAATGGCCTAAAAAAATATTGGCGCATTACTGCAAAAATGTAAATACCTCAGCATAACTCATAGCCTCATCTATTCCTGGAAATGCCCCAACAATTTCCTGCATCACACCTTTACCCAATCTCATTGCCTCTGCTTCTCCTTCGAAATATTCTTCGGGTAATTCGGTTAATCCAACATTTGGATCAATTTCCATAGCAAAAAGATTTTCAAAGCCCTTTACTTTAGTTGGTACCTGATTTATGTGTCACTTAATTATAAATCCTTTTTTAAATTATGACTATAATTGCAAAGTTTATAGCAAAATCAATCATCTTAAAAAGCAACAAATTACACAAAGTAAAAAAACAAAAAAGGTATTCTGTCATTCTGCTGAAGTCTTACCTTTGAAAACTTTTGATCAAAGGCATCAGAAATGTTGTGTGCTGGATCTGTAGAGATTATGAGAACTGATTCTCGCACTTTGGAAAGCTGTACTGCCAAACTACAACTGTAATAATAATTGGGAATAATAAATTCGATGTTTTATTATAACTTCTTATTACACGGTGGCTTAATACCTAATATTTTACCTGCACGTAGTTTTACCAACACCTCCTTTACCACCAACAAAAATCCAACGCAATGATTTTTGTTCGATTACATTCTTCAAAGAAGGCTCTAGTGGTTCAAAATCAGTATTATCGCCCATATTTAGAACTAATTTTAATAACTGGAATAATAATTCGTAGTATAAAAATTAATTAACCGTAACCACAAAAAGTTAGGGCATAGAGTAATACACACAGATTTAGTAGTGCACAAGTAAATGGCGAGTAAACAGTTGGAACTTGGAAAATAGGAAATCTCAATCGCGTGACAAATGACAGTAGGATGATGATTTTCTATTTTAACTCGTACTGTCAATATCATTAATTGTCACTTTGAAATAAAAATGACATTCAAACTAGATGACAATATTATCGTAATGTATGTCAGTTGTCAATTGTCAGTCTACTATAGTACTATTTATTTATATAGTAATCCTGATCATTGGTCATATTTATATACAAAATATTAAATAAAAAAGACGCAGGAAATTTTATTTGAATAGGCAGCTAAAGAATTATGAATAAATTAAAAGTATGATTATAAGGCCTATAAAGGAGTCTGGAATACTAAAGATTCAGTATGAAAATAATTTTACATCGATTACTCCGAGGTCGTCTTTCTTTAAAAGTTTATGTGTTTATTATTTCCTTCATTGTATTATGTGGTTATATTTTACCACATTATAAATTTTATCCGATAGCTCCTGTAACTGTAGCTCCAGCAGTGAACAGTCATACAAGGGTCACTAAACACTTATCAAAATTAGTAACTCTTGTTTTTCGTCAGTTTGAGGAGTTTGAAAACGATGTCGCCGAAAGTGTTGCATCTTTTGTGGGGGCATATCCTAATATGCAAATTTTGATTCTAAACCAAAGTCCACAATATCCACCTTATCAATTTTCGACATCAAACAATACCTTACGTAATGTGAAAATAGTATCGTTAGATCTTAAACTCGATTCTTCTCCTAACGAGTTAAAGCCTCTTTCCCACATTTCTACTGAGTACGTGCTTTTTGTACCTGACTCGACACGTGTAACGCGTCGTGTACTTCAGCAATTACTATTGGCTGCTACAAGCGCTCCAACTCAAGGCACAGCTGTAGGTGTTGGTGGTTCACGATTAGTTTGTCAGCAAGTGAAATGGAACTTTGTAGATTGGACCCTGCAATACAGCAAAGATGCTTCAGGAAAGATATGTGATGCAGTGCAAGGACAGCATGCTGTTATATTTAAGACTTCAATATTACACACACTCCCTGATCCATTTTTGTTTCCTTTTCCTGAGTCACTGTATCTCCAGACTGCAGTGAGAAAAATAAAAGTAAGCATATTAATATAAGAAAAATGTGCCTTTATTTTATTTATTATATAAAACTCATTCGTGTCTTTTGATTATGTTTAACATTTTATTGACATTTTAAAGACAAATTTCTGTATTATGAAAAAGTAAAAATTAACAATCTTTTTCAGATACAAATAATTGATGGCAAATTTAGTTCTGGTAGAAGCGTATTAAAGACTCCTATATCAAAGCAGAAAGCATCAAGACGGCAACGAGAATATAGAATAGCACTATATAAACAGCTGGGTGTAAAAGCTGTTGTACGAGATGATGGCAGAGTTCAGTGGTATGGTTGCAAAAGAGAAACTCAGGTATTTTATAGTAAATCAATAAAATTTAATTTTAATATCCTTTTAACATAACAAAACTGTCAACAAAGTCAAGGTCCCTAAAATGTAATTAGTAAATTTGATGTTGTGTTAGGGCAAAAGATTAGGTTATTGTAATATCTGTATTGTGCATTGTGTATAAGTAGAACTCAACTTAGTTTAATTTTTTATTATTCAATAATTGCTTTTTTTTTGGAATGGGTTGTACATTTTTTTGTAATTCTATCTTTGCAGCGATGTTTTCCGCCTGTACAAGGTACACCATCCTATATACTTTCTGGGCGAAATATTCCTCCTTGTTGTAGGAGAAATATACGCAGAACAGCAGCTCATGTTCTAAGAGCATTATTACAAGCCGGAGCTAGATGTTGGCTTGAGACCACTTCACTACTTGGTGCAGTAGTACGGTAACTTTCAAATTTATTTTATTATATTTATACTATATTATTACTTTGGCTTTGTGTGTTAAGATGATGCTAAACTTTTAAGACTGTAAATACCAGTATTGCGTTTACAGTCTTCTAGTTAAAAATTGTTTTTAGGGGCGATCTCTTACCTTGGGCGGAATATGCAGAAATTGGCATACACTCGGCCGACTTGCCAAGAGTTTCTTGGCTCCAACGTGGAGGTGCAGACAATGATGGCTTTGTATGGGAACGTGCAACAAAAGGACATTACTATAGAGTGGCTTATTCGGCTACAAATAGAGTTTATGTTCTGATACTTCCCTTTACACCAAAGAATGGTACTATGTGGCCAGCTGACTGGGTAATGGCTCATCAGAGAGAGTTCTCTGAAAGACACTTGCACCCGCTTGCTCAGGTATATATCTTAAAATTTGTACTTACTGGCTAAAAAGAAACAAGAAAATTACATTTTCATACCGTGTATGTGTAAATTGTGATCAATTCTACGATCCGATCGCTTTATATCTTTATTTATAATGATATTCATGGTTGTAACCAGTAATAAACGCAGTCCACGTTTTATATTAAATATGATTTAATTTAGAATTAAGAATCACCATGAGTCACAACCGTAAAACAATGTTGCCTTTCAGATTCAGTTCGCAGGTCGACAAGCTCCAGCACCAAATGACGCACGCGCATTTCTTGATCTCAAATTAGGTGCCAATTCTCTGGAGAGATGCCAGAAAATTGGCCCTAAACTTATTTATCCGTAAGTTTGATGGTAAAATTTGCTTTATAACTTAAGTTATTTTTGCTCCGCACACGATACCAAAAATTTCCAAATTGAAATGTATGCTTTCGAGCACGGTTATTTACTATGTGATATTATTTAAGTTAGAAACAAGACGGTCACTGATAATACTAATACAGGTGATTATTTACTAGCCCCCATACTCTGTAGCACCAACACAATGTTCATACAATAATTACTTAATCTTGTCTTGTGTTGATACTCTGTAAACAAACTTGATCACATCAAGCAATGGAATGTTCGTAAGAAGGTTGCTGTTGGAGACAAGACGTACAATTACAAAATTATACTGAAAAAAAAAAAAACTTTATACAAACACAAAATTGCATTGCATATAAAAAGCAACTAACACCCGTATTAATAATACTTCTCTTAAAGGCAATGTAGCCATTTAAACGTTATATCATATGACGTATGAGTTTTTATTATATTTTTAATGATTGAGGTATCAAAAATCTAATAATATTTTTTCATTAAATTTTGGAAAATTATTTAATATGTCCTTTAGGTAACCTAAGGTTTATATTTCATTAGGTAGGTATAAGTTAACTGAACATTAAATTTAAGATTTAACTGATATAATAACAATTGTGTTTTTGTTTAAAATGTGGGATTATATTTGTAATTATTTATTATTTAGATAATATTGTTCAAGGTTTGTAAAGATCTCTATCTAGTCAATATTTAAATTTATATTTAAGCCATTTAATGGTGATGTTTTGTTTGTTAGAGTTTAATAATTTAAAAATACCGCACAATTATGTCATGGACAACAGTACTGGCATATGCCTGGTGATAGGTGTCAACTAAAATAGAAACCAGTTGGTCATTACTAGGCAGAAATAATCACTGATTTGTAAAAAATCTGGTACATCATTATTTTTATTCGATTCTTTAACCGTAATATATTTACTAATACAATTGTATTTATCGTAAATAATATGAGACAAAGCGCTAGCATTGTTTTAGTTACAATCTGTCATAATCGGAAACAAAACGTTTTTAAATGTTAAAAAAATTATGTATTAACATTTTTATTTTTTTTACGTGTTGCACATGTAATCCGATAGTAAGAATAAGGAACTCAAGTCCGTTTTCACTACCGGGTCATATGAGTTTGTGGCACTGTTGACAATAAATAGAAGGTCTCTTTCATTCAATAGCAACCTGTAAGCAATACTTTTGTGATTTACCAATTGTATAAATAACTTTAAAATGCTTCGCTTAATGGCTTGATAGCAAAAATAAAAATTACCATATTTTTGATGTTTTATTTTGTAGATAATAAGTCAATATTAAAAACTAAATAACACTAAAACACTAATAAATTCAATCATCTTCAAATTTCTCATCGACTACTCCAGTTTGGAATGGCGGATCACGGACCAAGCTTAACAATTTGTCCAACTTCATGATCTAAAAAAGATAAAATATTCTTTAACAACAAATATTTCGTAACATACAACCTAGTATAATGTTTGAGAAATGAAATATAAGTATAAATAAAGAATACTATAATTTTTCCTGGTTATATTACTTAAAACAACACTTGAATTTGAAAAAAACACTGAAATTTCTAAATGCTGGTGTAATATAAGGAATATAATTATAAGTGAGATTTTAGAGAGAAACTTGCTTCAGGAGGTTCACTTCCTAATCATCGACCTACGTCTTCTAACGACAAAAAACAATTACGATGTAGTTATTTCATATTAATTTGTCATGGAAAGTATTGATGTCGATACTTGAAATTCTGTAGAAAATGGTTTCGGAATAGAGTCGGAATCGCTATTGAAGTTAGAGGGTTAACCTTGTAGAAACGGCTATAAATTAAGTAATTTAATACTGTTAATAGCATTTATTAATCTTAGAAAAAACATTTCAATGTGTTCAAAGATACAATATTATACGTACATTAACCCCAAATATTTCTACATTATATAGATAAGAATACGATTAATACTTTATTATCAGCATGTGTCAGATTTTGTGTTTACGCATAAACCTCTCGATAACTTATTGGCTAGGAATCGTACCTGTAAAGTTCGTTGATCTACGTTCTGGGCCTTCTTAGGTGGTCTGCACATTACTCTTAAGTTAGGCGATAATTTCACAACGTGGCACGTACCTCTGGAAATGTATCAAAAGTGATTGTTATGAATGCGTAAATGTTTTTGTAAGCATTTACGCCTACCATGACCATGACAGTTGGTCATGTCACTATATCTACTATCCATACAAAAATCTCTTGTTTTTTTTACCCGTTTTTTTACTTTTTAGACACGCACAAAGCTCTGCGCTGCGTTAGTAATCTCTTATGTTATGTATAGGATCACGTCCTTACCTACTACCCTAACTTTTTAGTTAAGATTATAAAGTTATAAGATTTTTCTTATGCGTTATTTTAAAATATTATAATTAAATTAGTACGTTATGCACTACTAGAGTACCTAGTGTCTATGTGGCATTTCTGAGTCTGTTTTATAGCTCAGTAGGTATAGGAGGAGGTCGTACTCAAAGTTGTGCATTATTTGTAAGCTAGATTAAATAAATGAAATTAAACTCTGAAGTCAATATCTACGTACAACTGATCACGACACAATTTTATCCATTAATTTCGAAAAACAATAATAATTCATATTTTCTAAATACAATATTATATTCTCACTAAAGTTGACTAATTATCTATTTAGTCATCTTTCAGATCGAATAATTAAAGAAAAAAAAAAGAAAAAAGGTCATATTGCCCCCAGAGAGATTTGAACTCTCGACCCCTGGTTTACAAGACCAGTGCTCTAACCCCTGAGCTATGGAGGCGCTACTGTCTTAGTCGAAATATTATTATAATATCTATCACCTGCTTTTTCATTCAGCTGATATATTAATAACATTAACGTTTTGTGCTTATAACATTATATTATAGTATCGACATGTCATTCAAAGCGATGCTGGCACATTATTCATTTAATATTCCAAAGATTCTAAAGAACTGCACACTTTTTGTCTTTATTAATGTAAGAAATATACATCTAATATAAGAAAACTGAAGACAATCATAAAAACCACAATTTGATAAATGATTAGATCAAATAATCTTTCTAGTATAAAAAAACAACTAATTTGTAAGAGCCACCATGGCTTATTGGCATGTAATTATTATTTAAGTATTAAAATAATACCTCGCGTCCTGTAAAATTCTTTTATGTAACGGTGATTAATCAGCATTCACGTTAACTATATATTTATTTATCTAAATCCCATATTGGGATTAAATAAAAGCTAAGAACCCTTTGTCGCTCCTCGAAGACACTCTCCTTAAAGTCACAATCAGCATCGGAATACTGGGCGTTGACATAACGACGTTCAGTTTCGCCGTCATTTGGAAGGATAGGCTGAATTATCCTTCAAGAGGCTTGGTGTGCTCAGTAAGGCGAAACGGTACTTTACTCCGTGCCAGCGCTTGCAACTGCATAAAGCGCGGCGGCGACGAGAGGGAGCTCCCGAGTACCAGCTAAAGAGCGAACTTTTTGACCAAAGAGCGATTTGAAACGTCGACGACCAGTCAAGCGTTGCGTAGAGACGAGGTCTCTGTGCATCTTCTACCGCATTTATTAGGAGAGTTTTCTGATGTGTTGTTCGGACCTGCAGCTGAGTTGTTCCACAACTAAGCGTTTTTTAAGACAGTTCTCAACAGCTCACAACCATTATGTGGCACTAGCAGCTGTAGTATTTCCGAACCATTTCGACTTAAGAGGGCCATAGACGGACCGCACGTTGCAGTCAAGACCGACTGCAATATGCGGTCGCCGCACGGCGATCTGCAGTTTCCATACTAAAATTATATTCGCAATACACGGACCGCACGAGCAGTTCCTGTGCAAACCGCATATTGCAAACTGTGTCTATAGGCAGCGGTGTCACTTAACATCAGATGAGCCTCTTGCCCATTTGCCCCCGTCCTTTAAAAAAAACGATACCTATAAGCCAATAATTTCCATAAGGACATTAACATATTACATTCCATTTTTTTAAAAATAATTCTTAAGATTCACAACTGTCGTGTTGGTGGTTTTAACTGTTAAAATAGTTGTACATTTGTGAGCAGTGTTGGCCTAGTGGCTTCAGCGTGCAACTCTCATGCCTGAGGTCGTAGGTTCGGCTCCCCGGCTGTGCACCAATGGACTTTCTTTCTATGTGCGCATTTAACATTTGCTCGAACGGTGAAGGAAAATATCGTGAGAAAACCGACATGTCTTAGACCCAAAAAGTCGACGGCATGTGTTAGGCACTGGAGGCTGATCACCTACTTGCCTATTAGGTTTAAAAATGATCATGAAACAGATTCAGAAATCTGAGGCCAAGACCTAAAGAGGTTTTAGCACCACTGATATTTTTTTGATATTACTGGCGCTACAACCTTGTAGCTCTGGGTCTCAGATTTCTGTATCTGTTCCGTGATGAAACACACCATCTGTGTTTTGGGTCTAAGGCATGTCGGTTTCCTCACGATGTTTCCATCACCGTACGAGTGTTAAATGCGCACATAGACAGAAAGTCAATTGGTGGACAGCATCTACGACCCACCTACCACCCTGCTCATTCTCAAGATAATTGGTAATAAATAAATAAATGTATGCAAGGGCCGTGCTATTAGGATTTTTGTACTTTTTCGTCTTCTATTGTTTTTTTTCATTCCATGAACTTGCTCGTAAGTCGTAAATATATCCTTTAGTCTTTTATGGTATCTGTGAACCATCTCATATGGATGTGTTCTTTTTTAAATCTTTTATGTTTTCCCTATATCTTAACTATGTATGCTTATAATAAATAATAAAAAAAATAATCTACTTACTTGGTGTCCCCACAAACGACGATTGGTAGTCGAGAGTTGAAATCGATCCTGGTTAATTTCTTAGTTTTCTTGGAGACCACAGCTTGCACACAAATCGGCCGATATTTGTTCACATTCAGGTCATAAACGTAGACCTGTATAATGGTTATGACGTAACAAAAATTAATTATAAGTACGTAGATTATAATAGCTAAAATTGTATTTTTGTTCCCGTACTTCATACTTAGAGATCAAATATTGCATACAAACTGCTCGATATATATTCACATTCTGGTCGTAAATTTAGATTTGAATAAATTTTATTACGTAAGAGAAATAAATTTCATAAATGCGTAGTTAATTATTGTCTAATTACATTGCGTCATTTGCTTTTTTAACCCACATGACGTGTATATCTGTGGCATCGTAGCTCTCAAACGAATGGACCAATTATGATGCGGTTTTCTTTGTTATAAAGCTCACGTTATCGAGATGGTTTTTACAATATTTGAAGATCCGTTCAGGCGTTTTCAGGTCATCAGCTTTTAGTTTGCGCCAGCAGATCTTTCACATATTCATAAGATATAATAACCGTCGTTTAAAATTATTTTGGTACGCGAAAAATGGTACAGAGGGTAACCTAACGTATAACTTTCAAGCAGTTAATTTTTATAAAGTATAATTATTTTATAGTACCCTTCCATCAGCCGTACAAGCCGCAAAGACTGTGCTAGAATAAGGCGCCCACTTCACGTCTCCCACAGGCGAGCCTAACTCAAACATGAATAGCGGTTCGCTGAAATTTTACAAATTTTATAAATACTGAAAGATAAAAATCTTCGGTTATAGCCACGTCATTCTGTTCATGAGTGGCCATTCAAGTATTACGTTAGAAGATTTACTGAATCGAACCCGGGACCCATGGATTCGCAGTAAGGGGTACTAACCACTAGCCCAATGAGTCGTCAAGTATTAATTTTGATCTAGAATTCAGACTAGTCTTACTTACAATATTGAACTAGTACCAGCCTATCCTTAATAATTATTCAAGAAATAATACACAAAATCTATACGTTCACCCTATTCCTAATTATAAATTCCGTAGAAGATAAAGCCACTCACTCGCGTCCATCTTCCCATATCTTAACTCTCCAGTCACCAGAGCATGACGCGTAAATACTGTTATTAAAGTAATTGTAATGAATTCTATAAACGGGCATATGATGCCCTTGTACTGATCGGACATAATTCCTGTTATATTTCAACGAGCAAGTGTGAATCATCCCATCTTCTGTTCCCACCATGAAAATATCCGATTTCTCTGGGTGAAAGCATATACAGCTACCACAACCTTAAAAAATCGGATAAATTATTTCGACGTCCATACAAAATAGTAATTAATTATATATTTATAGTGGGTTATGTGTGCTATGACCTTCAAGTATATTCTGAATGTACCAGCCTCACCTTCGTACACGTAGAATACTTGAGATTATATTACTTATTATGTATAATAATTTATAGTTTTTCACGGACGCTGGAGTAATAACGACACAATATTTATTGTCGAACAACTTTATAAAGTGTTTTTACACAAATTATATTGTGCGCGAGTGATATATTCCAAAATTCAGGCATCGTTGGTTTTATAGACGAATTTTTAACATAAATTATTTTTTATATTAAAAATAATAAGTAATACTAACGTAACGCTGTCATTAATATTTAAATGTGGAAAGTAATTTAGTTTGAAGCGAACTACCGTAGCGGCAAACGTTCGATATATTCGTTACGAATTTTTCGGTTATTTAAATTATTATGCATATTTAAACAAAATAATATGGCTAAGATAATGACAAAAGTGATTTTACCTAATAAGGGCCAATTTACTAAACCTTTATTTGTATTCTTAGGAAAGTCTCTACAAAATGGATTACATTCAGATGTAAGTAAATTTTAACAATTTTAAATCTATAATATAAAAATGAATCGCAAAATGTGTTGGTAAGCGCATAACTCAACAACGCCTGGACCAATTTGGCCAATTTTTTTTTTATAATATTCCTTGAAGTACGGGGATGGTTCTTACGGAGAGAAAAGTTAAAAAATATTGAGTGAAAAAGTCTAAAAACAACACTTCTATATTCCCATACAAAATATTCGTAATAATACTTAAAAGTCAATTTGAACTTTAATACCATATCATAAAGTTTAAGTGTTAGTGGAGGGGTTGAGGGAAGGTAAATTTTTATTTTTTGACATAATGTATTTGTTGTCTTATCAACTTTCTTTTTTTTATCTTACTAGCTAGACCGGTGTCCCGAATAGCAGAATAAGTATTTAAAATAAATAAAGAATGGTCTGTTAGGCGGTACGATGTTCGCCAGGCCAGCTAGTATAAAATACAAATGCAGATCTCATGGTAAAGCGTCTTTGTTAAGGAAACTAATGGGTCTATGTTTCTACATGTTTGTTTGTTTTGGTTTAATTTCTAATCGCGTAAATTTATTCTTCGGTTTTGGTGGGCAATTTATATGATCGAATTTTTCATAATATATGGTTATCTCTGCCTTTTAATTTAAGAAATGTGTTAAAGAAAAGCTGTGTAAAAAGGCTTACTATAAAGTTAACGATTATCTAGTTGATAAAAGGGCCTGGGACTAGTGCTAGACAGGCTACTTCTAATTAATTTGCGATATTTGTTTTAAATTAAGTGTTGTTTGATGATTTGCTATTTTAAAAGAGTACCGAGAGTTTTTTACGCCGGCTTTTTCTCTCGGCCTACACCCTCTTCAAGACTAGTAACCTGGGAGTAACGGTCTCCCTTAAGGTTAGAAATTTGTATACTTACGATTTATGACATGCTAAGAGCAATACCATACCTGCAGCCACCCTCACGTATCAGCCCCTTTTTTTGGACTGTTAAGTAAATTAGTTTCAAAACTTGTTTCTGTAAATTTGAAAATTTTATAGGATAAAAGTTTATTTATTGTACATCTTAAAAAAAAATTGACACGATTACAATAAGCAGAAGTTATGACAGATCAATTAGAAAAGTACAGTTGATGAGTTAAAATAAACTTTATCCTTATACTTAAAATTTTTATATGTTTTCAAGTAAACGTCTCAGAGTAAATATGTACAATGCCAGGCGGTTTTGAACAGCATAAGACCTTGACAGGCGAGGGGACAGCTGCTAAGGGAGTGCGAGTGAGAGGTGTTGCGTGAATCCTATAGTGCGAGTGAGACGTTTATCTAATACGAAGATGATTTTTACTTGTGAAGATGCTTTGAGCTATAACATTTCTTATGTTGAGTGAATTCGAATTTTTAAAAAATCTAACTTTATATTATTATCAATTTCAGTGATATTGTGTATTGTTGTACTTAATATTAACATTTCAGTAAATAGTGTCAAGATGGAATTGGAACACGTGGTTTGTGTGATTTGTAACGAAGACACTGACAAAAAAACTTACATTACAGAACTACTTAATAAAAGTAAATCAATATTGAAAATAAGAAAAGACAATAATTTAAAATTTAAAGAATTTCTTTCCAGAGGAAATTAACGCAAATACTGGTTACCATTAAAATGTTATAAAAACTTTCTTGCTGTGATGAAAAAATATCCACAAGTGAATCATCAACTTCTTCAAATTACCAGCATCATCATCAGGTATTTTTTATGAATTCTATATTTTTACTAGGCTTTATTCTTTAATTGTAACTATATTTTTGACTTAATTACGTGGTACAAATTTTTCATTATTAAATATATATTAAATGAAATTATTCATAATAATAAAGAAAGAAAAAATTTTCCCGATACTAAGAAATTTGTATGCCAAATGTATGGTTTGAAATGTTCAAAGTTAAATATCACTTATGAAAAGTTCCTTCTACGTACACACAAATAATCCTAAAGTGTTTATGAAAAAAGTGAAAAATTTCATCGAATTTACCACCCTCTCTCATCACAATTATTGAGAACTGCCTACATTACAAATATATGCGAAATTGTAATTTAAAAGAACACAATTCTTACACCTGAAATACGGTTGGAACTTAATTGATAGTCGTTACGAATTTAATTGGTTTGAGGGGAATACGGTTCCATCTTCTATATACGACATACTTTTACAAGGACCTCTATACTCCACAGCACAATCGACTGAAAAGATATTTCAGTAATACAACTATTTTATTCCGTAACATTTAATACGCAGTCCTATGTAATTGAGCTTGATATTTAATTCTTAACAACCTTATTGATTCATTAAAATATTTTTTTTACTATTTTCAGATGAGGAAAACATTTTGAGAATCAGATGATGATGAAAACAGTGATACAAATTTCGGATATGCTGAAGAAAATGAATGTTAAAATAATTAGATTCATAAAACCCAATAAAATACATTGCATTTATGTATGCTTCATTAACATTTCTTATTTGCAGCCGCTGCACAGCTTCCCCTCGCCTGTCAAGGTCTTATGCTGTTCAAAACCTGGCATGTACATATTTACTCTGAGAGTTTACTTGAAAACATATAAAAATTTTAAGTATACAGGATAAAGTTTATTTTAACTCATCAACTGTACGTTTTCTAATTGATCTGTCATATACTTCTGCTTATTGTAATCGCCTGTCAATTTTTTTTTAAGTGTACAATAAATAAACTTTATCCTATAAAATTTTCAAATTTACAGAAACAAGTTTTGAAACTCAATTTACTTAACAGTCCAAAAAAAAAAAGGGGCTGATGACGTCAGGGCTGACGCCTCCAGGTCATGGCTATTGCTCTTAGCATGTCATAAATCGTAAGTATACAAATTTCTAACCTTACAGGGAGACCGTTACTCCCAGGGTTCACAGCTCTCCAGCTATCTGTCTTCTTTGCCGATGAGTAGGGATGCCTACAAATTTAAATTTAATGACGTGGAATAAGTGATACTTGTATCTTATGTTCCATAATAAACATATTTTATTTTTATTTTTATTTTCTTTCAGGTAGCTGTAAAAGAAATCAAAATACCAATACCTGGGGGTTATATAGCAGGTAAACTGTGGGGTAACGATCAGCAACAACCAATTCTTGCTTTACATGGATGGCAGGATAACTGCGGGGTATGGGACCCTTTAGCGGCTATGCTCTGTGATAAAAAGCCTCTACTGGCAATCGATTTACCAGGCCACGGTCTTTCATCATGGCAACCACCAGGTACCTTGTCATTATATAACGCAGTCATAAATAATTAACTTCGTTTTTGTATTGGCGCTTGAATAGGCCAAGATAATTGATCATTTTTAAATAGTACTACTGACAATTTTAACCTGGTTGTTTTCACAGGTGCCTACCAAGACACCTGGGACGTTGTACAATATCTTATAGAGTTAAAGAATTATTTTAAATGGGACAAGTTGTCTATACTGGGTCACTCATTAGGATCCGTCGGAGGTCTGCGATATGCTGGTTTGTACCCTAAAAACGTCGAATTTTTTATAGCCGTTGAAAATCTTGTATATGAAGATCTTGATATTGACTTCGTTCTGAAATATCTTCCTAAGGAGTTAGAGAAATATCAAATGTGTCAACATCTTCACAACAAAGACCCACCGGAAGGTACGATGGAGGATCTAACTTATAAATTATATACTGCGATGAATAAATCTGTAGATAAACAAAATATGCACTATTTAACACAACGAGCCATAAAGCCTTCAAACAGGGACCTAACCAAATTTTGTTATACAAGAGATATTCGTTTAAAATGTATGTCCATGAAGCCGTCAAATAAAGAGTTCCTAGAAAGGTTATTTAGTCGTATCTCGTGTCCGTTGTTGTATATTAAGGCAGCTAATTCGTCTTATAAATTATCTGACGAACACTGTTTGAGGGTGAGAGAAATACTAGAAAAAAATAACCCGAATTATGAAAGCCACACTGTTGAAGGTAGCCATCATGTCCATGTCAATAACCCAGAGAGACTGGCGCCGATAATCATAGATTTCTTCAGAAAACATAAGATTCACTAAATATATGGAATGAATATATTTTAGACTATTAACTTGATGTTAGGAAATTAAACTATTTACAGCGAAATGATAAAAATTTACGACGTTTGCACGGAATGTCGTTAAAATGTATAGTACAACGCAATATATTTATTTAATTGAAAACGTGGGATTTTAATTATGAATATTTTATTATGGGTGTGGACTTTTGTTTTTCTTATATGTTTATCTGATGTCCAGTATATAATTGTTCTTATAACAAATTCACGATTTCGTGAAATCGACACAAAGTGCGGCTAATATCCACTAGCACATGTAAAAGTTTTTTTTGTTAAATAACACGAAATACAGCTATGCATGCAAATTTTCTTTTTTTACCGGATTTATCTTCCCTCATACGTTAAAAATTCCTATAGTAAATAATATAATAATTTAAGATTACTCACTGTTTACTGTGAGCAAAGTTCCATCAGGCCCAGGTATTGGTGGAATATCGGATCTAAGCGTGATGATGGTAGTGGCTTGCAATTCTCCCGGCATCACCGCCCATTGGACTACTCGTCCGTCCCCAGAAATAGAGAAGAATGAGGCTTCACCATCTATTAAACGGGCTCCCCAACGAATCTAAATATTATCGCAGTCTTTAATAAAATTACCTATATCTTTTATTTTGCTTTAAGGATTTGCGATCCGATATTACAATTTTATTTTTTAATTTATATTTATAAATTTCTGCGACAATTCTACTAAGTCTTCTTTCTAATATGCATATTTATTTGACGGAAACTCACCTCCCACACAATATTGCTATGTTTGTCTCTCACAGAATCGGACTTGTACTGGTACGAAGACTCCAGAGTAAGTTGTGCGTTGTACACGCAAACGTTACCATCGTATTGGCCTGAATAGTTTTATAATTATTAATAAAACAAATAAACCAGTGGCGCTACAACTTTTTTAGGTCTGGGTCTCAGATTTCAGTTACATGATCATTTGTCAAACTAATAGGCAAGTAGGTGATCAGCCTCCTGTGCCTAATACATGCCATCGAGTTTTTGGGTCTAAGGCAAGCCGGTTTCATTACATATTTTTTTTCGAATGTTAAATGCGCACATAGAAAGAAAGTCCATTGGAGCAGTAGCAGTGTTGGCCTGGTGGCTTCAGTGTGCGATTCTCATCCCTGCTGTAGAAGGTTCGGTACCCGGTGTACAATGGACTTTATTTTCTATGTGCGCATTTAACATTCGCTCGAACGGTGGTGGAAAACATCGTAAGGAAACCGGCTTGCAGTAGACTCAGAAAGTCCGCGTGTGTCAGGCACAAAAGGCTGATCATCTACTTACTTATTTGATTGACAAATAATCATGAAACAGATACAGAAATCTGAGAAACCTAAAGGCTAAAATGGTCGTAGCGCCATGGATTTATTTATAAAGTAACCTTTACCAGAAGGAGACTATACGTATCATTTGTAAATCTAAAGTAATAATTATATTTTATTTTACAATGTATTATATTATAAATCATTTTATTTATTGACATTCAAATGAGGTGATGTGAAAGAGAAAGCAACACTAGTTTTCACTTTAGATATATTTTCTAATTTTAAATATACTCCTCAAAACAAATTGGGGGAACAATTTTTTCCCCCTTCCTTTTTTTTTCTAAAACCAAATTTAATTTTAAATTTTCCCCCCCCTTTTTTTTCCCCCTTTTTTTTTTTTTTCCCCCCCTTATTTTAAATTTTTTTTTTTTTTTTTTTTATTAAAAAAATAAAATTTTGGCGGCGGACCCCCCCCCCGTTTAAGAGGGCCCCCCCCCCCCCCCCCCCCCCCTCTTTTTTTTTTTTTTTTCTTCCTCTCCCCCCCCCCCCCCCCCGCCCCCCCCCCCCCCCCCCCCCCCCCCCCCCCCCCCCCCCCCCCCCCCCCCCCCCCCCCCCCCCCCCCCCCCCCCCCCCCCCCCCCCCCCCCCCCCCCCCCCCCCCCCCCCCCCCCCCCCCCCCCCCCCCCCTCCCCCCCCCCCCCCCCCCCCCCCCCCCCCCCCCCCCCCCCCCCCCCCCCCCCCCCCCCCCCCCCCCTCCTCCCCCCCCCCCCCCCCCCCCCCCCCCCCCCCCCCCCCCCCCCCCCCCCCCCCCCCCCCCCCCCCCCCCCCCCCCCCCCCCCCCCCCCCCCCCCCCCCCCCCCCCCCCCCCCCCCCCCCCCCCCCCCCCCCCCCCCCCCCCCCCCCCCCCCCCCCCCCCCCCCCCCCCCCCCCCCCCCCCCCCCCCCCCCCCCCCCCCCCCCCCCCCCCCCCCCCCCCCCCCCCCCCCCCCCCCCCCCCCCCCCCCCCCCCCCCCCCCCCCCCCCCCCCCCCCCCCCCCCCCCCCCCCCCCCCCCCCCCCCCCCCCCCCCCCCCCCCCCCCCCCCCCCCCCCCCCCCCCCCCCCCCCCCCCCCCCCCCCCCCCCCCCCCCCCCCCCCCCCCCCCCCCCCCCCCCCCCCCCCCCCCCCCCCCCCCCCCCCCCCCCCCCCCCCCCCCCCCCCCCCCCCCCCCCCCCCCCCCCCCCCCCCCCCCCCCCCCCCCCCCCCCCCCCCCCCCCCCCCCCCCCCCCCCCCCCCCCCCCCCCCCCCCCCCCCCCCCTCTTTTTTTTTTTTTTCTTTTCCTCTTTTCTTCCTCCCTTCTCCTCCCCTCCCTCTTTTTTTCTCCCTTTGTCTCTTTTTTTCCTCTCCCCCCCCCCCCCCCCCCCCCCCCCCCCCCCCCCCCCCCCCCCCCCCCCCCCCCCCCCCCCCCCCCCCCCCCCCCCCCCCCCCCCCCCCCCCCCCCCCCCCCCCCCCCCCCCCCCCCCCCCCCCCCCCCCCCCCCCCCCCCCCCCGCCCCCCCCCCCCCCCCCCCCCCCCCCCCCCCCCCCCCCCCCCCCCCCCCCCCCCCTTATTTTATATATAATAATAAACTTTATTAATAGCAAAAAAAAAATGGTAGTTTCTAGAAATGTTATATATATAAACGACTACGTACCAACACATATAAGGTAAGGTGTTTCCGTATAGACATCGAGGCATATGATCGGAGACTCGGTGATTACCGAGTATTCCGGATAAGCAGGATTCTTAATGCTGAACAGGCAAAGACAACCGTTCTTTTGCTGGTTTGTGAAATCCACTACAATAATATTGTTTACTATACTTTTAAATAAAACTTCATGAGCGGATATCGCAATTTATTTCAGCTACAGTCAGCGAGAGATGTTTTTATTATTATTAAGCTTTTATTGCTGACACCCAGTATATAGGTAACCATATACATATATTATATATTTTATTTGTTTTACATAACCTAAATTAATCTAATACATCATGTCAGTTTTGGTGACCAGTGTATCCTGTGACACTTAACCCTCTTTCAGCTGGTTCCATTATTTTCTGTAAGCTTTTCTTGTCCAAGTTATGCCCATTCTGTAAGTTCTCATCGCCAGGACATCTACATCCTGGCATCAACATCCATATCTACTTTACTGCTAAAAACTTTTTACTTACAAGAGCCATAAGCAACAGCGAAAAGATCTTGATAATGTGGATTCCACTGTACTTCGCACACCGCATGACTCCGCATTGGCTCAAACTGAAACTTCCATAGCGGAAGCAGCGACCCCATGCCTTCACGGAAATCGTCTGATGGGTCGTCCCAGTAGCGATAGTCTTGGGCTGTTAATATTGTATGCGTAAATAGGTAATAATATATAATATATATAGGAATATATACTTAAAGGTTTGATACCCATCATCCGGAACTCGATAAATTAGATATTTCTTAATGAAATTAGACTCGTCACTTGAAACCTACATTCATCGGAAATGGCGCATAAAACTAGCAATTAGAAGATCAAGATTAGAACGTAGATTTTACTATTTACTAGGAAATCAATATCAATCAATAGATATATCAATTGCCAGAGAGAGATTGCTTAGTAGCCGTCCATTGTGTCATCCTTATTTGTTTTATTTAAATTTGTACATAACAAATAAATAAATCAAAGTTGTCGGGTGTTTAAGTTTAAATTCGCCTAGTAGAAACCATGTAAAAAACTAAATAGGAATGCTAAACTAAATGGCATTTAATCAAATTTCTTCACATTGCCTGTAAATGCCCGTATTATAATCATAAATGAGGTATTGAAATTAATTACTAAAAAAAATCTTTTGACGGATTTTTCTATATTAGAGACTTAAAAAGAAAAATATCCTTACCGATATCATCAAAAATATTTTGATTGACCAGCCTCTCCAGAACGGTCCAAGCTTCGCGTATGCGCTGAGCAAGTTTCTCGTCGTGAATTTGTTGTTCAGATTTCGCGTGTTTCGCTGCTTTCTTGCGCAACTTAATAGGAAAATGGACTAGTTTTAGACTTCAATTACCATTTTGTTGTATTTAATGGGAAATAATTAAATAGGAATTATTAACACGGGTCAACACAAAATTTAACATCGACTTTAAATCATACAATTTCGATATTTTAGATTGTAATTAGAAGAAAGTGTTTTCTTTTGTATCGAGGTCGGTCAGTCTGATACTTTAAAAAAATGATAACTGATCACAAATGCAAAATTTATACCAAAAAAAGGTATTTTGTTTTTGTTTTTGTGGCTAATTAATTTTAAAAAATTTTTTGTAATGGTTGCTATTAATATGATGGTTATTATGAACGAAACATTGTTTTATCGTATGTTATAAAAATATATAAGTTCATTCTTTTACATTTCATGGAATCATAATTCATTCATGTCGTGGAACAAAGTAATAACTATTAGAGTGTCAGAAAGTTTCTTACCAGTTCTCGTCTCTACGACTTTGATTTAAGAACTGGCAGTTACATTTACTGCCAGTTCTCAATTTAGTGACATTTAATGTTTTTAAGGGTCTGTTTCACAATGTACGGATAAGTTCTACATAAATTCCAAATTAGCTATTTATTACTTATTGGTAGGATAAACACTATTGTTATATTTCACGACTGTCAGATAGCGCTATTCGTCACATAAAGTCTATCATAAGATATGAGTCCGATGAAGTGTCAAATAGCACAATTTATCTTCCAAATAATTTATGTGTTGCATAGCTATTTGGTACTTTATCCATACATTATGAAACAGACCCTAAGTATACAAAAATTACCTTCATGAATAAATGTAATTTATTAACCTTGATATAAATAGGCATAAATACTCACTCTTTTAGGTTTCTCATCCTCTTTCTCCCGCAGTTTCTTCGCATAATCCTCTTGATAGAAGTCAAATATAATGGACTGAAGGCAGGTTGAGCCGTAGTTCGCTCGCGGTGGTGGAATTGTTTGAGTATCAACAGACTAAAGATAACATTACATTCGAACACATAATTTTTGAAACAAGACACTGAGCGTTTTTGCCGCGCACCACCACTATGTGGAACCCATTATCCCATTATCATAGAAGTATTTCCGAACTAACTTGACTTAGGGTCCTTCAAGAAAAGAGCATACCAATTCTTAAAACACGCCTGTATGGTATATATATTGTTTATGCGTAGGTATTAAGAATATATTGTAGTGAAAGCCAAGAAAATAAATCTCTGTAATGTTTATAGTCAGAGCAGTGTTGGCCCCGTGGCTTCAGCGTGCGACTCTCATCCCTGAGGTCGTAGGTTCGATCCCCGGCTGCGCACTAATGGACTTTCTTTCTATGTGCACATTTAACATTCGCTCAAACGGTGAACGGTCATGTCTTAGACCCAAAGGCGTGTGTCAGGCACTGTAGGCTGATCACGTACATGCCTATTAGATTGAAAAATGTTCATGCAACAGATTCAGAAATCTGAGGCCTAGAACTAAAGGGGTTGTAGGTTGTTTATAGTCTAACCTTATTAAGTAATACTTAAGTATTACTTATTTTCCCTATCCAACTGAGACTTGATACTTATGTGTTTAAATCTTTGAAAGGATTAGGACTTTTATCAGTGAAAGGACGTATCGGGGCCGGTGCTTATGGCGTATAATAGTTATTTTTAAAAAAGACCGCCAAACCTTGTACTACATACATACTTATTTTTTTGCAATTTTAAATTGGATCAGCAAGACACTTACTCGTCTAGGATTATTGTAGGTGAGCGCTGCCCGTTCACAAAAGTTGAATTGATTCGCAAGTTTTTTGACTCTGGGTTTGATTTCGATAACATCTTCCACAATTGGCTCTCCGCCTCCCACTTCCTCCTCTGCAAAAGGGAAAATTACGTACAATTTATGTTGAAGAAAAATATAGACAAATATGAAATATTACAAATACCAAAGTCGCGGTAATAGATGATGTTAATATGGCTTCATAATAGGCTGTATACCACGAGTGCCGAAACGTAATACGTAAAACGTAAACGTAAACGTAATTACGATAACTCGAACCTCGTTAAGTTGAAAAAATTGCTATTCCCTTCCGCTGAACCCCTAAATACGCGGTATCTCGAATTATTTAGACTTTGTAACTCGAACAAAATGTTATTTCCCTACGAAGTATTGATAATACATATTTATACAAAACGTAGTTGTATTCATTAGTTGAATTGTTATTCAAATTCGACTCATAAATCGAAAAATAAACTTAGAAATCGCGCCTCAGTAAGACGAAATTTCAGGAGTGGAATGATATATACTTATATCTAAGTTCTTGTTAAGTCGAAAACTCGTTAACTTGATTTTGTTTCAGTTCCCTTGACATTCGAGTTATCGAGATTCAACTGAAATATCAGATTATGTGAATAATGAAATATACATATTCTCTTAACACGGTGTGAATAAATCTAAACCAGTTCTTAAGTATTTATTAACATTAAACACACAATGTGGGACTGTGGCAGATTGATTTTTTTATTTTTAGTATAATAAACAAGAGGCGCTTTGACCGCTGCAAGTTATAATATTTTTAATGTACTTGGAATAAAATAAATATTTAAGTTCATCATAAAATTGTTTCTTATATTAATCGAACTGAAATCAGAATCATTAACAATATGCTTCTTTATATATAAAAACTCTTACTTTCTTCAGGGGCAGCCTCTTCTCCAACCATTTCTGCCTCCTCATCAACGGCTTCTGTTTGTGCTTGAACATCTTCTGGTGGAGCTTCCGGCTTTTCCTCCTCTTGAACCACATCCTCTAAAAAATTATTATACGTTTTAACTAGAAGTCCAAAATCATCAGATGGAAAGAGTTATGTACCTCCTAACTCATGACGCAAACATTTTTCAAACAAAAACTTATGTTTTAAGTGCGTACCCTCTGGTTTTGCTTCTTCTGGTGGTGGTTGAGGTTCGGGTTCTGGTTCCTCCTCTTCTTCTTCCGCAGCTGCTGATTTCTTCACCTTAGCACGCTTAGGACCAGCATCATCGAAACCGACCATGCCTTGAATTAATTGAAACTAATCTTAAACGATTGAAGCAATAAGCAAAAATTCCAAAGCAATTTCAAACCGAAAATGGAAAACATTTCGCTACTGCTATGTTTTTTAACTATTGATTAAAGAATTGTACTAATTAACATTCAATTAGTGCTAAATAAGTCTAGATGTAATCTTACCATAACCAGCTGCAATTTGAGCTTTTGCTTCTTCAGAATCTTTGCGTATTGCTGTGCCTTGATATATGTATAAAGGGTATGCCTTTCCAAACGATGGTTTAGGTTTGAAAACAAATTTGTTTTGTCCGTAATGATATGCTACTTCATCAATTACCCATTGAGGATTAATAGTCGTTAGTACTCTTCCAACCTCTTCGTCAAGATCCTGCGATAAGCGAATTCTTATTAATTATTAAACGATTCATTTTGGTGTTATAAATATGTCACTTTTGAGTGTTAATCCATCCAAAAATACAGGTTATTATTTTTTACTTCTATTTTATAATCTCCATATACCCCTTGCCGAAGAACTGCGTAAAAATTGTTGCGTTAATGTAGAATAAATATTTATTTATTTATTGCTAACTAACCGCATCTGGTACTTCTTCTTGATCATCGGGTTTTATCAAGCTGCGTGGTTTTAGCCAGTCCAAAGCTCCGTCATCTTCAGTTATGTTAGCGCGAGACTTAGTAGCTTCCTTCTGCTAGATAGAAAAAAAATAAACATAATTTCAAAACACCATTTCAAGAACTATTTTAAAAAATTCACGCCCACATCAAATTTCTGCAACGCTCTAGTTAAAAGCACCGTTTCATCATCTAACTTCAAAGCACGTTTGACCATAGCTTTCAACATTATTAAGCAGAGTTTATGGACCAACACAAATACGTAGGACCGCTGATAAAGACTGCTGTGTTCTAAACGTTAAAGCACCTCTTTGATTTACGAGTAAATTCTGTATTTGCATATTATTTTATGTTACATGTTTATTGGTTGTGATCATGTAATCCGATTGTAAATATAACTGCCATTTTTAGCTTAGTGAAAGCAAGCGTAAACAAACTATTAAGAACGATTGCGTGCTTTAAGCATTTCAAATGGGTTAATAACTTTTAAATTCGTGGAAGCATTGTTATTCATGAACACGCAACAAAGTGCGATACAGCGCTACTCACGTCACTGTCTTCGTCAGACAGCATTTTGACTGAAAAAAAAAAGGTTAAGATATCCGCAATACACAAGGACATGGGTTTAACTGCAGTCTTCTTGGTAATAATTAAAGCTGAAGTAAACTGCATTGCATTGATTTCGACTCGCAGATGTTAGTTCATTATCAGACACCCCAATATTTCTAGTAAAAATTATTATTCGCGACTCTCTTGTTAACTAATTAAATGTACGTACGTGAAAAGAATACCACGAAATTTAATTTAAAATAACACAAATTTAAATGGCAATAATAAATTTAGGATGAGATAACTAATGAAACTCAGTAATACAGGGTGGGCCTCAAAGTTTCCGTTTTTGAAAAATTTATAAAAAAAGAACCAAAGTAAATTTATTTTTAAATTAAAGTGTATAACAATCATAATAAAAATGATGTGTAGTTATTATATTTTAAATCTGTAAGTCATATAATCGGTGTGTTGCTAAAAGCAGTTCCGGTGAGCGTGTCACCGAATTCTAATTAGCGCCGGTGTCTGGCATTAGCTTGTACAGACGACAAGACCGATTTATGCCAGTTCTATTTACCACCCCCTTGTAAGTTTGTTACCCACCAAAGCCTCTGTTTTTATGGAACAGGAGGCACATAGCGGGTATCTTAATCCAAGGACTCATTCATTCATAGAGATACAACGTTTGTTTATAATAATATGATGAGTGCAATGATGGTAATGATTGCTATTAACATTTTTTTTTAAACTTGGCGTTTAGTGACGGAGAGATCCAGCTAGAAAGTCAGTTCCCCCGTTCTACGAGCTTGATTTGAGATTTGTAAATGTAAATTTAATTTAGCTAAGCTTCATACATTCAATCGTTATTAAGATATATTAGAATTAACGTTATTAAGAATGTGGTAGATACTTGATAGCTTTAATGTAAAAAACCATTATATCTTTCCATGTAAAAAATTAATCGCTTTCGCTGAAGAACAAACTTTACAAGACGGTATTAGTTGCGCACCATTTGAGTTTTGAAACGACTTGCATTTGGAATTTTGTGGTATTCGGATAACAGCGAGTTTCAAAGAAAAAAGTTTTTGTACTGTGTAAAGAAATACGATTTTGTTGGTAGTATTTTTATTATTTTTATTCGTGTCTAACAATTATTTTAAACCAGATTTTAGCTGGCCGTGAAAATCATCTCCACATTACTGCGGGAATCTTGTTAAATGATAAACACTCAAATGGCCATAGACATCGTAAGAAATGAGGATAAAAGTCTGTTGAGCCCTTTTATGGTGGCTGATACAACGTTGGCTTGTTGACCGAGAAAATATTCATAGTACTGTGGACAGCTTGTAACAGAAGATAATAAGACAAGTAAGTCAGATAGCGAAGTCTAAAGAGGAGAGCCTATTTATTATCCAATTAAAATTGCTGTCTTGGATAAAAAATAATTTTATTTAATATAGAGAATCAACCGGGCTCTTCACAAAAAACTCCTACACGATTTGTTCTAGTATAAGGAAATCTTATAAATGATAATACTGACGCACGGATACCAAATCTGTGGTGACAATTTTTCTAATGCTCTAAAATAAAGAAAAGAACCAGTAGTGCTACAACTCTTGGTTTTGGCCTCACATTGATATGTTTCGTGATAAGTTATTTTATCACGAAATGGTGATGGTGATCAGTCTGTGCCACGCCATCGACTTTTTGTTTTTTGTTTCCTTAAGATGAAAAGCACATTGGTGCACAGCCGGGGTTCCGACCACAGGCATGAGAGCTCAAGCCACTAGCCGACACTGGTCTATCAATAATCTCGATCCTATTTCTTTGGACAGATATTGAATTTTCCATACAAATTAGAATGAGTGTTTATGTGATATAAAAAAGACGGAATATGATTCAGGTTATAAATTTTTTACGATCGCCTTTTCCTTTAGCTGTTTTCATACTTTTTATGTAACCCACATTGATATAATATTATATCACAAACCATCACCAATCATTTTAAATGGGTGAATTTATATATGTCGCAGCCAACTAGTTTAATTTGCCGTTCAATTAACAGTCTAGCCGTTTAACTAAACGGCCCCGTATAACTAGCGACCTGAAAGATGTTCAGCCAGTTGATTAAACAGCTTGGCAAATGACTTGGCTCGATGACGTTTCATTACTTGCCTAGCCTGTTGACTGTTAATTTAAATTTAATTCCACTATCCGACACTCTCAAACTCGAAACGAAACTCTTCAAACTGTCAATATGGCGTCGGTAAACCACAACTTTGATGGTGTTTTTCAAATTTTCATGAAAAACAACAAGTATAATGGCAAAGTGTAGTGACAATAATAATGTGAATCTCACTTAAGCCATTTAATTTAAAAAGAAATATTTTTTATGTCATATGTTTATCTTTTTTATTTCTGCCAAATAATGACTCTATCGTATGAATGGCCTAAGCATTAGCCAGCCAGTTAATTAAATATTGTAACAAACGCTACGGCTGAATATCTTTCAGGCCGTAAGTTAAACGGCGCCGTTTAGTTAAAAGTGAACGGCTAATGAAGGTAGTTGGCTGTGACATATACATTTTAATAAAAAAGCTAATGAGACATGACATAACTGCTTAAAGATAATGGTCACACACAATATTGAACTTGCGTTAAGCAGCGTAGAAACTTCATGCCAAGACGAAAACACAAGACTCATATATCCATATTGGTTTATACAAATTAGTAATTACTAAATATATATAACATATTATTTTGATTTCATATAAGAAACTTGATTGTCATTAAACAGGAATCACGGATCTAAAGCTGACACGGAAAGTTATAGTTTGTTTATTATAATTTATGTTATGATATTATTTTTTGACCAAATGCTATTCGTATCAATAATCATAATAATTAGGTATACAGTTCCTATGACAGCTATTTTTACAGGTAACAAGACGTATTTATTCACCAGTGGAATAAATTCATTTTAAAGTTTAACTATTTTTGTAAGTTTTTATATTAAGATACATATACGGCAATACTTTTCACTTCTAAAGGTGCGCTTACACGAGGGCAATAATTGCTCGGCGACACGAATGGACCGATCTGGAGCAATTAATGGAGCAATTTCAATAAATTTCAATAAATTTCAATAAATTATTTCGGCGATATTGCTTCTAATTGCTCCAGATATTTCATATCGCTCAATGTCGCAGATACGAATTGACGAATTTTCAATGGACTTGGAAATTCCTAGCAATTTTTGTATATATCTCATTCGCACTTGGTGTTTTGCTTCCGCGGGGAGAGCGAGAGGTCTAAATAATAATAATTTCTAATTACTTTATTCAAAAGTAATTCAATGTCTGTTCGTGACTTTCTAGTAAAGTTTTTGAATAATATATCATCTAATTCTTTACACAATGAAAATTGCGGCCAAAAACGATCGCATCCAGATACGCCTATTCCTTTTCTTTCTTTTTTGTTTTTGATTAATACTAAAAAAAGCGCTACAAGCCACCGCAGCAAGAACAATGTCGTCCATAGCGAGCGAATACTGAATTGCTCGTGTAGGACAGTATTGCCTAGTTGATGAAGTTGCGCCATATCGCTCAATATTGTATTGCGCAGTATTGATGCTTGTTGCCGTTGCCGTAAATTGCTTGATGTAGTCGTGACGTCATAGTTGACGAGTATTGACTGGAATTGGGCAATTTTAGTTGCCCGTGTAAGTGTACCTTAAGCGCACCTTTATGTCAAGCTACTCTCACTACTTCTATGTATTTTGACATTGACACTTTATGTCCATCACTACGAGTATAACGTAAAACAAAAGAAAAAATATGAACATATGACAAAGGATGTAAATGGGCAGTCTTACTGATTAAAGTTTCTTCCAGACAACTGAAACGTAAATAATTAAAAATTATAAAACTTAAAATTCATCCAACAAGAGGTAAAAACAGGGCCAGATTTAGGGGAGTGCAACCGGGCCCACAGCCCCAGGAAAGTTTTAAACTCCGACTAGTATTAACAACATTTTTCTTTTGATTTATTTTTATGTTAGTTAAATACAAAAAGGGTTTAATTGGTTTCACAATAAATTGATTGAAAAACTCGACTGAAATTTTTTTTCATTTTATTTGGAAAATAATTTGCCTCCACTCCTTTGTTGCCTCGAGGCCGCCAGACCTCTAAATCCGGCCCTGGGTAAAAATCTCAAAGGTTTATTAGTACAATGTTGTTAGTTCTTAAATGATTAATTTACGCTGCGAGGTATGCACGGTCATTGCGACACAATCTCACTTATAATTGTTAAATTTTTCATTAGTACAACGGTAAAACCAATATGAATACACAAAGCCATAACCCAGAACATCAGACAGACACAGCTTGCCAAGGTTATATACAGCGTAGCCTTCGACTTACTGTACTCACACGCAGCCGTTTTATAATCAATCCCAAAGATTTCTCTGAAGACTTACTCCGCCAAATGTCTGGCAGTCGTGGTTTTGACATTTTCAAAACACAAATCTTCTCTGAAGTCGGCTAGTACAATCCTAGAATTACTAGGTAAAAAAATATTGAAAACTATTTTATTTTAACATTGTGTTTTATTTGTATGTCAGGAATATGGTGCCTATTTAACATTCGGGTAATGTGTCTGTGTGTGTGACCATTGTACAGTTTGTAGAGGTTCTTAAATGTATCTGATATAGCGCCATCTCGTGCCAATTTAAAAAACTGTGTCGACATTTAAACATTTACTAGTTACTGTAAAAATAGGAAACAAGGAAAACGAAAGCTGTCTATAACAATAAATATTTTTTTTCGTTATAGACAGCTTTCGTTATAGGGAGGGAAGAATTAAAGTGTGGGTCATTATTACGTTATAAAAAGTTTACAGTCTATTTTATGCTTTCAGAGAAATCAACATTTCTTTATTTGCTATAAATCAAGTTTTAATTGCAAAACATTTAAATTTAACTTGAAGCTCCTCGGTTTGTCTCTGAAAAAATCTATTTAATCTTACCTATACATATTTATCAGTGGTATACTATAAAGGTACATCTTATTTATACGGCATTAATTTTCGAAAAAATAGTTATACGTAGGAATTGAGATGTAGTGGACTATGATATATTGTCTTATATTATTGTTACATTTTATAATAGTGAATTCAATTTCTTTATATGGAAAAGGTCTTATTTTAAATATTGTGGGGTATGATTATAAATAGTAGGATGAAAGTTATTGTAAATTGTATGTACGTACGGGATATGATTTTGTAATGCGTTACTAGTTAGCAACGCGAGTTAAATCAATAAATTTTATTATTAGCCTACCAAATGTTACATAACATTTATATTGCAATTGTCCTTCAACATTAAAAAAAATTAAAAACGTGCATTGAAACAATATTTAAGGTTTTTTAAAAATTCCAGTAACTGTTCAATTTTACAATGATTAATAATTTGTATTTAAATGTACCATGGAAATTTCGTACCTTTTTTGGAGCCATACCAAGACGCAATCAAATCAGCACATAAACATTATTTTAACTTAAAATATATTTCGTCCTTAAACGTCCGACTTTTAAATTGTCAATTGGAGGATTTCGTTTGCGCGCGCAGTACCCGGTTGCCACGGCAACGCGGAGGGCGCCTGCTCCCGGATCTTTGTAAACTGCGTGAAGGTTTGACGTGTGCCCATATTTCATAGCTCGCAGTGTTATCAATACATCGTGTGTCCAAGGACCTGCATCAGTGCATCTAGGTATTCTAAAAATAGAAATTTGAATACGCTTTATTGATTTTTTGAGCATCAGTGCTATTTCTTGTTTCATATTCGCCGAACGTATTTGTTGTTGAGTAAGATTTAATTAGCCAATAATATATAACATCAAAGCGCGATTAAATTTATCTATGCGTTAACTACGTCTCACTTTTTATTCGTTGTTTTATTTTTCTTTGCTTAGATTATCAGTGTTTTTCTTCTTCGCTCAGCTTGACAATTGACTACATTAACTTTAAATATCTTTCAGGAGAATTCTGTAGTGGAGAAAATGGGGAACAAGGCTTTGATACCTCGTATTAGCGATCCATACGACAGTGGCATTGATAGCGATGAGGGGAAGCATTCCAGTATGGTAGGAATTTATTTATTTTATTTATTTATTTTATTAACACTTCGTTGCATATACATTAATATAGTACAATTGACATAAATTAAATAAAAAGGAGAGCAACTGGCGGCCTTATCGCTTTCGAGCGATCTCTTCCAGGCAACCACTGTGAGAAAAAAAAGTATTAAATTATTATTATTATTATATATTTTATTTAATGAGAACAGAAAACAAGAGACATCTTAACTCTACTCTTACTCTTACGAGCTAGTGTACGTACGTATAAGAAAGAGAAAAGAAGAAAAATATACAAAGTTTAGGATCGAACCAACAACTTTAGGGTCGCTCAAATGATAGGTACTTTTATATGAGGAGTACAAAAGTTATTAAATATAACATTTAAAATGTATGAATATATGATTCTTACTCAATTTCAGAACGCTGTCTTTATTAAGGACCATGAGGAGGTAAAAATCAAGAGCAAGAATATTTTTAACAAGAGCAACATTCCATATGAAAAACTGGATGAAAACTCTAAAGAAGTTGAGAAAGTAAGTTTGGAACGCCTTCAAACAATTTTGTAAACGGTCTCTCTTAATTAATTGACATTGATGTGTTTAACAAGAGTTAGCCTTAGAACTTACCGTAACTTTGTTTATCATGCTCTTAATGAGGTTTTATTAAGTTTTGGTTATTATTGTAATTGTTTATCTTTTAGATTTAGTTATTTTTTTTGTGGTGGTTTGTTTCATTTTTTTCTTTGATACATTGCTTATTTTGTAATTGATGTGTACATGTGTTAAATTTGTGATGTCATATTTTCTTGTATTTTTTAGACATAGACATTGTTTTAGAACGTATAAATAGATAAAAAAATAAAAACTAGACCTAAATAGTGTAAGACTCGAAATCTTGAACAATTCCAAGATTGTGATTATTTTTTGTATTCATCGTTTTATTTCCAGAAGACGTTTCTATCCAAACAGAAGAGCGTTGCTAATGGCGGAAAGAATTACGGAGAAGGAGTTAAAGGAAGCGACTTGAATCGTCCTCTGTTGGACTCATTCAAGGCCCATGAGCAAATGGTAAGATTACGAAATACTCATTTTATAATTATAATAAAACTTAGCTGTAACAAAACAAGCAAGCGTAGTGGTTTTAGCGTATGACCTTCATCCCACTAGTCGTGCATTCGAATCACGGCTGTGTACCAATGGAATGGTCTATCTATTCTATAAATTAAATATCTATGTGAGCAATTTGCACTTTCTCTTATGTTAAAAGAACATCGTGAGGAAAGCGGCATGTCTGACACAAAGAGGCGACCACATACTTATCTATAATATACAAATTATCAAAGAAACGGATGCTATCTTAAGCCAAGATCTATATATGTAGCGAATGAAGTGGTCATTATTATTATCTGACGAAACAATTGAATTGCTATGCCTACTTTGCATTTAATAAGGCAGTTTTTGTCGCGCACCACCACTATGTCTAACCAGCTGCCCGCTGAAGTATTACCGAACCAATTCGACATAGGGTCATTCAAGAAAAGAGCGTACCAATTCTTAAAAGGCCGGCAATGCACTTGCGAGCCTTCTGGCAATGCGAGTGTGTATGGGCAGCGGTATCACTTAACATCAGGTGAGCCTCCTGTCCGTTTGCCTCCTATTACTTATGAAAACTCATAAAGCCTTTAGTGGTTATAACTAAAGAAAAAAAATTCAGACCACACTTCACGCTGTTGGACACGCGGGGTGGTGACAGCAATCTCTACTGTTTTAATAATCTTCCGTCGTCCTTAATATGTACCTAGTCATCAAATTTTAAGGTTTCTGGTTAGATAATGTGACGTCAGTAGTATTCTTTGTCATTCATAATACATAAAGGTCGTAGGTTCGATCTCCAGCTGTGAATCAATAGACTATCTATGTGCGCATTTAACACTCGCTCGAATGAAGGAAAACATCGTGAGGAAACCGGTAAGCCTTAGAAATAAAAAAGTCGGCGCGTGTCATGCAGAAGGCGGATGACCTACATTCATATTAGATAAAAACATAGGGTCACAAAACACACAATGAACTAAATGCAACTAAATTCTCACACTAAGTTTTCTAATTCTATTTTGAAAAACGATTTGTACTCAATAAATCTGACGCACGTGGAATTTTAAATATATTAAATGTATTTACGCATAATAAAATTAAACGTTTTCAGAGAATGACAAATGTTAACCCGTCAGACGAAAAATGGACTGCGTATGAGTCTGATGGGTGCGACTCGCCGCAGCTTTACGAGGTGGAACTGACAGCTTCGGACGAGGATGACAGCTCAGTTCTGGAACTCGTCATCCCGATGCAATCTAAGATAAAGCGATACCATTGGCTGTTAGAGTTCCTTTGCTTGGGCTGCTTGTATCGTTATGAATAAGTTACAAATTGTATTTTATGGTTATCTTTTTTACAATTTTTTTATATTTTATTGAATAGAACTGATATAAAACCTCATTATAATTAAGTTTAAATGTTCCATTGATGATCTTCCTTACTTTATATAATGTTTATGAGTCTACTGTATGAGTGATATGAGATTTTTATAAGTTCCAAATATACTTGAAATTTAACAGGTTTACTAATAATAATACGGTCAGTATAGGATTAGGGTTAGGGTAGTAGGACTCCTTTCTCCGCAATTAGACTCCTAATTGGTCCGTTGTGCGTACGAGTCCTGGCTAATTTAGCCAGCCTAGCTCCTTCCAGAAGCACAGAAGTCTCCTGGGCACTTCACAGGCTTCCCGGAGCGACCTCACCGTTCCGAGGATTTTTTCACGTTGATTAGCCACAGCCTCGCATTCCAGGACTACGTGGGTGACTGTTTTCTCTGCGCTGAAACAGCCTCTGCACAGGGGGCTGTCTGTCGCGCCTAGGACAAAAAGATGTTTATTTAGGAGGCAATGACCCGTTATTGTCCCTATCATTGTTTTAAGGTTGGTTCTATTTAAGCTTAGTAGTCGCTTTGTCAGTTGCGGGTTCACTGCTGGCAGAGCCATTTTGGACTGTTTGCAGACCGCACTATGCGACCATCGTTGTTGCTGGAGTTCAGCGGATCTCTGGCGAATCCAGGTTCGCACCAGCGAGAAGGGCAAGGGGAGGAGCGGGCCAGCAGGCATCATTCCGGAGCCTCTTCTCGCAAGCTCGTCAGCAGCATCATTGCTGAGAGATCCACTGTGTCCCTTTATCCACTGCCTATTATCCTTTCCGCCGGCTAAAAATTGGTTCATGGGTTATGGCCCCGACACACACTAACGAGACTCCGGATGAGTCCAATTACTGTTGAGATTATTAATTAAAAGCCGCCATCAGCACGGCAGATAAGCACAATCAAAGTATATCAGACAAATTAGGGTTAATGAAACCGCCTTCACCGGGGAATCCCGAGGACCGTTATGCACGTCGCTCACTCCAGTGAGTTTACGTCCTGCCCTTCAGGCGATTGACAAGACCGTGACGGCGCGTGCCGAGGTTCGGAGTCTAAGGTTGACGCCCTTGCGCTAGTCACGGGAAGACGCACATCGGTCGGCTAGCTCGCCAAAACAGCCCGAGCTGAGCTGTCAAGGCCCTAAAGGCCAACAGCGAGATCCCTTTCAAAAAAAAAAAAAAAAAGGTCGACCGATCATGTTCCTCTTCTCTCAGTTGTATGTGATATTTCCTGTTAAATATTAGTTGGTTAGTGATTCTATCACAGGGCGCAGCTATACGGCCAGTATAACGAAATAGATATTATTATTATCCGCTGAGGGATTTTAAAACACCGAGTTACTTGAGAAAGAAAATAGCGAACCATTTGAAAAAGCTTACGTTTGACAAGCTACGCGCTTTAGCCACTTATAACTTCAGGCACGCTGGCGTTCCTGAAGGCTGAATCCTTATTTATCTGTTTCGTGGTCAATGCCTACAACTAATTTTTTCCTAATAATATGAATAACTTGGAACATTCATAGATACATGTTGTAGTAAGTGTATTTTTCAGTGTTCAATGTTAGTATAGTTAAATATTATTAAATGTTAAATGAACACTTAAAGTGTGACTTAGTATTTATATATAATATGAAATTCTGGTCTATTAAAAGGTTGTTGTAATTTTAATATCATTGTATTAGTTGATGTAAGTCGCAAATTCTTCATTCACTATCAAAGAAAAATAAAAACACGCAATGTGTTATAACTTGTTTTTACTTAAGATGGTCAATTATTTTAGAACAATTTATACCTCGTTTAGTTTAAGGAAAATGCTTGCTACTACTATTATTGTTTGCGTAATTTATGCCATTGAATGTGAGACTGATTTAGCCAAAACTCTATGATTACTTTCTGAAAGTGTATATTTCTGAAAATAAATAAAACTTGAGAAATCTATTTCGTTTTAACAGAAACTAGTTGGTATCCTGTTGTATTATATATATTCAAGAGAGAACAGAATTTGACAAGTACCAAGTAGTTTGGTCATATACACGCTACAACACACATTCATGCTTTTGAACTTTTGCCTTACTTCAAAGCCCAGTGGAATAAAAAACCAGTGGAGCTACGACCCTCTCTTAGATTCTTGGCAACCTCAACTGTGGTACAGTCTTACTTAAATTCTCTTCGATGCAATATTTATATTTATTTATGGGTCTACCTCTCGGCCTTTTTTGTTGTGGCGTCTACTGGGTCATGGTTTTTAGTGCTCTGGTCTCTGGCATTCGCTCCAAGTGGCCAAGTCAAGAGAATGAGATAGAGATTGTTCCTTCAAACAAAATATGTTATGATGCCTTTAAATAACGACAAAGAATTAACCAAAACCTAAAGAAGAAGAAAAGACAAACCCAAAAACATTCATATTAACGTGTTTCAATATTTTGAAGTTCAGAGTAATAATGTGGTATATACGAAAGTTGCCGAGTAAAATGGTGGAAACAGATATTATAAAAGTTTTTTGTGAATATATTTGCTGAAACATACAAACATATTCTTAAGAGAAATTAGGTTAGTTTACGATAGAACACTAATTTGTACACATAATAATAGCGCTACTCAACAAAAGAGGGCGTAATTCAAAATCTAACATAAAATATCTCGTGCTCCGTCTAGATGTCATCAATCTCAAAGACAGACGCGAAGAGATACGCTGTAATTTTCAACGTAATCTCAGGTGTATGTAGACAACTGCTTTTGATTTGGATTAGTTAAAACACACTGTTAGATGAATTCTTGTTGATTTTTCAAAAGTATTGTTCATGCATTTTACGATTTAGACAACTGTTTTTCTTTGGTTATGAAATCTGTGAATAAATACGTTCATCATGATGACATTCGTTGTTTATGATACATGACATCATGTTAGTCACGCAATACATTGATACTCCAACCTAATAGTAGTTATTTAGGAAAGTAACTAATAGGAAAAAACTAGACGTACCGGCTGACAGGTGGTATCAGTTACAAGGTTGTTATAAGGTAACGCTGACAGGTAGGACTTCAAAGAACTTAGTAATGTGTATGGCGCACCTAAAGCACTCGAGACTTACCCGTTGCGTTATGGCCCGAATCAGCCTGTAACCTTCAGCATACAGCGAATAGATTTTTGGACAAAAGAAGGTCATATTCTTTCTGTAAGTGGAGCCGATTGTTTCAGACAATTTACTGTAGTTATCCAACTCCACATTGCATGATTCGAATTCTATCGACTATGAAATCTTTAAGTTAGGTTATATATAGATACGTATATCGCTAACTCGGTCATGTCTTGTTATAGCGGTTTAATGGATGGAAGTTCGAAGAATGTAATGCGATGATACGATGATATTGTTATGTATGTTGGTTGTGTTTGAGTCACACAATCCCGGTCGTATTGGAGGCTTACGTCCAGAAATGAACCTGAAAATGCCTGATATTTTAAGTAAATTAGGCGAAACACATTAAAAACAGGCATATTAACTAGCTATTTATTTTATTAAAAGCTTTTACTTGGGATATAGGAGAATGTATTAGAAAATTCTACCACTAAAGCCACTAATTAATTCGCCTTTTCCGGTAAAATTGATTAAATATTTTTCAACAATAAAAAATGTCTTAGTTTCACTCCATATCGTATTGAGAAAATCGTATTTACATGTGAGCTTTAATGAATATTGATGCACACAACCATCCATTAACTTAATGACTCGATTCGGTTTCAAATTATGCCACAACATGCATTACATTCATGTTGAACAAATACTCGTAATTTAATTAAACCATGCTGATTACTTTTAGATAAGTTTCAACGCTTTGTATGACGAACCTGAGTACGCAAATGAGTCATAAATTAACTGGGTTGTATGTAATCTATAAATATCTTACAGAATTTATTGAAAGAGCCAGTTTGAAAAATATTATATATTATTAAAAAGAAACCTTACATAAGGGTATAGCTTTATTGTTAGAAACTTTATATTAGTGAAAACTTGTAAGACAAGAATCTATAAAAAGTGATAACAAAGTTTTTCGTTCCGGACGTGAAAATAAATTTCAAAAGCTCTGAGAGACACAGCTCGTTTTGTCATAACCTACTCGCGAGATAAGAAGTGCGTGTAAAGGATGCATTAAAATCCCTCAATCGGCGTGTCGTTAAGGTTTATTAGCCTCGTATTCTAAAGCATTCGCATACGTGAAGGCTATTTAATCGTCTGGGTGGTATCGCCCGGCGAGGTTCAATGGGCGGCGGCACCCGAGCGGCCTCCACGCCAGTCGCGCCTCATGCCCCGGAGGGGCTGCACGTATCCACGCTCCGCTCGCGACTTATATAATCATCCGCACGGTGAGTCCGCAGCCTCCGAGCCACCCCTCCCCTTCTACCCTCTCGTTCCCATCGACCCCGCGAGCTCCGACCCACGCTAATTCACAGCGCGACGCGCGAACACCCGCGATACCGGTACCGACTTACTTAAAATTCGCCTGAACCTTACGCTCCTTGCCAGCTGAGTGGTGACATAATCGACGCAGTAAGTACCCGTGTTCCAATGATTGCGAATGACCGTATGTTATATAACGGGACAGTGTTTGATCAAGCATGGAAGAATCATGTTAATGATCACTTAGAATAGTAGCAAATAACAACTGTTAATCTTGTAAACATTTCTATATATAGATTTGTAAGAACCTTATCTGAATCCCACATAGCATACATATACCTTATTCTTTTCCGACCAAAACAGCTGTTACCTAAGACTAGAAAATTTTGGTTCAGCGATAAGAACGTAATTTTTAGATTTGAAACAAAAGGTCAAAACAGTTATATAATGTCCAAAAGAGTGCTTCATTCAAAATGCTTAATTGGAAGGTTTAACTCAAAAAGCCCATTCGGGAAGAACTGACTGTGCAACTTTTCAACATTAAAAACTGGAATAATAAGAAAGAGTGAACTCATTCAACATTCACAACTGTTTTTGTTATTAAGTGGCTTATGGTTTCCATTGTTCTTTCTTTTGTTTTTTTAGACAATCGATGTTCCGTTTTGATCATGTGCACGAAGTGATCATATTAATGTGATACCATTGAGTGGGGTAGAGTCTCTACTATAATCCTTGTATTAGTATATTTACTGTTACTATTTGCATTTTCTAAGTACATACATTAACTTAAACTATTTTTATTTGTACGTTCGCGCGCAAAATTCTTAATTAACAATAAAACTTTTAGAATTAATAAATTGTTCAGCAGTGTTTATTAACAAATATTTTTTATTCGTAAGACAATAACTTTCGACGTTACAAAAAGCTCATAGCGCACGCACACATATATAATATTACTGTAAACCTCTTGTAGATTTAGTATAGCCATTTCACCTTTAACAATATTTCACGACATTTTATGATAACGTTCATTCATATATAGCCTTCAAGGCGTGGGCTAATCGAATGTTTTGAATTCGCCTTCCTACGGCATTGTCATTACGGGATAACTCGTTTTACGTTATAAGACAACGAACTTATAAAACATCTTTCTTGACTTTATTGTAATGTTAAAAATTGATTTATTTTTGTGTGTGATAGTCGCAAGAAAATGCGCTTCAAATTGGCCATACTCATCTATTATACTAAGCTAATTACGATGTTAGTATTGTTTGGTTTTCACGTCGGAGTGAATGACCAATAATTCACTCTGTGATGAAATACTCATAATAGGACTTATTATAAAGCTATACGTACCAATCCCTCGTTCTTCAGCTACCACTAGTGGCCGCTAGAATAGATTAGAGACTGATTAATTTCTTTCGGGAATTCAGTATCCCTTCAAAAGCTGATTCATATCTATCAGCACTGACACGAAACGAACACTCGGATAAGTGTTTAATGTATCTTGCTATATAAAGTGAAATTTATTTTAAAAATTTAGAGTTGCTGAATGCGGAATGGCTCATATTTAGGAAATAGCTTATTTTGTAGTTGCAGTTCTTTATACGTGCATTTTAATATTATTGCGTAATTAAAGACTATTTTTAATAATAAGGCTACTATTTTTTATTTATGTTATAGTTAGCTGGAGTTTACAAAAATACGTGTATGCGATGTCATCGATCCAACGTTTAATTTATTTGTTTATCAATAAGGAAACATGACAGACCACAAATACAAGATATGTAAAAAAACATTATATATATATATATATACAGGTTATATTTTCAGACGAATCCTTAAATTATTTAAAACAGATAAGATTGAGTTAAAAAATTGAAGAACATTATAATTTTGTACTCCATGGCCCACATAATTTAAGCAAAATAATGCTTTTGTTTCATTTAAATGTCAATTTTATTACTAACTAGGTAACCCGGCGAACTTTGTACCGCCTAACAGTCAATGAACGTCGTGTTACATATTAGCTGAACTTAATTTATCATTTTATGAAAATGAGTATTAAGTTTACTAGTATCAGCAACATTACGATGTGCCTTCATTTGTTGTATTTTTAAATTGGTATATTTGCCTTAGTTCACATAAAATAAATTTCTGAACGCACGGGTTTGACAATATAAATGTCAATCCCTTTTTAATAACTGACATTATTCTACATTTTTTAAATCGCCAATCCGAATATTGTTTTAATTCTTTATTTAAATACGATCTTTTATTTGAGAGAAAAGTTTACCATATCGGATTAACATTAAATGTTTGAGAGTTACAAAACTCATGAACATTTCGTTTTGGATCTTTTGTTTAGTTTTATTTTTTATTAAAATTGCCATAAGTTATTATAGACGGATGCAAATACAACAAGAATTATCTTTAATAATAAATATATAGTTTATTAAAACCTAAACATAACTATCAAATATACAGTATTTCCAATTTTCTTAACGTACATAGTAATAATAAAAGTAATTAAAAATTAATAAAAATAAAATCAAAACAAATTAAAAAAATTTGGTCCTTTTGGCAGTATTTCCTCGCTGTATTGCGATACGTATTCGTTGAACGTGAAAAGCACCAGCTCTGGGGTCACCGATACCATGCGTCAACCTAAATCTTTATTTAGCGCCTGTGCACTCGAACACGGCCCAAGAGTCTCTACTCCAAAATCGAAGTTGAAGGAAAGACTTACTTTTGACTTATATTTAAGCCGTTTATTATTTCCGGCTGCTCTGCGGCTTTTTTGCTTGTCCGAGGCAGGTGAGACGGGTCTAACGTGTCTACACAAGTAGAATCCCATACCGAAGCCCGTCCTATCCTCCTTAATGTTTTAATATAAAATGTATGTTTTTTTTTTTATAATTTATATTTATCTTGACTTCCTTAAAGTTATTATGATTCGTAAACAATCATGGCTAAAGATAATTTAGCCACTTATTGTCAAAGCTCATATATAATCCTTTTATAATTGGATTAAAAACATCGGCTATTTTATATATAAATGTAGTCTCTTCATACTTAGACGCCCATTTTGTATGTTGTGCGTTAATATAATGCATATTAAGCTCAGTTTAATTACCGCACATTTGTAAATATATCTTTTTCAAAATTTCTTGCAGATATTACTAGAATATTGAATAGTTTTGTGTGATCCTCAATCCGGGTCCCTTGTCGGAACCTAGGCTGTGCACTAATGGATGAACTGTCTCTGAGTGACATTACTAGTTTCATAAATATCGTGAGAATACCCGTAGGTCAGACACAAAAATCTAATCAGGCACAGAAGGGTTTAGGATTAGGGTAAGATCCAGGGTAGAGAATTAGCTCTAAGTAAGAATCAAATCTAATAAGTGTAAGTTATTATTGAATTGTCTTTTGACATCGAAAATATATTTTACTGAAATATTTCTAAACAGTGTTACTAAGCGTTTCATATGCTCTGATTGTATGATTCTTCTTTTAGGAATACAGTCCTCATTATACCAGATTTCTAGAGTCGCAGATGGGCGCCATTCGTAAATATTATTGAAGTTACATTCTTTAGGCGCGTTATGAAAAATTGATGAGAGTGAAATTTTACGATGCGCGCGCACCGTGACACAATATTAACAGAATGAAGTTGCCCACGGGAGATTATATGATACGGCATTGTACATAATTTAAAAACAACATTCGAATAATAATAGAATTTACATATTTTAATGTAAGAGAATAATAATAAATATTTATTTATTTAATTTTTCAAATGTAAACTGAACTTTATTGATTGTAATGACTCCTTTTCCAGTCTTTGATGATTTAATTGTAATTAATTATTTGCATGCAATCAAAAACTATTTTTAATAATGCTGAAGAAGTATAACTTCTTACGCGCGTACATAAGTACACGCACCTTTTTTTATCAATGAACACGATCTTTGTAATAATTGCATCTCGCTTGCAGGTAGTATTTTAAATTAAGAACGTTCAAATATTAAAAAATATTTAATTTAACTGACAGCTCATTTTATTTAATTATAGAACGAGAGATGAATAGTATTTTTGCAATGCAACGTCAAGTCGGGAGAGCTATTTGTGATTTTTATTGCACATTTATTGAGCGGATACTATTCTTGGTCGAGATATTTTATTTCTAGGTGTGCTTTTAAGAGCTATAAGGCGAATAAATTTATAGATATCTGTCGTTATTTGTCGTTAATGGGTTTGAGATGATATTTGCATAATCGGATAAATTTGAGATGATATTTGAAATTTCACGAAAATCGGTAGAGCCATTTCGATGGAGTTTAATTACAAACACCGTGACACACGAATTTTATATATTAGATTTAAGGAGTCGTTTTTTGTGCTCCGACGCTTGAAATGGGGCCTAGAGCATTTCTTATTTGACCATTGATGACATTTTAGACAAATAAAAAAAAATCGGCGTTACTTACATTTCCAAAAGGCTCGCAAGTGCGCTGCCAGCCTTTTTAATTGATCACTTCTTTCGCTCATTTCTTGACGGACCCTTAATATTCCTTACGCCAATAAATACATATCTAATTCTAACAGACGTACATAAACAACGCGTTAAGCCTCAAAACGGGTTTCATATGAAGTAAATAAGCTTAAACCACATTTACGTGTATCCAGTTATACTAATATTGCTATCAACTAATACTATAATAAATACTTACATTTCTGTTTCTACATCTAATTTAAAAGACATTATAAATAAAAATCACAATAAAAATATATCGCCAAAAATGAATTAGGTTCCAAGGCAGTTTTTGCCGCTTACACTATGTGGAAGCCCACGATTTCCGAACCAATTCGACAGGGTCCTTCAAAGAAAAGAGGTACCAATTCTTAAAGGCCGGCAACGCACTCCCGGGAGCCCCCTGGTTTTGCTAATATGTATTCTTTTTAATAAAAAATAAAATGAAATTAAACAGTGGCGCTACCGTTTTAGGTCTGGGCTCAGATTTCTGTATCTGTTTTATGATT